ACTACTATTATACCGCGATTAACTCTTTGATACGATCGAGGAAAGTATGTTTATATTTCACGTAATTCGGACGAATCATATTCCGACAACGCGAACTCGGTATTCGCGACTCTCTTTTCAACGCGCGCCGAGAAGAAATCTCTCCCCTTTAAGGAAGGAAGGAGTTCGATCCGGCTTTTCCAGCAGACTCCGAGTGACTTTGACCCTCTCTCGCCTGGGTCAACCCGCGGGAAGAGACGCGATTGTAAGCGAAAACAAAACTGAAACTCGTGTCGAAACAAGTGCAAACATATAGCGAATAACTTTGTTGAAAGTCTGCAATTTTTTGCGACTCGATAAAATACCGAATTTTACAAAATGTAAAAAAGAATTCAGGAATAAAAATTATTTTACAATTCCCATTTTAATCCAAAAAAAGTTAGAGCTGTTTCGTAATAAAAAAAATATATATATATTATATACAGAGAGAACTTTCTCTTAGTATTTATCTAAAATCATGATAATAAAAAAATATTAATATGTATATAGTAAAAATAATTGATCATATTTTATATCTTATTGTGGTAAACGGCAATTTTTTGCGACTTGATAAAATACCGAATTCTAAAAAATATAATAAAGAATTCAGGAATAAAAATTATTTAAAAATTCCTATTTTAATCGAAAAGAATTTTTTCTTAGAATTTACTTTGAAAATCATGATAATAAAAAATATTAATATGTAAATAGTGAAATAATAATTTATCATATTTTATATCTTATTCTGATAAATTGAGATTTATTGCCTAAAAAACACGTTAATACTATATAATATAGTCTCCAAACCTTTTCCAAGACTTTTCCTAAAGAAACTAGAACGCTGTTGTTTTTGACGTATGGTCTGGGCGACGCTTCGCACTCGCTTTTCATTCACACTTTTGTCTCTCGGCAGTCTCGAGGCGTCGTCATCGCGACAGTCACGACGGGAGATCTCGATTGAGAGAAGCAATTCTAGGATTCGATGAATGGGAACACATCGGGGCAGGGTCTATTTACCTCGGTTATCGCGTTAGGACGCCGAAGGTTGGCGGCGCCAGTAATGATCTTCCCATTGAGAGAAGGGAAAAAGAGTGCTCTGGACCGGGGCGACGAGACGTCGTCGAGTCTGGCGAAGGAGAGGAACTGAGCGGACACGAGCAACCTGTTGCGCGCGTTTACGGTGCCGGGATATATCCGCGTGCCTCTCCTCCGCGTGGCAGCACCCACACGCAACATGTTGCAATCCCCGAACCTACGACTATAAAATATTTGCGCGCACACGCTCGAGAGAGCTGCCTCGAGATTCTTACGTAGGTGGACAATTTCTCGTCGCGGGAAGCGAGAGCTTTGTGCGAATCGGGACTGCGGAGCTTTTTGTCGCGAGATATTTCAAGGAATTTTATGACAAATAGAATCAATTAATATGTAATTTATAAGAGTACAGTGATATGAAAGTATAATAATGTAAAAACCGTGTAATACCACAATAAGAAATCAAATATGTTTGATTAATTTTACTATATACGTGTTAATATTTTTGGGGGAAATTTTGACAAGAAAAATTGAATCATGTCAAACCCAATGATAAACATTCCGGGACCAAATAGAAATTTGATATAAGTATTAAAAATTCTGAAATCATGTACAGCGATATTTAATCTAAAAAATTGAAGCACTTATAATTGATAAGAGACATATTAATAAGACTTAATAAATTTTCATGAGAGTCTGTCCGACCGTGTTCCGCGTTTAAAGATTAATCACGTTCGTAGAAGTAGATTCGAAAAAGTGAATCGAGTGAATAATCTCGAAAGGCTAAGAGACGTCGGGAAGGGCAACAAAGCTTTCTCGCTGCGCTGCTCGAGATTCTTGAGAGACAAGACGGGCGCATTTCGATCGATCGTCGGCCGAGAAGGCGGCACGGCGCGGCGACGGCCGACTAAAGCGAGCAGCGGAAAGAAAGAGAGAAGGAGTGAGAGAGAGAGAAACCTAGCGCCAAAATAAATCAATAAAATAGCGAACCCGAGTCGGGCATGTAGGTGCATACACGTACAACGTGTATATGGCTATATACGTATGGATATGAGAGGCGAGGTGAAGAGAGAAGAGAGTCACGACGCGACGGCTGAGAGGCCGAAGCAAGCAAGCAGGCAGGCAGGCAGGCGAACGAGCGAGCGAGCGAGCGAGGTCGAGACACGCGGCAGCTGTCTGGCGCCAGGGGTCCCCCTGTTCCCTCAAACAGTCGCGCCGAATGCCACCCACCTTAGCCGACCGACCTATCGTGCCATTCTCAAACCTGCCTGCTTCCCGGGAGCCCGTCCGGCTCTCTCTCTCTCTTTTTTCCTTTCTTTCCTTTCTACGCGCATTAACTCGCGTTCCTGAGACCGTCTTCTCCTCGTCTCCTTCGTCCTGCTGCGGATGCAGCCTGCGTTCGACGACGCGTGTACGTTTGATCGACGACTTCGTTACCGCGGATCGTACGAAAATTTTTAATCTTCGTCGGAATAATTATTTAATATTCATTCAATTAGTGAAATTAGTGTCGATGTTATCGAAAATTTAATCAAAATTTGTATGATTTTTAAATTCTATAAATATGTTGTCGCGTTGAAATAAATGAAAAAGAAGAAATGCTCGATCGAGCTTTGAAATTTCTAATTCAAGCGATATTTCTGTTCTCTCCCGGAAGCAGCGTGTTCTATCTATAACCGATTCAAATAAAAAGACACGCGCGCGTGTTTATAATTCCGTGCCTTCCTCCTCTTTGGCGCGCTATAATTTTGCATATCACGTATATTTTATTGACCGCGTGTAACATCGCGCAAATATATGTGACGTTCACTAAGCCGATGAAAATGCAATTGCGTTGAAACGATTCTCATTTCCGGCAAACCAGGGTTCTGTCGAGGAGATATAGAGGTCAAACGCGCGTCTGTGCAATGTCACTTTTAAGTCCCCGGAATTTTAAGCCCGAGTGATATAAGTGCTTAAAAATGTTCTATTACAGATAGTACAGATGTCTACTCCGCATATTTTGTTGTAACGGAAATATGTCAAATTGATGTATAGCTACTAATTTCTTTGGTTTAATCACCCCCCAGCTTTTAATAATTAAATACTGTAAATTAAATACCGTAAATAAACATGACATAAATTTATATACCTATATAAGTTTAATGAAAGTTAAAGCAACTTTTAGACTTAATTAAAAATGCCAAAATTCCGAGTCCAAGAGAGGGGTTTGCTCAAAAGTGACATTTGACAGCTTTCACTGTTATAGTATAGCGAAGATGTCTTTTCAATTTGTAATCATTGTGGTAAATTGCACTTTACGTGACTACTCTCGGATTAAACGCGCAAACGTCGCCTGTTATTCATTCTTGTAAGATCGCGAGAAGCGCCGGGCAGAGACGCAATTTGCTGACTTGGGAATGTCTGACGTCGTCAGAGTAGTGGCCTTTGCATTGGTAAAGGCAGATAGTAAAAGTAAAGACCTCGATGGCGCGGGAAAACTCGGCGCCGACGACGTCGTCGTCGTCAACGAGAATATTACGAAATACTCTATATTTTTTTTTCATGGACATGAAAATTTATGATCGATTCAGAGGCGAACAAATGTCACGCTCTTTTATCCGCGGCTTGATCTTTATTCTACAGACCAAATTATGTTTGTCCATAAAGTGTTTTCGAAATTTATAACGTCACGAAATTCTTAAAAAAAAAAAAAAATAGAATATTTTATTCTATAAATTCTTTTTAAATTCTTAAAAAAAAAAAAAAAAAAATTAAATCTTTAATTATAAAAAATATATGATAAATTTTCTGGAAATATATTTTGGTTCCTCAGAAACATTATCCCAGTAATATTAATCGAAAAATGATTTATCGAACGACGTTGCGGAGAAACGATAGTAATCGTCGCGGTGCGGCGAGAGAGCAGAGCCCGCGCTCACTTTCCTCGTTCTGGTCGGGGCCAAAAGCGTTTCAGGCGTTCCACGAAGCAGCAACGCGAGCGAGAGCAAGCCGAAAAACGACGAGTCCGCGATCCGTGCGGTGCGTCATGCGTGAAAACCTACGCGCGCGTCAGCCTCGTGGAACGTGCATGCTGAGGAAATTTCTTCGACGACCGCCGACGACCGAGGATGGTAATGCATCACTCTGCCCTTTCGACAAAATTTTACGTGACTTCGATGGGTATCGCGAGTCGGCGTCACGAGTGAATCATTATCACACGGTATATAAGATTCATTGTAGAGTGGCTCAACATTATTATGGTTTTTATGAAGATACACAGAGAGAATTTTCTCTTGGAATTTACAACGAAAATCGTGGTATACGTAGGACAATATTATAAGAGTTTCTCCGATTAATATTTATCATAATAATATATAATATTTTTTTATTGTGATAAATATTAATTTAAAAAATTATCTCTTATAAAGTTCTTCCAATACCATATTATCCCACGATTATATCAGGATTTTCATGGTAAATTCTCTCCGTGTAGAAAACACGATTTAAAAGCTACATCTGCGAGTTGAAAAAAATTCTAAAAATTCGCGATTCTGTTCATGAATTTGTATTTGAAAAAAAATTTGAAAAAAATCGTCCAAAAAATGAGGATCTTTATTTTATTTTTCCCACACAGGGAAGAAATTGATCGTAGCACCGATCAAGGTTAACCACGCGGATATAGAGGCGTAGCCATCGATCAGTGGCGTAGTCGAAGGCATCTCGGATCGACCGTTAGGCTGAACGATTACTCGAGAATGAAAAACAAAAAAAAAAAAAAAATCTGAAGTCGTACATAACGCGTCTCTTCAGAAGCACTTTATTTTGCCAAAATTTCACGTCTGAAACTCGACGCGGGATTCGACAATTCTCTACCGTTATAACGACTCAACGGGACACCCTGTATATATCTCTCGCCGCAGGGTCGGTTCTCGCATATGGAGTACGTATAACCTTGAGGACATAGTTACCTTCTCCGTTGGTGGTAAGCGAGCCGGGAAGTGGCAGGGGCGTGCTGTTTTTGCACCGACGTTGATCCCCTTCGCTGGGCGCGCGATCTGAAAATAAACGGACAACCCTTTTGAGAAGCTGCTTTCCTCGAGAGACTATTTCTTCCTCTCTCAATTCCTTTCGCTCCCTCTCGTGCTTTTTCCGCGCTCTTTCTTCAATACAGAAAATTATGCGGACACGCATCTAATAATATATCGTTTATAATCGCTGCACTTGAAAAGAAAAAAAAATCATGTGTCTTGGAATTGTAGCGATATTGCATAATTATGCATCATTAAGTGGCGTAGTTTGTTATCGCCAGAAGATCGGACGACGATTTTCATTCGGAACGGGTGAAAAATCTCGCGACATGCGTCGCATAAAAGGCTTATTATCGGTAAACACTAGCGGCAGCGAGGTTCCACGTAATTTTATACGTATGATCGTACATCTTGTCTCTCTCGCGCGCAACTAATTAACGTCACACCAGCGTCTCGGGTTTCTCCGTTTTGTTCGACGGAATAATATGGAAGGCAAATAGAAAAGCGAATCAAAAGTAGCAAATAAGGATTTTTTTTTTTTTTTTAAGAGCGTGAATAATAATTATATTGACACATATTGTTGTAGGTTGAAAAAAAATATGAGACACGCACTTTGCCACTCGATTTACATTCTAGTAACCATTATTGCAATTAAACGGCAGCGCCGGCTACTTAATCGCAAGAATTCACAATAGGTTGCGAAGCGTGGATAATTAAGCGCGGCAATTTCCGCCAACCAGAAGAGACAGAAACAGCCAAGGTAATCGCCAGACGGGTGATTCATAATTCCCCGCGGAAATTCGTGCATCTCTCTCTTTCTCTCGTAACGTCCACAAAAGAGGTGACAGAATCATCCAAAATAATGACTCGCGGACGGATAATTTATTCGCGCGCCCGGTGGCAAAGTTCCTATATAACAAACAAAACGTCAACTAATTTCCAACGAGACTGCGCGCTAATCCATCGATTTTTTTGTAAAGGTCCTTTAATATTTTTTTTTCGAGATATATACTGCATTTATTTTGTCGAAAAAATGGGAGCGGTATAAAAATTAATTAGTTGAATGAATAAAATGATGAAAATTAATGAAATAATTAAAAATATAAGAGATATGTTTCAACGTAAATTACTTTTTTAAAGAAATGGCATTTTGTACAATAAATTACTAATCACGAAGATTATATATTACAAAAGAAAAAGGCTCGACTAGTTTCTTCAGTGGCATGCTAATAGTTTTAGGGATAGGCTATAGAGAAGACCGAGGTCCATTCACAAGAGAATTAAAAGAGAAGATGACGTCAGAAGAACAAGTTGGACGAGAGAGCGGTCGCATTCTTTTTGGATTCCAAAGGATCGTTCCTGCGGGAGAAGAGGCATTTCCTGCCGTATCGTATCACCCACGAACATTAGAGAAAGCAAAGTGGACGGATGCTTTAAGAAGGGGCTCCTCCAAGGACTTAGAAGACATAGTCGCCTCATCTATTTTTAGGACACAATTATTTAAAAATCCACCGGCCTCGCTCCCGTCGTCGCGCGCGAATATTCAGCAGGAGATTCTTCTCCGTCTTTCGCCGAATCCTCGTCCTGTTTCCCACGCGAGAAGCTATCTCCGCAGTTGTTACATAAATAGAAACCGAAACTCGCCCGATATATTCTCCCTCTTGCTTCTCGACCAAATAAATATTTTTCCATTCAACGAAATTATGCAATATAATTTCAGTATAATTTTCCACGAATAATTCTCGAAATTTTCTAGATTTCAATTATAGAACATAAAATGTGTTTATCGATTTCAAGATCAATTTTTATACTTTTCACCATCTTTCACAGATTCGCGCAAACGAGGAGCACAATCATCTCGACATAGATGGTTATCCAGTCGATGGGGAACAAATTGACACGCAAACTCGCGATTTGTTATATAGGTATCCGCCGTTTATTATTGTTATACAGTCGCTCGATATAAAACGCCGCAGCACACCGAGACGAGCGCAAATACAATTTATTTACAAAGTGGCCGGTGACGAGAGAACGTTTTTGGCACACGCGCGTCACTCCACAAAGGGAACGTAAATATAATTCCGCGAATTACGCGTGTCACCGTGTAAGCCGTTAAGTGCCGCGCGAATCTGCGAGATAGTGTCACCGCCGAGTTTGCAAAAATATATAGCCACGCGGAAGATTCGGCCCGCGGCGCCACCGCGCTCTCTCGCTCTGTCAGCCAAGGTGAGCGGATTCCTCGATTATTGGGTTTTGGCTCGGGAAAGAGAGTCACGTGAGAGAAGAAAAAAAATAGAAGAGACAAGTTTGCTAAAATTGTAATCGTAAAATAGCGCGTCAAGAAATGTCATTTCTATTAAAGTCATGCATTTTTAAAAGTCTACATGGAGAGAATTTTCCCTTAGAATTTATTACCCTGAAAAATATAAGAGTATAAGAGAATTTTATAAGAGTTTCTTTAATTAATATTTACCACAATAAAAATATTAATATGTACATAATTAAATTAATTGGAACGGTACTTATATTCGCAACATTATGTAAAACTTGTGGAGTTCCGCTGTCGTTAAGAAAAATAAAAATAAATTACTTGAAATTTATTTTAAATATAGAAGATGTTATACACAGATAATTTTCTCTTACAATTTATCCTGAAAATTGAAAATCATGGTAATCGTGGAACATGATGGTATTGGAAAAATTAATATTTACCACAATAAAGATATAAAATATATTCGATTAATTTTACTAAGTACAATCTTAATATTTTTATTGTGGTAAATCAGAGAAACTCTTATAAAACATATTTCATAAACCTCTTTCCAATATCATATTGCCCCACGATCACCATGATTTTCAGGGTAAATTCAAAGAGAAAATTCTCTATATTAAAAAAAATGTTTGAAGTAATTAATTTTTTTAACGACTCTTCTTAAAACTCGCAAGTTTACATATAATGTCGCGAATGTACCGTTCGTAAATCAAATATGTATCGCGATCGTCGAGTACAACATCGTGACATTGGAAGTCGATCGACGTCACGCGTTATAACGCTCGCGCGATTCGCAGCTTCGCCGAGCGAGCGAGCAGGCAAGCTGCATCGAATTAGGATCTCGCCGGCGGATCTTCAAAAGCGGCATCTCGTCGGGCTCCCCCGATCCGGAAATCGGCGTGTCTCGCCGCTCTCTCGGTGCTCTCGGTCCGGTCCGCAAACGCTGCCGGCGCAATCCGGTGAAGGAGGCACCGGAATGCGAGAGAGCCACTCCCGCCGATCGCCGCCGGACTCGCGGCAGTCGTGGCGCTCGAGCGGAGACGAGAGAGATTGCTTTTCGTTATACGGAATATGCAGCACACGTATCATAGATTTTCCCAACCAATATGCGATCCACCCGATTTCAAATTTGTTCAGCGTGACAATTAAGTCTTCATTTTCGACATGTTCATTTTTTCTACGAGATCAAACGAGTCTGTTTAAAATATTTGTCGTCGACGGAGAACGCAGTGAAAGTTGGATATATTTTTTCTGAAGAGAAAGATGAAAAATAAACGAAAAAAGGCATACGGAGAGGCGGGATAAACGAGGAAGAGCAGAAAAAAAATGCTGAAGAGAGTCGGCAGAGGAGAGAGCGAGAGTGCGTGTGCTTGAGGTTGCTGTTTCAAGCAAAGCAACACGAAGAGAGAAGGAAAAAGAGAAGGAAGGCTCGGGTAAATAGACGAGAGGCAAGGGACAGAAAAGGAGAGAAGGATGAAAGGAAGGAGAGAAGGGATGTATTCAAGGACGCCGATGCGGCAAGCCAAGCGACAGGCGTTCACCGCTTCGTGGTCCCGGGGGCTTCGTGTTACCGCTCTCCACGTCAGCCCCACCCTTTGGCCGGCGCTAAGGGGCCCTTTACGTGCCCTTAACCTTTCACGGATTAGCGCGGCGTATCGGAATTGTCGCGTTTCCTCAAGGCTACGTGTATACGAATGGATTTGCACCGAGACTTGTACTTGGGTATAGAAAATCATTGGAATATGCCGCCATTTTTTATAATCTCTCTTTCGAATGTAGTATTTTTCCCTTTCATAATGACTCGTTCCTGGTAAAATGACAAAAGCAGCCCATTTTAAAACCGGTTATATGTGTATCGATACCGCACACTATCGCACACTTGTTACATTCTTTCGAGGCAGGTGGACCGTTTAGCGAGTGCGCTTATAGCTATGAACTTTCTATATACATATCTTTTCGCAATTTTTGTCCTCTTTTTCTCTTCCTGCAAACGAATATTACCGGTTTTATTTTCAACGGCGCGGAGTGTTATTGTATACAAGTCTGAGCAACGAAGCGATCTACTACGCGGCGGCAAAAATAAGATCTAATCTGAGAGACGAATCTCGCGGACAGAGAGAGAGAGCAAGATAGAGTAGAATTAAAAACGTAGATGTAGCGCGATATACGCGGCGACGTTTGTCCTCGTATCGCGCGTTCGAAAGGGACTGCGGCGGTGCGTTGTGTCCTTCGTCGTATTCGTTGAAATTTACGCAACCGCGCTGTATCTGACACAAAACAAGCACGTGCGGAAATCAAGTAGCTTCGCCGATCACTCCCAACCGAGATAAAAATTTCCAGAACAAAAAAAAATTCCGTTAAAAAGTCTACGTAGAGAGAACAATAAAATGCATTTATAAAATATTTTATGAGTGAAATATTATTTAGAATTTACTTAATAGAATTTACCTTCATATTTTAGCACAATAAAAAATATTAATACAATATATATACATAGTAAAATTAATCGAATATATTTTATATCTTATTGTGGTAAATATTAATATTTTTAGAAACTCTTATACCATATATCCCACGATTACCATGATTTTCAGGGTAAATTTTAAAAGAAAATATAGCCGCCCTTAGAATTATTTCGAATTACTCGTTTGCATGTGAAATTCATTTTCAACTGGTAAAACGAGACGACAAAATTATATCATTTACGAACACTGGTAATAGACGCCCTTTATAAGAGTTTCTCTGATTAATATTTTTCACAATAAATTAATATGCATATTAATATTTTTATTGTGGTAAATATTAATCAGAGAACCTCTTATAAAATTCTCCCAATACCATATTGTCCCACGATTACCACCAGTATTTTTAGGATAAATTCTAAGAAATCGTGCATAAAATCATACTCAAACATAAAGAAAAAAATATAAAAAAAGCTACTTGATATGTTTGGAAAAACGTGAAGATGCGAGATCAACTCGAGATTTTCCATTGGCGTCATCCCCTTTATTCCCCTTCCGCGATCGACGAGAGAGCGCACGCGTGCATTCGCGGAATCACTCCACGAGTCACCGGTTCGACTGAACTAGCTGCGTTTCGTGGTACGAATATCGGCGTCGCAGGCAGCAACAAGTGGCGGACTTTTATCCGCCGGTGGCCCAGTTTCCGCGACGGAGCGATAAATTCGCCCGAGCGCCCGAAAGACAGATTTACGACGAAGACAGGAGGCGAGTCTTCTCCTCTTCCGAGAAGAGACCGCTCCTCTGTTTCCTCCCGCGACGCCGAGATCAATCGTATACGTTTACATGTACTTGTCGATTCTATCGTATCGATGCCATAACACGCATAAAATAGAGCTCTGACGTTATTATAAGTGACGACTTGTTCACTATTAAACAAAAGTTAACGTAAAATGCCATTTTTTTATATTATATGAAACAACTATTTTGAATCGGTTAATGCATTTATAAATTTACTAGAAATATAATAATAAAAAATATAATAAAAAAAATAAATTTATTAGAAATTTACTAGAAATAAATTTCCTAGAAATGAAAAAAATGAAATTTCGATTGTACTGTGTTTAGGCGCGAAAAATGCGTCGACCTCGATCGAGACGACGATGTAGGCGGCCGACGACGGATTCGTATTTATAACGCACCCTGCGGATTTAATAATACCTTCAAGACCACGCTGGACCTTTGGCAGGATCTTCCTTGATATAAATGGGAGCGGTTACGCGGTGGATATGCACGGCGTATGACACACGGTCCTTTCTATCGACAGGAGATATTGACCCCAGGCGATACACACTATGCGTCCAGTAATATTTCTTTGCTACATAAGAGTGCGTCCACTATATAATCTTATAAACACGGACGCACACACGCGCAACGTCATCGCAAATACGCGGTTCTCCTGGCTGCAGGCGCTATTTATTATTTCGTCATATCGAGCTTAGTCGCGCAACGTCGAGCCTATATACAAAGATGCCTGGTCTCCGTGACATTTTTACCAGAAATTTCAATAATAAATGTTACAGTAACATTACATCGACATTGTGATATTTTATCTTCGACATCTGAAAAATAATGCATAGCACTTGCGACACATCTTGACGACGTGCTATATTGCTTTACCTGATTACACGCTCGGCACACTTTTCAAGAAGATATCGATGAATGGCGAGGACTCGATGCGCCTGCATTATATATCCGTGTGTATAATTGCGCAACCAGATCGCACGAGAGGTTTCTCGAACGAAAGGCGAATCTATCGATGACTACGCAGTCGATCCGCGTGTTGTATACTTATTCGCGTCGAGAGAACCAGTTTAGGACTGGGTGCGGAAGAAGAAAAGAGAAAAACGTGTATAGTCAAAATTAGACGCGAGGCAGAAAATATCGGGTATTCCTAATCTCTTTCTGCGATTCACAACTTCTTTGTTTATCTCTGTAATTTTATGCCATTATGATTCTTTATTAATATGTATTTAAAAATGTGTAATCTTGAGACAAAAATTGATCACGAATAATTTTACATCGCAATTTTTTTCGTAAATCTTTCGTGTTATAATTAAAAAGAACTGCAATTTTATAATGAAAGATGACTGGTTGCGGAATATAATTTTTAATTGCAAATAAATATCGTTGAATATTCATGTTTTGCATTCTCGCGATGCAACGAGATCGATCAGCTTCCACCTGGTGGTCCAATATTGGCCAGCGGATACTTTGATCAACCGCTGAAATGGCGATATCATGAAATCTATCGGCATTATGCGATCGAGAAGATCGACTTACAGCATGTAGTTACAAATATTACAATCATAAAGAATCATGAAAGTTATGTAGAAAATTCAATTTCGATTTTTTAATCGCAACTGTCGATTTCATGTTTTATCTTTATATAATATTCATTTTATTCATTTATCATGTTTGGAAGAATTATTGCTAAATTTTGTGAAAACCGTGCTATATTCGCAAAGTAATATTATGTTACGGCAGATTGAGAACCCTCGACACATATATGACTAAAATGCTATCGTAAATGTATATCTCTCTCTTCGAATGTTATATCTACGTTTGTTTTTGTCGATTCCGTCTAATAAAATCGTTAGTTTTATTCGCGACAGGATAATTTATTATTTTACTCAAGAATTCACGGTGATTACATACAATAAAATGTAATAAATTATATATTTCTATAGTAGCTATTTTTCGTCCGTCCTCGAATTTCCTAAGAAAAAAGTATATTGACATCTTGTTTATCGATCTCATCCACGCGTGACCAATGTCAATTAATAATAGCACACCGATTAAACCCGAATAAATTATGCTCGTGTCGATAGGTATCCAAAAATATTATTCCGCTTTAAATCGAAGAGCTGTAAATGAATAAGAGCAGCGTGTGAACACAAAAACGTTGCGCCTCGAGAAGAAAAGTCAAATGTCAAGGTCTCCCTTTCACACCATGGCACATCGGCCAATTTCTAAATCGATACTTTTAAATCACGTTAACAGCATTATTTGTGCGCGCGATCTTGAATCCGCTCGCGGGATTAAAACGGGAGTTTCGCCGCAAACTCCGTAAGATAGAAAAAACGGTGTCACTCTCGTCCCGGATTATCCCTAACCTTGCTTTGGGCTAGGTCGTGAGAGACACGACTTGCTGCTAACAGAGACGAGCCTCGCTTGTACGGCAAACGTTTGCAAGCAATAAACATGAATTATCGTCGGCACGGTTGCGTGAAAAGACACACGCACACACATTCACGCGGATATATACGCGATCCACATTCACAGACATTCCTGATTACGGCGTGAAAAATGAAGACACTCACCTTCGGGTCTCAGTCTGTCGGCGATAAGGCAATACGGGGGTGGCGGCGTCTCTGAAATAAAAAAAAAAGATAATTATCACATTGTCGTGCAACTCGAAACTTTGGATGAATGAAATTATATACGCTATGTATTATCTAATCTAAATAAAATTAAATGTCACGAAATTCTTGCATTTCGAATATTTGCATTATCTGGAGCAGAAATAATTTTATTTTTATCTTACATTTGTCGAGAGTAATATAATTATTAATTATATGTATTTTAATCAAGATATATATGATGTGAAATAAAAATAGTCAATGATTTCGATTAAGAATGCCGCTTGATATATCCGTATCGATGGCGGAGTCATTGAAAAACGGATCCGAGAGGCCCCGATGATTTTCGATTAAATCGAGTTAATGACATCAAACGCCAAGTGACGGCGCGAAATGTCACGGTGGACGGGCGCTCCGTTAGAAAGAAGTCCAGGTCCAAAAGCGGCGAGTTCTATTATTGGCGCGGAACGACGCCCGTGCGAAACCGGTACGCCGGTTTTCGTCCTTTTACGTTTATACGCGTCCTGAAAGTATAGAGGACAAATCGCGGCACCGCGAATATCTCAAACGTCAAGGTAACCCGATGCTTCCCGCGTGCATGCCTCCGTCTCGCTCGTAACGCATGGCCGAGATACGCACGTACACGCACGATAGGTAATTGCGTCCTGAGGAATCTCGCCCCGAGTCTCGAAAAAAACTCGCCACTCAATTAGCCCTTTTCTGGACGCTCCATTTTTTTCAAAGAAATTTTATAATTTGAGCGAGAACAATAAATATATAGAATTAGAAAGGAACTTGTCGTACACAGAGAAAATTTTCTCTTCGAATTTACTCTGAATATAAATAGGTAATAAATAAAAATATTAATATGTATCATACAAGATATAAAATATGTTCGATTAATTTTATTATGTATACAGTAAAATTTACTATGTATATTTTTATTGTGGTGAATATTAATTAGAGAACTCTTATCATATTGTCCCACGATTATCATGATCTTCAGGATAAATTCTAAAAAAAAATTATATTACATATATATATAATATAATATAATAAAAATATATAAAAAAAGTAAAATATTGTAAAACAGAATCATTATCATAATGAGAAAAAATATATTTAAAAAAATACATTTAATGCGATTTAAATGTATGATAATTTAATTCAAAAAAATCTCGCCTTTATCAATCATTCAGTTATTTAAATAAACATTTAATTAGATTCATATCATGCAGATTGTAATCAGATATCGACATCGGTGTATCGTAAATAACGCAATTTTTTTTTTTTTTTTAATAAGATGCAGATATCACTAACAATAGAGGAGAGCCGCATGCCGGAGAATTTCGTGCCCAAAATTGCTAGATAATATAGATAATAAACGTGGTGCGACGTCGACGCGTAATGGCCGCCTGTCGCGCCTACACGTGGATCCTCTCCCGCGGGGCTCGCGTTTCTCGCTTCCACCGGTTCGCTCTTTGCTCTCTCGATCTCTCCTCTCCAGGGTCCGCCGAGAGCTTTAATAAAGCCGGCGCGGCGTGTCACTCATCGACGCGCTTCACACTTGGAGTCGGAGTTTGGCACACGATTCGAATAACAAGATCCGCGAGAGCACACGGGCGATTTAAACGGCGATGTTTTAGCCCCCCCGGTTAAGGCACTTATAATCAATGCGTATGGCCATTATTACGTAACTCGCGCCGCCAAATGTCTCTTCCGAAAGGAGAGAAAAACCCGCCTATTTCTAGGTCTGTTTATCCATCTGTCGCGCAAACCGCCGCGAGATAAATGTTATTACATTTATCGAACCGAGACCATCAATCGATACCGAAGCGGAAAAGTCAAACAATAACGCGCACAAGAATGTGTGTTTGTCCAGATATCATCTTTCAGATTAAAAAATCGAGGAGGAAAAAAAAAAGAAGAAAATATGTTATGGAAGTCGCGCTTTCGGGCGTGAATATGAATATATTCGAAGCGCGGTCAGAGAAAGTGGTGCGCACATTTGAAACGCTGTGGATCGCGGTATGTAACGATAAAAACCTGCCCCGCGACGATTTGCGTAACGACGACGTATATACATACACAGAGAGCCGTCGCCGGTCGGCCGATGATAATCGATTCGCCGGCGTGAATTATTAACCGGCCGTCCCGGCAATGGTTCGCGAACGAACGGACGACCGCCGAATGCAAAAACAGATAAAGACGGCGGCGGGTTTGTGTGTGTCGCGCGCGGCGGCGTTATACGAAAACAAGGCGCCACCGTGGGGAGGTGATTTACGCGCGATAAAACGCCGCGCCGCGATCCGATACGAAGTTAGCGGCGTTCGCTATATCGACGATCGCTGACAATAGGTTTGCGTCCGTCCGATGTTGATGTTGCGCGTAAATTGAACCGTCGAGAGAAAAAAAATAGTGCCTCTCCGTCGCCGATTATTACCGGTCATCGCATGTATGCGTCATTGCGTATCGAATATGCGCGTTATTTCGAGCGATGCGGACTAAATTACGTGTGCATTTATAGTCGACCAAAATAAATGTAGGTTAAACAAAATGTATGTGCATAAGAAATATCTTTTCTTATGTTAAATATTTCTTAAGAATTTATCTTGTATCAAAAAATATAAATCGTTATGTGTAGATATATATTTGAAAAAAAATTATTTTAATAATATTAATAATAGATTATATATTAAATAATAGTTTGTGTAATATAATATAAACTATTATTAATATTGTACTTTGTTATATGTTGCTCATCCGAGAAATGTCATACGAAATATAAAAAATGTATTAAATATATGTATAAAAAATTGTGAATCATATATATAGAAATTATATGAAACACGTGGACGGTCACGCGAAACGTCATTTCGGCGCGTCCTTTGTCTCGACAAAGAAATTCTAACTAAAGTATCGACGAAATTGAAAGCGCAGCGAACTTAAATTCCTAGGAAACCTATTCCCGATCCGTCGAAATGACTCTAAAACATGCGCATCCCAGAAGACAGAATATAATAACACATCGGCACCAGCCAAGATTCTTGACGCCTTCGCTGCCCCCGATTCCGAAATCTCAAAAATTTCGACGATCGAAGGTCAGCAGTCGGCATTGCATACAGTGGGTGTATGCATTTATTCAACGTGATCTCTATACGTCAGCCCAAAAGTTGTAAAAGTATATATTCGCGTTTGAATTTCGAGATAATGTTCTGCTTGTAAAAAATTCAGATCCAACTATAGAATCATTTATTAATCCTAAAAGTTAATCTCTAGCCTTGGAAAGTTTTTATACGACGGTACAGATATTCCTTATCAAACTCGAGACTTTTTCGTATAAAAATGCAATTTCCAACATTATACAACCATTTAAATATTGAAGAAAAAATTGCAGACGTAACGCAAAAGACCTTCCTCGTTATCAACTCGTTCGCGAAACGAATTCTCCAAGGGAAAGAGTTAAAGTTGAAATACTTGACATCGTTTCTGTCTCCGGACTCTTTCTCGAGCACTAAACATGGACATTCTCGCGCGAGGGACGAACGCGAGAAAAAACGTCGGTGAAGTTTCCGATATAGAGAGCCGCGCGGGAGAATCGGTGCAATATTAAATTCTCCGGCCGGCGAAATCGAATCGAATCGAATCGAAAGAGGGGTTCGCCTCAGTTCGGTCAGCTCCTCGGCTAATGCCGGCTGGCCTCGACAATTAGCTGGCGCCAGCAATGACACGCAGCGGCGCCGGGCTGCAGCCTCCCCTCTCTCTTTCTCGCTTCTCGCGCGATCCCGCGACCGACTCCGGTTGTGTCTCCGATCCCCTCGCCATCGCTGCCCTTCCTAACCGCACATGCTCGACGGCGCCCCGTCCTCAGTCTGCCATCCGTTCTCTTCTCCCGCCGCCGTCGCCGGTCGACCAACCCTTCCCACTCTTTCTCTCTCTTTCTCGCGTCACCGTCTTTCCGCCAGCCGCGACTGACTCGCTCAATATACGTTTTATTTTTAGATTCATTTCCTTCTGGCCATAACTTTGATTGTACGGCCATTCGTAAGTGCTCGCGCTCTCTCTCTCTTCACTTTTAACGCGCCTTCTTTCTTTCAACATGCGTCCCGAGTATTTTTTTTTTCCCTCCTCTCCCTTCCTTTTCTCCGTGCTTGGTCGGGGTGTCTGCGCGCTGACGCGTCTATTTCGTCGTCGTTCTCGGTGGCACCGCGCTCTCGCTTTCTCTCGGCTTCTCTTTCCCCAAATGCGTCGTCGGCTTCCTCCGGGCGTGTGCATACGTGGCGCGCGCTATTATTAGTCGTGGAAACCTCAGCATGGAATTCGAAGGATCCGCTCTTGTTCCCCTTCCACCTCCTTCCCCCAACCTTCTCTCCGGCATCGCGCGCCGTTAATTACGAAACGCGCGCGTAGTTCGCGATTTTATCTCGCACACACCTTCAGTCCTTTTTCTCTCGCGAAAAGGTGTCGCGCCGCCCGGCGAATCGGTCGCGCCTGTTTTATTCCGACGAGCGATTTTCCAGCAATAAACGCACGATATTATCAATAAATCGTGCACGCCGCGCCGCTCGACTGTAACGAATCGATGTTGTCGTGATTAGACCACCGGCGCCGGTGAGCATTCGCATGAATGATCGCGTAGAAAATAGTATGTTTTTTTTCCTACTCGCGCGGTCGTACGAGACGTCTCTCGAACCTTTCGGAATTATGTCGACGTAAAATGTATCGTTTTCCTCTTGTATATTTTTATTTATTAATTATTGATTATATTTATTTTCATTTTGTATATTATTTTTCATACACTGAAAATCATGGTAATCGTGGATATAAAATCGAAGATATAAAATATGTTCGATTAATTTTACTATATCTATATATTAATATTTTTTATTGTGGTAAAAATATCAATCAAAGAAGTTCTTATAAAATTCTCCCAATATCATATTGTCAATTACGTGTAATTATGACTTTATACGTCTTGAGAATATATTAATAATAAATAATTTCTTTTCGTATATGAATTATTAATATATATATATACAACATTTAATGAAGTAATGCATACATCTTATTGTTCGAAATGTATGTCGGAAAGTATCTTCCTCTTCGATCGAGAATATTTCGAGATAATATATTCCTGAATTCGGATCGTGCCAAAGCGTAACAACCGTAAAACACACCGTATTACCCGTGGTTCGCACGATCGAAGTCGCTCCGTGCTTGGGCCTCGGCGACGACGACCGGGTTAAATGATCGCCGGGGTTACGTAAAGGCGCGTTTTGCTGGCGCCTACTCCGTCCGCTTCCTCTCTCGGCTCTCTCCCGCTTTATTAGGGCGCGACGCTTTTTTGCGATCGCAGTCACGTCACCGGTCTCGGGACCTATCAATTCGACTACTGGATGCGAATAAGGCGTAAACAGCGTAAAGTCGCAGCGCGGTTATACAGTTATTGGACTCCGCGAAAAATACCGTTCTCTGCGAAAAAGTGTCTTCAAAGAAACTCGATTCAAAGGCCGACGTTGAAATAAATTTTCAACGCGCGCTTCTCGTTACATTATTGTATATATTTTAAACCGTGCAACTAGAAATAATGAAAGTTGTACAGTACTTAAAGCCTCATTAAAATTGCAAATATTTTCTTAAAGTTTACGTTTGCATTCGTTAGAAATGAGCATTGCAAATATAAACATTAGTTAAGATTACACGGGAATACGTCAATGTGTTTGAAAAGTTTACTCATTAGTTCTAATTCTCGCACCGTTAACGTTACGTGGCTGCACAAATGAGTTTCTTCCTTTTTAAACACACATCCGCCTACCTTCTTTACGTTTTAAAGAAAATTCTTCGAGATTACCTAATTCATACCTAGATGATAAGGAATCCAGCTGCGGAATTGTTACAACGGCGTCACTTCACAAAATAAATATCCTTTGTATTGTACCTATCCACTTTTTAGAGTTAACATGGAACGATTATATACCTGCTCGAAACTAACATAATAAGTCACAAAAGCGTACTCGAAAATGTGAAAGAGCCTTGTCGTCAGCTTTTCAAAGTTTATTACCTGCCATAATCTCTTCGGCGTTCAGTGTGACAAAAGGGACGACCGTGTCGAATGTGTTTCGACATTTCGAATTTCCATTACTTTGAACTAAATTATTACGATTACGTAATCATATTATTGTATATATAAGCGCCATTTCATATATTAAAAAATTGATCTGCAATCTTGCAAAATTATGACTCTGTAGTCATATATCATTATTATTATTATTGTAAACGTCATCTTGTATTAATAAAAAATTTTATTAAAAAATCGATTTTGCAAAATCTCACGTCGCGATAAAGTCCGATTCTTCGGCTTCTGTAAGGAAGAAAGCATGAATGTATTGATATTTGACTCCGAAATTTTCTCCTGCGATATATATATATATATTGCGTATATTTATTATCTACATTTCCAAAGACAACCTTGTATGTGCCCCATCTAGTAATAAATTTCTTTTTTACACCGGCTCTCGAGTCTTTGGGCTTGTTAGCATCCGGCGACGCGCGCACAGGTGCCGATTAGCGTGCCCGGTTTGAGGTCTACGATCGTTACAATGTAGCCAGCTGTGCGTTACGACGGTAAATTATTCCTTCGTCTAGACACCACCGGTGGCGACGGACTCGGACACGTTCGATATACGTCCGGGACTAAAGCGCAACTTTAAACGGCATTGACGGTATTTCCGAGAAAAACTGACACAAATCGCTGACAGACCTAACTTGAATTCTTTATGAATTTTCGGCGACCGTACAGATGCACGCCTAATTATTCAGTGGTTTTCAAACATTCGTTAAAGGGTTAACATTTTAGGGAAAATTTTGTTTTGACACTTGACAAGTTGCCTTAATTTGTATAAAGTGATTAGTTTGTTTTATACCTACGTACACAGACAATTTTTTTTAGAATTTACCCTGAAAATCGTGGGACAATGTAGCATTGGAAGAATTAATATTTACCACAATAAGATATAAAATATGTTTGATTAATTTTACTATGTACATTTTTAATAATTAATATTTTTTATTATGGTAAATATTATATCAGAGAAACTACTCTTATAAAATTCTTCCAATTAAATTCTAAAATAATAGAGTTATGAGTTTCTCTGATTAATATTTACCGCAATAAGAAATATTAATATGTACGTAGTAAAATTAATCAAACATATCTCGTATGGCAAATATTAATTCTTTCAATACCAAATATTGTCCTATTTTTCGCAGTAAATTCTAACAGAAATTCTCTCCGTGTACATCTCGGCAAGAAATGTTTATTTTATACAACAAGCTCCTTAATTTTATCTCGTTATACTAAATTTGATTAAATCTTCCATTCAGATAAGATAAGATTATTTCAAACGTAGAATATATCAACGCTGTAATTCACGCGAGTGCGGCGAGGCATCGAGTTTTGGCGAGATGTTGGTGCGAATTAACGAGAGTTACATAATTCGTAGCGAGACCTATCTCTCGGCGAGAGAGATATAATATACGAATAAAAAAGATGTCGAGAAAAAGAAAAAAAGCTTCGCTCACCGAGTTTGCAGAGCCGGCTATAGTGGTAAGGGTTGCAGCATACGTAGACGGGATCTTTAGCGGAATGACAGATAGGTAGTCTCTTGAGCTCGGACGAGTGCTCGAGATCCGGCCACCGCCAGATCTGGCAGCAGAGGAGGTGCGGATCGTTGCATCGTCGTCTTCCCTCGGTCGGTCCTCTCGTCGCCGGCACGACGACGCTCGTCTTCCCGCAGCACCTGTCCGTTCTCATCGGCGACGCGGACAACGAGTCCTCGGACGCGGAGCAGCAGCTCTCCTGCTCGTCCTCGACCGAGGACGAGCGGTGGTGCCTGCTGGAGCGACGCCGGTAGCGACGATAGCGATGGTGCTGAAAGCCGTGACGGCCGTGATGGCGATGCGGCCTGCCGTGATAGTTTTGGTCGTGCTGTTGCTGCTGCTGTTGCTGCTGCTGCTCGTACATGGGATAATCGTCAGCCGGCGAGCGTTGTTGACGCGGCACGAGGACGCACGAGCCGAGATCGGCGCCGGAGCTCTCGACGGCGACGAGCAGCATTTCCAGCTGATTCTCCTTGAGCGTCTTGAGGAGCTCTTTGACCCTCAGCAATCGGGCGGGATTATCGTAGTATCGGCGTTGCTGCTCGTGCTGTTGCTGCTCGTCGTCATCCTGGCTCACGTGGCCGCCGCCGCAGCAGCCCTGGTGCAACCGGCTCGTGTTGCGACTCCCGTACACCACCGCACCACTTCCTTCCGTCCTGCTCACTTGTCGGCCGCCTGGTGGTGGTGGTGGTAGTGGTGGTGGTGGTGGTGGTGGTGTTGTTGTTATTGTTGTTGCTGCTGTCGTCGTCGACGTCGCTCTGCTGTCGTTGCTGTCGTAGACGACGGCGCCGCCGCTAGTGTTGCTGCTGCTCGTGCGATGATACGTACGTGACGATGAATCCTCTTGAGCTTCACACTCGGTTTCATGCTCCCCACGGACCTTGGCCTTTAGCAGACGTCTAGTGAGCACCGTCCGTTTGCTCCAGAACATCAACATGAAACGGGATTTGCGGTACGCGCATTTGGTGGCCAGTCCTTTTCAACGTAGCCGCCGTAGGAAAACAAAAGGAGGACACGAGGGAAAGAGAGCTGAGAGTAGGGAGTGATGTTTCGCTTCCCTCCCCTTCCCGCAAAATCCCTTTATTCTCTTCTCCTTTCCAATAAACACCAAATACGCACTGTCAACCGAAAAAGCACTTGTTCGCGCACACGCGAGATCACAGACGGTATACGGAGCGAAAAACACACACACACGACGCACAAACACAGTCACGCCCGCTCTCTCGCGCGCAAGCGTGTATATTTATTTATGCGCGTATATATCTCACGCGCGATCACGGTCCCGAAATAGTGTGACAGTCCAAACCACACGGCGGAGCTCCGTTTCACGGTCCTTCTTTCTCTCTTTCTCGCGGATTCTTCTTCTTGTGTCTTCTGCTCTCTCTCTCTCTTCTCTATCTCGCGTGGATATTTCCGATGAGCGGCGAACGAAACGCGCACCAATCTTTTATTCCTCGGATAAGTCTTTCGGCCGCGTTACACTCGAGCTCGAGTCCGACACCGGCTGACCTTGAACTCTCATTTACCTCTCGTTTGCTCTTCTCCGCTTCTTCTAGAGATCTAGTAGAGATCTCCTCGATTCTTCTCGCTCTCTCTCTCTCTCTCTCGAGGGAGTCTTCTACGTATCCCGTCGACGAACACCTCCCGGGAACAAACAATCCGCACGACGGCCGGGAGCGCGAGCCACTGTCGGCATCGCGGACGAAAAGTCGACGTCGTCGTCCGCGAGTCGACCGACGACGTAAAAAAAATAAAAATAAAAACGCACCACGCGGATGCAACTGGTCGGAGATTACCGACAGACGCGCGCCCTGCTACTGGGTATAATATCGTCGTAGACTCGTTATCCGTTTATACACGCGCGTTCTCGAGAGATAGACAGAGAGAGAGGTAGGAGAAAGAAGAGACCCAGGGGGGGAGGAAGAGGGGGAGGAGGGTAAGCACGAAACGAATCGGTCGGCGCACGCACGACACCCGGCCTTTACTTTCCTCGGACGTCGCCTACGTATCGAGGGCGATGCGGTGCCTTAACCTCGCGACCCGGCACAACGACGTGTATATGTATACAAGATATAAGAGTATGCGCGGTATATATAACACACCGGCGCCGCCGCTGAATCCTCTCTTCAGGAGCAAGAACTCGCGACTCTCCACAGCTGACGCAACGACAAAGACGTCGTCGCCGAAGAGCAGTAGTACTTGGATCTCGGTGACGCTCGTGGCAGGAGATGACGTCGCTCCCGATGCTCCTCTCCCTGCCGACGATCCGGTGCTCGCGTCGTCGTCAATGCCGGCACCACCGGGTGGTCGGCGGCACCGCGTAGGGACGACGTCGACGACGACGACGGCGACGGCGACGAGGATCGCTGCCACCACCACCACCGCCGCCGCGACGACACTCCAACAACCTCGGACTCGCGATCGTCGCTCCGTCGATCACTCCCCGTCATCCGTGCGCGCGTATCACCGAGTGACATTTTCCGCTCGCATCGTCCGTCCCCTTCTCTCCCTTCGTCTTCTTCTTCTTTTATCTCCTCTCGCGTTACGTTTCCACGCGCCGCTCTGTTCTTTCTCTCTCACCGTCACACGATGCCGCGATTCTCGGCACCCATCGCCGGCGATGCTTTTCCGCCGCCGCCGCCGCTGCTGCTGTTGCTTCTCGACGAAGAACTTGTTGTGTCGATGAATTCGCGACGCGCACTGTCACATTCTTGACATCGCTCGCGAGGTGAAATGAGAACTGAACGTGGGAAAGATCAGAGTTTGCGGCAGGAGAGAGAGAGCACGCAGCAAACTTCACTCCGAAGAACGACGCTTCCTCGATATATCGGCTTTAGTACGACGTCTCGGGCTCTCGTAACCCGCTCTTCTTCTTCTATCGACGACTCGAGTGTCCGTTGCCCTCTTCCACCAGCGTGTCTTCCTTTTCCTTTTGTCGATCGCGCGATGAATATCAACGTCATCAGCGGATCGAGACGAACTGTTGCGCACGAACGGACCGACACGGCGCGATCACTCCGACTCGACCAAGCTCGGCGGCGACTGCGACGAGACTGGCAGGCACGAGGTTCGGCCGTCACAAGCGCGCCGCGACTTCCCCCACCACCGCGACTTCCCCCACCACCGCGCGCCGTCTGTCTCCCCCCTCCGCCCGGCACACACGCAGCGCTCTCACTCTGCCTCGCGTCTCTCGCCGCCGCGGTGGCGCGGCTCGTCTCCTTCTGTCCTTGTCGTCCCGACAACACGCCGATACAACGACCGTAGCATACTAAACACACAAGAGAGAAAGAGACGATCAAACATGGCTGCGCCAGTGACGGACGGCGCCACGATCGCCAAGTAGCGGTGCCGAAGACGGTCGAGTCTCTTCTCTATCCCGTTTCTCTCTGTCTCTGTCCGCGCGGCGCCTCGCAGAGATCGAGATACGTGTGCATAGGCGTCCGCAGGGGAAAAGGGCAAGGGGGCACCTTTGCCCCCCTTGAAATCAATAAAAAAATCAAGCATTTGCTATTTTTTGAATAAACACTGGAATTTACTTGTATATTTAATATAAAAAAATTAAAATAGCAAAAAATTTGATTTTAAAAAATTAAGGAAAAAAAAATTGAATTATGCTCCCTCCTGGAAAAAATCCTGCGGACACTCATGCGTATATATGTATATTGTATGTATGGGCAACCGCGTCGACACGAATTCGAATCGAAATTTTTACAGCCTTATGCAAATGCGTGAATCATCGCGATGCGTCATGATTAAGTGGCCAAATTCGCGATTGAAATTGGGTCGAGATAGAATTTTTAGATATGCTAAATAAATAATTTTACACCTCTGTTTATTTATCTAATCTTGCTCAAACAACATGTTACCAGGGTCATTAGATTAATATCATCTTTTCGTAAGTGAAGAATGTTCGCCGTTAAAAAAAAAATAGAGATTTTTTCTATATATTTGTCCAACTTTTATCTAATTTAGATTAGACGATTTGTGAAGGAACGGAAAGCGGAAGGGCAAAGAGACAAAGATATCAAACTGTTCGTCGTTAGAGCAGACTGACGCCAGTGTCTTCACCGCCAAACTGTCGCGCTCCGTTTCAACCTTCGAGGGTCAACATTCCAGGATAAATTTTAGTCACGTTATCGCTCGTAAAAGGGAGTAACCCATTCCCCGACAAACGACAAAGAAACGCCGCAAGGAACACACGCACACTACTAATATCGGATGACAGGAAGAAAATAGCAAGGGGAAGTCAGTGTGGCGCAATGCTCAAATTTTTGGGAAACGCATCGTTCATTTAAAATTCCATGGACGAGATATTTCTATTTAAAGCTCATGAAAATAATCATAGAGCAGATGACACTCGTATACGCGAGTTTTCAATGAGTCAAAAATTCCAGCAACCTTTTTTTTGGAGATAAAACTATTAATTAATTAAAATATTGTTATACGCGATACTTACAAAATTTTGAAGATCGCACCGTCAATTGCTCTTAGTAGAGATGCCTAATCTGCAATAGAAATTTATATTACACTTATTTTTATTTTTATTGTGTAACACGTGCAGTCTATCTCTTAAAAATAATTATTTTTTATCAGAAGCGAAGTCTGACAAAACCTAATTTTCCAAGACGCGAGGAGACTACGAAAAATCTTTCTGCCTCGAATCGGCAAGTGGGGTACCCTTGTCAACGCTATAACAGTGTGTACACGTGCATCAATAACGCGTAAATCGTGCAATTTATCTCCGGAGGCGAGACGTGACGCGACGCGTTTAATTTGGATCGTCGCGTCTCGAGCAGGTATACCCAAGAGAGAACGAGATCCGAATAGTTGACCGAGTATACTGAAAAAGGGTCGCGAATGGCATAGCATCGCGCGAAGTTGAAAGGATCTCTCGCGCGTCGCTCATAAATTTTCTAATTTTAGAAACTCGTTTCGCGCGATCCCGGTGGACGTAATTTTGTAATAGGCGGCTGCATAGCTTCGCCCGGCGAAGCCGACTCTATAAACTTACGGGAGCCTATAATTTCATTTTTCTATAATCGAAACGCGCCGTGGTATAACACGCTTTGGAGCTCCCCCTTTTTTGCCGATCATTATATTATCGTGTATATTTTTTTTTATATTTTTCATATCATCTCCCTTATCTCCTGCATCGACAGGTATTTGACGAAACGAGATCGTATCGAAAATTTTCATTAAAATCAGATTTCCTGTCAAACATATATACGTGCGATCGATGGAGGATCTGCTGAAAGTCGCAGTTTACGCAAGGACAATTAAATCGATGAAGGCAATGATAGCTTAAGGCGTTCCGGCTTATAATATCTCATCCCACAATCGGTTGTTTAACACTGTGAATGACGTTAGGTATTTATGCCGTGCGTAATTCGCACTTCGCGTGACACCTCGCGAGAGCTACGCATCATTCTTAACTAAGGATTGCGACTGGACTTTATATAACGAGTTTCGAGTTTCCATAAAATAATCACCGCGTGAAAATGTGCCGACAATTAATAGCACGGTATTTAGATGGAATGAAACAAACGTAAAACAAGAGTATACAGTTCTCCGTCTTTGTCCTGAATTTATCGAATACGGCGGAGCGAATCGCGCCGACAGAAAACGCGTTCGCCAGGCTGTGACGCGAATATCCCTGCTAAAGCTTCTCTCGCGTTCTCTCTCGCGACGAGTCGCGACGTGGGTCTAGACGCGTTATTTTACCCGTCCGAACACGGTCCAAAATGATATAGAATTTAGGAAGTTATTTAGTTATGTACGTCTGGTGTCCTGCGCTGGCTAGTAATCAGACGCCTAGCCTTTTGTTTTTCTCTCCCTATCTCTCTTTTCGTCTCTTTCTTCCCTATCCTTACCTTTTTCTCCGCTCCTCGTCTACCGAGGACCATCGTGCTTGTTTCTCGTTCTTCCTCTCGTCTCTCTTGTACAACCGGTAAAGATCTCTCGGTAAATTCTGTAGGGCTATCCGCGTTTCTTCGGTGCCTCGATGTCTTGGCCCAATTAAATGTCGATCAGGGCGGCCCTGGCTCAAGGTATACCGACGTTGAGAACAAAAAGAATTCGTCGAGCCTGGAAAACAAAGAGAGAGAGAGAGAGAGAGAGAGACAGGATGGGGTGGAGAGTGCTCGTTTGCCCGTATATCCGCAACGAGATGCACACGAATTATTCGGATTCGAGAATACAAGACGCCTTTCAACAGTCGTGTTTATTCTGGCAACTAGATTTTTGCGGAAATAAGTAAGGAGAGCAAGTGAAAGTTCCTTCAACAAAGTGTCATAAAACACACATTAAATAATCATTAATTCTGCGCTCGTTTTTACAACAAAAAATTAAATTTTTAATTAATTGCGATATATTGAAATTTATTAAGATAAATTTCGTAAAAATGCTTTCAAAAATTTTAACTATATTTGACATTCATTTATATTTTTTGCTTGCATAGATAATAATTATTATCTAATCGTGCATAGTGCCAGCTGCCGCGTGAGATTTAAGCAGCGACAAACATGCGATGCGAAACGGCCCAAGATAGCGCAATCGTACTTTTTTTCATTCTATTTTCAAACACGAAAATTACTCGCATGCCCGCCGCTGCTCTTTGGGGTATGGCGCCATTCTTAACATATCGCACCGATGGCACCGGCGAATGGACGACATTAATGTTGTGCGATGGAACATCGCAATGTTGATGTAATATATTGCGCCGATAAAGAGAACTATTCCTGTATTTAGAACAGAAGATATAGTGGATTAATTTTTGAAATATTTTTTCAATTATAATTATATCGCACGTGATATTATTATATCTCGAACATTAGCAAGACATGTATACATATGTATATTATTATAAAAATAATTATGAATAATATATAAAAATAAATATATTATTACATGTATATTTTTCTATATTATTCATAATTATTTCTTGCGCTTTGTCTATTACAATTTAAAAATGAATTATTGTAATTTTTGTGCTGATATGACAATAATTGTACCCGAGAGGTTCTTGAAAATGGATAATTAGCAGATGCAAACACCGGGCGTCCGCTAGAACAATGTAAAGCGATAGGAATGATGAACTCGCATAAATAGAATGAAACCGAGGGACCTCATCTGTCTTTTCCAAAAGGTCGCGACGCGTTTCGGTTTTCGTTTCAACGAATATCCTCGCTCGCGTCACACACGTGCGCGCTCTTCGTTACACGTCGCGGCTCTGCTTCGTTGTCTTCGTCCAAGAGGATTATTAATGAACGCCCGATGAACTGTGCCTTCCGCCAATTACTGCTGGTAAACGACGTGCTTCTCTCCACTCCGCGCGATTAACACGCGCGCACGCTCGTTATCCGCGCGCGAGCGTGAATAGCTCTACTTGAAATTCTGCGCGTACATATCGCGCCGATTGATCGCGACGTGCATTAATTGCGTTGCTCCCTCGAAACTTTGAGAAATAATGATGATGGGACGCGCGAAATGGGATAAACGTTTACGACAAGTCGCGGCTTGCGAAATTTGACACGTCGAATGGACTATAAAGGATAGTTGATTTTAATGGTTTCGCGATATACTAATGGAAACATATATATATATATATATATATATATATATCGCGGGAGAAAAGCGAAAAAAACGCGCGCGAAATGAATTTCTCAGATTTTCCGAGAATATACTCTTGGCGCCGCTTGTCGAGACAGAGGAATATGATGATTGACGATGACGCGCTCTGACTTTGTCACGTCGCACACATACGAATTAAGGAGCGGCGTCTCTCGCATGGAAATATTTTCAGTCGCGGCATTTTTACGCTCGAAGTGCCTATAAGAGAATAACGATGAAGGAACATCCTAGCAAATTCTACTTTTAATTTCTCGATACATCGTAATGTGTACAATTGCAAATATTATGTACATGTTGTTTCTATACGGAGAGAATTTTCTTTTAAAATTTACGTGCGCGAAAATCATGGTAATCGTGAGGCAATATGATACTGAAAGAATTTTATTAAAGTTTCTCTCATTAATATATCTATACTTGTGGTAAATATTAATCAGAGAAACTCTTATAAAAAATTCTTCCAATATTATATTATACCATCACGATTATCATGATTTTCAGGGTAAATTTTACGAGAAAATTCTCTCTATGTAGGATGCCTATAGATTTTCAATGGAGAAAAAATAAAAACTGTATTTTTTTATGGATCTCATTGATCCTTTTTGCGATCGAAAGGAGGATGTTTTTCATGAATTTTACTCGAGACAGACTTGGCCCAGCGCTCACCGATAATCAAGTATCTTTACTCCGTACAGATAGCGTCGGCGCCGATGTCAACGCTCCAAATTCCGAGGGAGAGCGATCGTCGTCGTTCTTCGAAGCGGCGCAGCGGTCCAGCTCACGATTCCGCTATAATTCATCTTCCACGAAGCGCGGAGACGTTTCGGGCTATTCTTAGGGCCGGCGCGGAATCTTTTTCAGTAACTCCCCGATGGACCGAGACGACGTGTTGGAACGCATGTCGAGGATGACCAATCATTCGGAGGCTTCTAGTTGTTTATCACCGATGTGAACGTCGCGCTCGCTCTAATGCGTAATATCTGCGTAGAATCTCGCGAGAGAGAAAAACGGACGAGAAAACTTTGAACGGGCCTTTGCGGCTAATAGCTAATATTATTTCACGTTGTCGACGGTAAACGTTTAGACGAGAGCGATAAACAGTTTCTAATCAAAATATATTATCCTACGTAAAAAAAAAAAAAAAAAAAAAAGAGAAACAGAGATGAGAAGCATCGCTAAATAAAATTACATCGTGGCGCTTATCCAGCGGTAATTATAGTCTTATCAATTATCTCCTAACTTACAATTACGAATGAAAAATATATATACATATATAAAAGATCCTTTGTAATCGACGGCAGATCTACAGAGGATATAAAAAGCGACTCGACCGTGACGGCGCTTCATTGTTCACGCTCGTTGCTAACAGCGTTTTGTGCACCTGTCAGTCAGACAGTACACGAGCTCTCGCTGCCGGTTATGGAAATTCGGCTGGCATTAACGATGTCCGCTTGCAAATGGAAAAACCCGGTCGCTCGCCACCTCCGGGCGACGCGACGCGACGCGGCGCGTTGCACGCTCGACGGACTCGAGCGCGTAATCGTCGTCTGCATCGCTGGCGCCGGGTGTCCCTCTCTCTCTCTCTCTCTACCTCATATTTCTCACGGAGAATTTAAATAGAATTATCGCAACCGTGGTCTCGCGCATGTACATATATATTTATATATAAATACACGATTGACGATTGTGATAACGCATATAGGTACGGTGACCATCCGTATATCCTTTATTTTAGAGAGGATAGTTCTTTATTTCAAGTAGCTCTCCTTTAGATATTCATTTTTCCAAAACTCAATTTTGTCATTTATTTTTTATTTAGTTTGTTGTTTAGTCCCGTAGTTTGAAAACAACTAAAAGAGAGAGAGCAAAACAGGTTCTCTAGAGGGTATGGTCGGCAATATTTAGAGTTTCTCAGCATTCTCTCCGTAGACTTCTGATAGTCATAGAATTATATTTTTTGCGATCTCTACTTTTGGATGCAACTGATTTGGAAACATGTTGAAACAAAGCCCTAAATTTGTCAAATTTAACCTTTATTTTCTCTTATATAGAAAATATGATCATCGTACACATATATAGATGTATACTCTGGACCGGCTCGCCTCCGTGTTACCGAGATATTTCTGCCAGTGGTTGCCACGAGGAAATACGTTCAAGTCGCGGCAAATAAAATACAACCCGAGTTAATCCGAGATAAGGTGGAAATGCGAAATATGTATAAATATATATGTGAATGATTAATTATTATAACACGGAGAGAATTTTCTCTTAGAATCTACCCTGAAAATCATGGTAATCGTGGGACAATATCGTGTAAGAGTTTCTCTGATTAATATTTATCACAATAAAAAATATTAATATGTACATAGTAAAATTTATCGAACATATTTTATAATATCTTATTGTATCGTATAGATATTAATTTTTGTATTGCGGTAAATATTAATCAGAGAAACTCATAAAATTCTTTTATAAGTTCCTTCAAATATCATATATATCATTTTACGATTCCCATGATTTTCCGGATAGATTTCAAGAGAAAACTCTCTTCAGAATGTCGATATATTTTTTCAACGATTCACATCCGGTTTCTACTTGGACGGTCCATATCCGTCACATTTATAACCCCTCGCTTTTTTTCTCTTTCCCGCCGGGTACGAGGTCTTCGGCGGAAGTCTCCGCTTTGGACGCAACGCGAAAACCGGCGGTAGATCGAAACACCTGCGACGAAGAAACACGTGCGGTCGGATATACATATATCGATATATAGAGGCGCGAGAGAGAAAGAGAGCTAGCGCGGCTGCGGCACGGCCCTGCGAGACTTTACTTAGCTCGAGGAAGGGGAGGAGAGGCATGACGGGACAGGTGCGGCTCGTAACTTCCTGGATGATATCGGCCGGTCCGGACGCTCGCGCTCGCGCGCGTCCGGCGCTAACGCCTGACGCTTACGTTAGCGCTGGCGCCACTCGGATCCGCGCCGTAGGCGCCTGTCAGTCCCGGCTGCTTCCCCCGGTGCCCCTCTTCGTATTCTTCGCTCCACTCCTTTCGCTCTTTACCCCGCGCCGCGTAAAGCATCTGTACCTCTTTGGCCCGGAGTATAACCCGCGGACTCCTCTCTTTCGCTCGCCGACCGAAGCGTCTTCGTTCGTGCGAAGCCGCCGGCGAAAACGATGTTACCTTTATTCACGCGCGCCATGCGCGCCGGAAAGATGATGTCCAGGATGGGAGAGGGAACGACAGCGTTTACATCGCCGAGATGCATGCATACGAAATTATGCCGCGGCGAATCTAATCTTCCAACGGTTGCCTCGATCGGCGATTTTCGTGCCGACGATGCAAATGCAGACATGCAATCCGCTATAAGGTCGCGTCTCGAGGTGCGCCTATATGTATAAGAACGCATGGAGAAGGGGGATATTTTTTCTCCTCGCCGACGAGAAAAATAAAAGGACAACATAATCACGATTCTGAGAGAAGTCACGTACGCGCGTAATCTGACATGCTCTATCTGTATATATACATATATGCCGTCGCGACGAACAAACATCGATATAGATCTAATTTTCGGAGCCGACTTTTGACTGGCCTCCTTCCTCTCCCTCCCTCCTTCCCCCCCGAGCGTGGAACTTATAATTAGAAAATTTAGTGCTTCGAGCGACTCGAGATAATACGTCGTATCCCGATCACACGCGAGATGTGTCGCGACATATGCGTGTACGTTTAAATTCCTACAAATACGGTGGACGATCGTCATGGGCGCAGGATTTTTTCCAGGGAGGGGCATGATCGAAACATTTTTTTTTCTTATATTAACATCCTTTTTTAATTTTTTTTATTATTTTTTTATTTTAATATTTTTATATTAAATAAAATTGCAAATAAATGCCAGTGTTTATTCACAAGGAGAGCAAATGCCTCTTATTACCCTTCTTAAATTGTGGACGCCCATGAAGGTCGTCGTATGGTATAAATAATGGGGAGAAAATTGACTCCTTCTCTCCGAGAGAAGGCGTTATTTATAAAATGTAATGCTGCGGCATTGTTATATTTACACCTGCCATACTCTTACCTTTTCAATTGACGGAAACTGTACAGGTATAAAGCGATTACATTTCGTTCTACCTTCGAGACGCATTCCAATCGCGTCTGACGCAATCCGTGCGCGATACCAAACGGATTTCAGATCCGACATTGTTGAGGCAATGTTAATTTATTCGGCGGCTATTACGTAAGAAGGAAGAGAGATATATTCCTGGCGCACACTCACACATAGTTATCACTATTCAAATACGCGGTAAATATTTATTTCTCTAGCGCCGCAGCTGCAAATGCCTCATCTTCACGTCTTTAGTTAAAAAGTTTCGCGACAATCAATGGCCGCTTATTTCTTTTCATTTTTTATGCATATGTGTTTTTAATAATAGTAAAATTAATAGATCTTTCGAGCATTTCTATAAGGATAAGGATCCCCATCGTTCACCGACGAAAGGTTTTCGTTCTAAAAAGTTTTCCTCCAACTCGCGTTCTAGGTTTGCATCTCGCTGAACTCACATTGTTTCTTACCTGTTGCAGACTTTCCGCTATTGGCCGAGATACCGTGCACGTGCTACGCCGGCGTACAAAACTCGCTGCCGATTACGAAATCTTCGACGGAAGATTTCGCGTAAAACACACCGCTGAATTTTATCGTACTCCTTACTCCATCGATTAAAACAAGGCACGCATATCTGAAACACATATCGATACGTTTTTCACATTCAATTGAAAAATAAGATGTCACAAATTGCATAGAAAAAACTTTGCATAAATCATGTCTATAATTTTAAAATATGGTTTATAAAATAGCAAATTATCTGTTTTTACAGATGTTATCGTTTTAAATTGTTGTTATCGAAGCAATTATTTTTTTTATTTTATACATATTAATTGCTAATTGCCAAGAAAAATCAATGAGTCGTCATAATTTTCGCGATAAAAAATGAAAAAGAAAAATTTAATATTCTTTTACAACTATGTAAATATATGAATGTAAAAACGAATAAATGAAATGCACCAAGGTTTCAAAAGAATTCCAAGCATTTTAAGCGTCAAAGTCGCAAGAGGTTTAACATACATAAAGTCGTGCAAACAACCAAGACCTTGTTTCTCAATTAACACGCATGACGCGGTAATTAAATGTCGAAAAAAAGGAGTTGGAAAAAATCGCGTATTTTTCTTCGCGCGATTTCATCTACAACGGAGAGACGTCCAGAGGGAAGACCAAAAGTTTCGCGTATATATTCAATGGAGGTGCACGATCGGCAACTCTCCGGGGACTCGACTCCTACGATCGTCGAGCGTCGACTGGCCGCGACGCCGGCCGAACGCCGGGCAATATGTAAGCGCGTGTACGAATGCGCTGCAAATATACGGACGACTGGAGCCGAGGGACTCTCGCCACCCCTGTGTTCGTCGTCGTCGTCGTCGTCGTCGTCGGCGTCGTCGTCGTCGTCGTCGTCGCCATCGTCGTGGTGTGGCTCCTCGCCTAAGGGCGGCCGGAGCGGCGCGAATCCGCGGCGACATAGAGCGGCGGCGCGCCAGTAACGTGGCGACGCGGTTCCTGACGCCACTCGGCGGACATGTACGCGCACCCTCGTCGCCGATACGTATACACACGTGCGAGCGTCAACGACGACGTGCGCGCGCGACGCCCGGCACCGACAGCGGTGGCGAACACATCGGCGGAAGGGGCGCGTGGAAGGGTGGTTCTGGCAACGGGGACGTTGAAACTGCTGGTACACACCAGGGTGCTTGACCGAGTCAAGCCAAATTGCCGATCGACGACGCCACTCTGCGTATATACACTTTTCGGGCGGACTCTTCTTGCTCTTGTGCGGAGGGATAAACAATGTCATTTGCCGCGTCCCTTCTTCTCCCTCGTCGCTGTTCCTCGATCGCGCGATCCCGAGGAATCGAAACGGCGACATCGGTTTGCTCGAGATCCATTGGAACTTGAAATTAAATATATTTCACAATTAAAGTCTGGTCAATTACATCATTCATTAATCATACGCATAATAATATATACATATTATAAATTATACATTATAATTATAATATAATCATATGAAATAAAAAACTGTTTCTTGAAAAATTACATACATTATATATATGTAAAAAATATTTCAGTCTTTTTCTATCGATATAATAATTTGTTAAATATAAATTCGCATTTTTTGAAATTAAAATAAACAGTTTTATTGATCAAATATTTTGATTCTCTTGCTGCGCGTGGCGCCGCTTTTTTCTTTCTCCGACCCCGACGTCTGCAAGTTATCCGCGATTCGATTCGCATGACATTAGGGTGATTCGATATGTATACTTTCAAAGTTGGGGTACTTTACGACGCGCGAATTAAACAGGCATCCGCTACATTTCCTGCACCTTAATGGCAGGAAGCGAGTAAACACCGGTACCATTCTCGTTTTCGTCACATTGCTTATTCGCGAAACCAAAGCCGCTCTATTTCCGTCAAAAGTATACGCGCACTCAAGCATCTTCTCCTTCTCTGTCAGCGGATATAGCATAAGAAAGGAATGCGGATAACGAAGAGGACAAGATGAAACGTACTTGAAACATCATTAACATTTCTCACCTCGTACAATTTTCATAAGAAATCTACGCAAATTTAGTTCTTTATATATTATAAACGATTAAATATTGGAATCTCATTGCGTAAAATTCGGTATATTTTTCCTCCCTTATTTAAAACTTTTTTACTACATAATATATTTTTACTTTTCGAAAAATTCTCCATCAGACTTGTTTGTCAGAAATATCTGCCATTGAATCTTAAAACATTGTAATATATGATACGCGTCATTAATTCACTCACGCTCTTTCGCGGGTTAAAAACCACGACTCTTGCACTCTTACTCCGGTTCGTGAGCTATGATCGGAAATTTCCGATCATACGACCGTTTGAAAATCGCGTCGGCGGCGCTCCGGCACCGCCGCTAACGACGGCTGTCTCTCCGATTCGGGAGGGGCGGTTCGAGACAACAAGTTAGAAAAACGGAATGACGCCGTAGTGTCAGGACATCAATTCTTTCGTAATGACACGGGCGCAGCCAGTCGGTCGGACGTCTCCGTTCCCGTCTCCGGGAGTCGGGGGCGGTATGGGCGACGGTGATGATCCGAGTCCGTCCGGCTCCGTTCTCTACGTCCCGTTGTTTATCAAGTTCCCCTTCGCATAACAAGCATCAAAACACTTGGCGCCCCACGCTGGAGCCGTCGTAGTCGGCCGCCTCCGGCCCCTCCTGGGTGGCAGCCGCTTCTACTACTTTCCGCGGATGTTGCCGGGGGTAGGTGCTCTGGCATGGGTTAAAACGGCGGGTACACCCTCGGCGGAAAGGGGTGTCTCTCTCTCTCTCCCCCTATCCACACCAGGCGCCGTCTATACCGACTCTGAAAAAAAATGAGTTATCGTTCTGGATCTAGGAGCGCGGTGATTGCGATCACAGGGATTCCCGTAGTTGTAAACTATGTACAATCAACGGGAAATTATAGAGTTGGCGCTGGGAAGGGGGTGAGAGGAATTAAACGATACTATTGAGGGTTTAACGCATGTGCGATCGCGAAGAAAACATATCTAATGAACCCGATTTTAATATTCAATGCGCTATGAATGATATAAATATTTTATATGAATATACTTTTATGGAAAAGGGTTCCAGGTTATTTCGAGTTCGAAAATGTTTAGAAATTATTTTATCGTATTAAAAAAAAAAAAAAATGAAGAATTTTCAAATTGTACTTAGAAACTTTCTTCATCTCTAAATTCTGTCCTGATAAATATAAGTGGATACAGTAACCGAGGGAAAAACAACCCCTATTAATTTGCAATTTGTTTTCCGAGTGTCCTCGGAAACGATATAGTCCGAGTATTTTTTCCTCAATTATTTTCGCATAAAACGCGATGGCGCCATTGACGCGTCTAGGAATCGGAGATTTCGGATGACAATATCGAGAAAGGGGATGGGTGTCGGTGCATCGTGAAAGATAGAGAAAGAGAGGGACCGCGGGGATGTGGACGGAGACGTCTGTCTCCCCCGGCTTGGCGTCCGTTGGACGAGCAACGCGTCCCACCCTACCGTGCGTCGTGGCGGTGCCAGAAGAAGTATTCTTGCATTGGTCGTCGTCGCCGTCGCCGTCGTCGTCGACATCACCGTCGTCGTCGTCTTCGTCGTCGGTGGTGGCGACGGCGACGCTCCACGCTTGGCGTCGAGGTTAGCGCCGGCCGGTCGCTGGAATCGGCGCCTGGCTGTCTCTTTCTCTCTGTCCCTCTCTCGGTTTCGTCTGTCTACAGCCGGGAGAAAGGAGCAGAGCCATCGTCATCATCGTCGTCGTCGTTTGTTCGTTCGACGGCGACGACGTGGCTCTGCCAGCCGGCTGTCGCCGTTCGCGCGACCCCCACTCGCCGTCGATCTATTTCACGGGATGCGTTTAGGGTAATGAAACGCCGACATCGAAAAATAGTCGTCCCTCTGGCGTTTAGCGCCGCTTATGCCGCCCGTCGCGCGTTACGCGCGCTCCGCGATATACCGCCGAGCGTTGAAATTACCGCCTCGCCATTGCACCCGGTGCGTCACACGCACTATACGTATAGAACGAGCCGCTCATTTTAGTCCTACAAAATTCAGATAACATTTCATATCTAGACGCATCCTAATATAATCAGGGATATGTCTATGATCTTTGATGAAAAATTCATAATATAATTATCTATTCGTATTTCTTGGGTTTTTTGCGAAATGGAAATTTATTTTATCATATTTATCGGATGTTTTAAGATGACACATCACGATTCAAACTGATTGCTCTATTATTAATCTAATATATTTTAATATAAATATATTTTAATTTATAAAAATAATAATAATATATATATATATATATATATATATATATATATATATAATATGTGATGTATTATATATAATATAAATTAAATGAGATACAATAAAGAAGCTAATGTATTCCTTCTCTTTCTTGGATTAATTATATTGCAAAGAGATGAGAGAAGAGAAAGAAAGAGAGTGACTTTAAAAGATAAATTTTTTTACATATATTTGTTCTGTGCGAAAAGAACGGAATCGATCGCGGCCCGCGGCAAGTGCTGGTACCCCATCGTCATAACAAACAAGGCATCAATTCGGTAACGGACGTTGTGGCGCACGTCGCAATCTGTCGGCATAATTAGATCACGATCTTGCGGCGCGTAAGAAAAATCGAACGCGCGGATTGTTTCGTAGCTGAGGGCCAGCCGAATATAATGGGATTTTGCCGAGCCCGACGTGATTCGAGGGTCGGCGAAAGATTCGTCCCGATTGCCCGTCGCGTCGATCGTCTCCCATCATTCCAGGAGGCCCATCGGCCCTCCGCGAAATCATCGGGGCTGTGTTTTACGAAGGCAGCTTGAGATCTCGGCGCCGCTGCTGGCGACGCGTTCCTTCTCTTTGATTTCTCTTTTTCTCTCTCTTTCTTTCTTCCTCGCCGTCTTTCCCGTCGTGCCAGCCCAATGTGGAGTCCCTTAACTCAAACCATTATCCGTATACCGCACGATTATAGGGCAACGGGACCGACAAACAAGCGTGGGTTAATCCATAGGCGCCCCTAAGAAGGGACGTCTGGGGACGTGTTTAACTTCTCTATGTGGATCACGTTTATTTCTCAATAAAAATAAAGCTGGAAGGATACCTCTCAGATAATTGAAATTTTTTCAAGAAATTAAAGAATCTTCTAAATTGAAAATATATATGTGCGTGTATGATATTGTAATCGTCGAGTTTTTTCTCGCACAATTTAAATTATAATCTAATTAAGATTTTTCATACATCACAAACAGTTCTATTTTTATGTATAATATGTGTTTTTAGATTAAATAATATGTGCATTCGTGGTTTGAGAAATTTTCATTTATCGGAAAAATTAAATTGTTAAAATTGTATTTATTTCATTATTACTATTTCTCTTATATTATTCTTATCTATTGTTAAGATATATACATATACGTAATGTGTATATCTTCGAAATGGCATACTGATGTTTCTCTTATTGAAACTTATCGAATGAAGATTTCTCGAACTGGCAGATGCATATCTGTGCGCCTCTTTCTGAAAATATTACCTTTGGCGCCCATGTAGAACACCCCCGGCATAGCTGTTCTCCGCCCTGCACCAGCACATACGTGTCCTCGACTACGCAAACAAACTCGTGCACCGGCTAACAATCTGCCTCTCCAACCGTCCATCATATTTCCATCCTCGTCGTTTTGCGCTACCGCCACTTTCTGCTAATTCCGGATCCTCGTCAAACATTGTCCTTGAACATGCACATATTTGATTATTAGACTTATTATTCTCATTATGTTCTACTTATTGTTAACAAAACAAAAGGAACATTGCAATTTACATTTACAGTTAAAGTGAAAAACGTGATTGATAATTAGAATGGTTTCTCTCTCTTTCTTTCTTTCTCTCTTTCTCTCTCTCTCCTTCATGACTTTCAAATAGCTTGATAATTGAGTTAAATATGCATATCCATTGACTTATAAGTGCTTTTAAAATTGAGAAACGTGAGTTTGATACTTATTTATACATTTCGACAGTTTTCGTGCTTTCAAATGACAAAATTATTACCTTTTTAACAGAGTTTTGCTGGACAAGAAAAATTCAACCGCGAACGTCACGCCGCCATATTGACTGTTATCGGTTGCTAGGATACGCGTTGCACGATTGTGACTACAGATGGCGCGCAGATACGCTTCGGAAGCCCTGCCGATAAAATAACTCGCGCGACGTCAATTATCATCTCGCGGTCACCTCAAGCCGAGCTCCTGTTCCAGAAACGTCAAAACCAGTACGATATGTATCTTAACCTAACTTATTACCCTCAATCCCCAGTATATCGTTCGTCCTCGTCAAAGTGCCACGTTAACAAGTCATCTCCAGGCGGATCCGGCGAGAGATCGCGTTACGTAATGCGAGAACGATAAGATCATTTCTGGCGGGGGTCGAAATAGTGCATAATATATAACGACGACATCCAAGTTCATCCTAGGATGTACGTGGGTTACGCACAAGTCTGTGCGTTCGCTCGCATTTAGTTCCTCGAGCAGCGAAGCGACTCGCAGACACGTCGTCGAAAGAGCATCGGAGCTGTCATCTGTCAAAATCGCGTTTTTCTGTCATCGCTTTCACAAGATCCCACGTCATTCCAGCGTATCGGAAACATGAACGAATCGTCGACGGCAACATATTTAGGTCTAGACCTGAGCACGCAGCAGGTAATGACGAGTCTGTGGTCGAAATGCGAAAATATACAGTTGTAAGATATAAATATATATATATGCGGAATTTGAGACGCGTGAAAGTTCGAGCCATTAGCGGCGTGTTAATGAATAATTAAAGTACAAACACGTCTAAGAACGCAAAAGCCTCTCAGTTTTTTTACAGATATTTCGGAGTAATTGTTTAACTAGGATGCGTAATAGTTGTTCGCAAGATATATAAGAATACGAATTGTTCTAACAATTGTCTGACGTTTCCTGACCACGTGGAGTTCGATCCAATTGCGTGGCGTATTTATTGACATAAAAGTATTTTGTATATTATTTTAATAATTTTGAAAACCTTACGAAACAACATCTGTATCGTTCACTTGCATGCTTTTTTTTTAAACTGCGAGATAAAATGATTTCCGCAAAATTTTGATGCTGCAAGTACGTGAAATGATCTTTATTGACGACAATAGATAGATAAGATAATAATGAAACGATGTAACGTAAATATTTTACTATGTCAACAGCGTCAAAATTATATCAAATTCTTAAGGAAAAATAAATATTTTGTGGAAAGAACTATGAAAAAATTGTCCATTAGTTCGTCAACTCGGAACGCACTCATATTTTTTTATATCTATACATATATACTTTATTTGTGATTTCCATAAATTATTTCCTTCAATTGTTATACAATTATCGATTACTTGTTATTTCGTCTCTATTCATTTTTAATCTTACAAAGTATGTTTACAAATTTCATTATCTTCGAATAAAAATGACCCGAAAGTTCATTTAACATGCGTGTTATGCATTTTAAAATATGTCGATACGTTAGTTGTTTCGTAATTTGACGATTCTATGCAGAAAAGATGAACAAATGTCACGAGGCGCTCTGACGTTGCCGGGTTATTATTATCTAATGCGCGATAACGTTGTTAGCTGATAAATATGAGAGAAACAGATCTGCAAAAAGTGGCGAAATGCAGCAAATATTAACTGATAAGCGATAAAATTAATATCGTGGCGGCACGCCACGATATTAATTTTGATGCATGCACATAGGTGTAAATATTACATTGCATCCGAGGTGATAATGTAAATAGCATATTAATATACGATTCTGTTATATTATTATGTCACGATATTATTATCGTTCATCTAGATAGATATGAAAATAATTTTTAGATCTTATTAGCGATATATACGTCCTCATACTAATCGATCATTATTATAATAAATATAATTATATTAGTATTATATTACATAAAATACAATTTATATAAATCAAAAAATAAATGAAAATATTTACCGTTTACGTTATACGTATAAAACATAAATTATAATTTTTTTTTTAATTTTGAATTTGCGTTTGATTTCAGCTAAAAGCAGTAGTAGTTGATGATAATCTAGCTGTCCTTCACGAGACGAATGTACAATTCGATAATGATCTACCAGAATTTAGGTAAGTTAAAAAAATGTTGAATAAAAAGGATTATAATTTTGCATCTTTTATCTTATAATACGAGTATTTGAATATTGTAGGACTTACGGAGGAGTTATACAGAAAAAAGAGGAACCGCATGTCGTGGTGGTGCCTTCTTTAATGTGGGTTAAGGCCTTAGACATGATACTTGACAAACTACGTGTCTGCGGTGTCGATTTCAGTAAGGTCGTAGCCATCTCTGGATGTGCGCAGGTAACGTGACTATATATATCATTTAAAATAATATCAATGATTTTAAAAATATACCATAAACGCATAAACATACTGTAATATAATATACTTTTTTCTATATTTCTATGATACGTTTAGCAACACGGCACAATTTATTGGGGCAAAGGCAGCCAAAGTCGATTACAGCATTTAAACCCCACCAAATTTTTATACGAACAATTCGCTACGTCGTTCTCCGTGACTCATTCACCCGTATGGATGGATTCCAGCACGTCGAAAGAATGTAGCGTTTTGGAAGAGATCGTGGGTGGTCCTCACGTAAGCATCTCCATTTATTTATCTATGAAATAATACATAAGGATTAATTAAGATAAATATATATACATGCACATTTAGTCTAATATACGTTAAAATTTATAATATTATGAATGCGTTTATATGGGTCAACGTTAGCTCTCACAAGAATTTTATTTCCACGATGTAAAATATTGTAAACAACTGACTGGTGCTATAACTATACGAGAATCGATTGGCCAAATATTTAAAGTAGTTGCCTTAGACTTGATGTACACACGAGTTCTTCAGGTCGACAATATTTATTCACGCAGCATGTGATTTCAGAAATTAGCGGAAATAACGGGTTCGCGGGCGTACGAGAGATTCTCGGGACCTCAGATAGCGAAAATAGCACGCACGAAGCCGGAAGCCTACTGCAACACTGAGGTATTACCTACTAAAAACTCGTGGCTTCCTTCAAAAAAATGAGAAACGGCAATTGATCGAGGTATTCGTTACGTATGACTATACTGATTGAACTTGTATTACAATAGTGTGGCTTCTGAATGTATCGTTTATAATCTTACAAAGTGTGTCAACTATAGAGAGCATTTAGTAATCGGAAGTTTGCATTAACCGATCGTTTATTTATTCGTGTTAGTGTGATTATATATTTTTATACTTCTCTTTATTTCACGATTCTAGTGAAATGTACGAATCTAAACATTTCTGACATAACTGTGTGTCGTGTGATTTAACGCCTCTAATTATATCTTGATGATCAAAACTATGCGTCATACGTTTGTGCTACTTTTAAAACGCGTGTAAGTCGAATGTAATTGTATATGTGTGTTATTCTTTTTCAGAGAATCTCGTTAGTGAGCAACTTTCTCGCCTCCTTATTCCTGGGCGATTACGCACCTATCGATTGGTCGGATGGTTCGGGTATGAATCTATTAAATATCCGTACGAAAGATTGGGATGATATGTTACTGGAGGTAAAAAAATCACGTTGTACGCATATATACGTTTATATTTAATATTTGCGATTACTATATATTGTATATTTAATAGACTTGCGCATCGGGACTAAGGGAAAAATTGGGTAAACCTGTATCATCATACAGTGATATCGGTCCTATATCACCTTATTTTGTTGAAAGATTTGATTTTAAAGAGGAATGTAGAATAATTGCATTTACCGGGGACAATCCAGGTTCCGTGGTAGGTACGTAATATTATCCGTGTATATATATTTAACACGTTTTTCATTAATCAATGTGAGAACTATAGAACACTTTACTTGTTATACTCATAAAAGAAATGATATATAGGTCTTAGATTAAAAGAGGGTGATATCGCTTGCAGCTTGGGTACAAGCGATACTTTATTATTTTGGTTGAACGAACCAAAAATCACAACTGATGGCCATATATTATGTAATCCAATAGACGATCAGGCTTATATGGCAATGCTTAGGTAAATACTTTTTGTCACTGTTACTAACAATGTACAAGTTGTAATAATTTTATAAATAAATAGTGATCATTTTTATACAGCTTTAAGAATGCTTCTTTGACACGTGAAAGGATACGGAATGAGACTGCACAAGATAGCTGGCAGATATTTAACGAATTATTAGAAAGCACGCCTCGAGGAAATTTCGGCAATTTTGCATTATATTTCGATATACAAGAAATCAATCCTTTTGTCATTGGTGACTATAGATATAATAAAGCCAATGATGAGATCTCTCGATATAGTTCAAAAGAAGTAGAAGTGAGAGCACTGATTGAAGGACAATTTGTAGCAAAAAGAGCATACGCTGAAGACTTTGGATTTGTCATCGGTAAATATTTTTCTATAAGTGACTTTTCTCACATTCTTATTTTTTAAAATTTTCGACATTTTTAATTATTTATATATTTTTTATTTTCTATGTAGGGCCTAACACACGAATTATCGCGACGGGAGGTGCATCTGTAAATAAAGCTATATTGCAAGTGATTTCTGATGTATTTAATTCGCCAGTATATGTCTCGGTAAATATAGTGTGTAATAATCACATTATTATCATTCAAATTATGAAATATTTAATAATATTATAACTTTATCCAATAGGAAGCAGCTAATTCGGCTATGATGGGTGCGGCATATCAAGCCAAGCATGGTTTATTACGGAATAACTGCAGTTTTGATATAATTACACATTGTTTGCCAGAATTCATACCTGTATGCGAACCTTACGATGATGCCGAATCCGTAAGTGAAATCAATTTTTAAGTATTTCTTGTTATTATTACAATTGATGATATATTCATAATTGATGATTATATTCAATGCTTATAGATCTACAAACCTATGACAATACGTTATCGCAAGATTAGAGATCAGATATTGAAGAAGAGAAACGAACAAAAGAAACACATATGAATTTTGTATATAATAGAATGTTTTCTGAAGGAAGAGGCCTTTTATATCTTTACAATGCTAGTAAATACAAAACGACAGATTTATTATGCTTTTCGATAGAAGCGTGAACTTTTCTATACATATTTTGAAATTAATTGGAAGGAAATATTTATATATTTCAATTTACATTATATTATAATATAAGTTCACAAAAGAGAGGAAAGCATTTTACATATGAGAATCTCTCATACAATATTTTGTATGAATGTATAGAACACTTTTTTAACATAAACTTTTTATCTGATATGTAATTATGTGTTTATATATCTGATAATATATTATCTTACATTTTTAACTTTAAAAAATAAAATAATATTTAAAGTATATACCATAAATAGATTTATTACATTATTTTCGTCAATTACTCTATTTGGTTTGAATTTTAATAATTTTAAAAGTTAATGATACCAACTAAATAGAAATTCTATTCTGATTATTATATAATCCTAACATAAGACTGAATATGTTATAATTTAATGTTATAATTTAAGTTTGATTTTTTGACAACGTGAAAGAATCGAGTTATAACAAAAGTTATAACAAAATCATATTTAAAATGTAATATTTATTAAATTTATAGGTTATAATTCTCCATTGCACATGTGATTATAAATGGATCTTGAATAAATGCAATATATATTTTAATTAAATCATTCTTGTATCTTAAAATGATTATAATAATTAAATGCCTAATTAATAAGTTAATAAGTCATATATATATATATATATATATATATATAATTAATTAGTTAAGTTTACTTTTTACTTACTATTTGTATTTACTTCTTTCTACCACCTCTTTCTTTCGGTAGCAGATTGATAACGTTACCCGAAGTTAAATTGTAATAAGCGAGAGTATTGTTATCTTTGAAAAACATTCCCTGGAAACAGAAAGTTGCATTTACATAACATAAAATTCATTAGTAATCATGCGTATACATGAAAAATTTATCAATTATCATTACCTCATGCTGCAACTTTTGTTTTCCAGGTGGCATACCAGTTTGCTCGTGGATAAGCGCTTTCATGATTGCCACAGTATCGGTTAGTTGTAAAGTAATGTTCAGTGTTTGACCATTCAATTTCCATTCAGCTTTCTCCGTCATCATAGGCACAGCGATGTTAATTTGTACAGGTCCCTGAGAATTTTTTGTTTTAGAGATTTCACAATTCAAACTCTCTCTTTGATAAATAAACATGTATTTTTTACCTTATTTCTAGCAAGGAATTGTTGTTCTGGAATTAATGAATCTTCAGTTCTCAGTTTCTTAGCTTGTGGTTCTTCTTCTAGTGGTTTACTAGCAGGATGTTTTAATCCAATCTTTAAACAAAAATATAAATTAAATTTTAAAGTGCAAGAAAAGTAACAAAGTGTAATTATATTTTATTTATTTATATTATTTTATAACAAATTACTTACAGCGGATGCCATCGGTGGCTGCATCGGTGGTGGCGCCGGCATGAACGGAGACATCGCTGGAGCTGCAATAGATTATTTTATTTCATTCATTCATTAATTTATTTAATTAATTTTATCTGTACGGAAAAATACGATAAAAATATATTTATATAAATGTATATAAAAAAGTTCCTTACGCATTAGAGGTGGTGGTCGGGGTGCCATAGGTGGCATAGGTGCCATCATCATCATTGGCGGCTGTGGCATCATTGGCTGAGGGATGCCCATAGTTGGCATACTCATGGTCGGTGGTGGAGGAGGTTGAGCAGGCACTGGTATTGGCTTTGGTGCGGGCGGTTTTGGAGGTGCTTTCAACGTAGCTTGCGGTTTTGAAGCGGCGGCAGCCATGTGGGAAAGTTCGGTCGCGCGATTCACCGGTTTTGGACCGATCTTTTCCTTCTCCTCGTCGGGAAGAAGACCCTTGACCTTATGTATTTGATGAATCTGTTCTTCCAGCGTGATATTGGCGCGTGCAGCTCTCGTTGCTGCCTCTACGCTCGACGTGTGACCATCCCATGTGACCTTATCATCCTTCTTCTTGTCCTCTTCACCAATTTTCTTACCAATCGCCGTTTCTTCATCGCCGACACCGAATATATCGGTACGTCTCTCGGCGAGTTGCTTGAGACTCGCCTCGATAGCTGTGCCTGGCGCAAACACAGTTTCTTGCGCTAATTTATCCAAATGTTTGTCTCGTTGCTCAACCCAGCGCGGATCCAACAATCCGATGCGCATGTGCTCTTGCACTTTGTTAGCAGGGATGTGTTCGCGTGTAAGCGGCGAAATCATCAAGTACTCATCAGAACCAACGGGGCGAACAGTTTTAATAGCTGTAAAAATATTAAGAGTGAAATGTTGATTTTGCAGTGTAAAACAATTAATAAAAATGAACTGATGAATATTTACCATGTTTTGGATCGTATCCTTTCTTAACCATCACATTTCCTGGTGTAGGCGGTAACGGAGGAGGCTGCATGCTCGTTTCGCGTGGTTTGGAGTCTTTAGATTTGTGAGTATCACCTGGTGGAGATACGTCGTCTTCGTCGCTGGAATCTTCCTCCATATCTTGCACCTTGAGATAACAAAGAGTGTTACCACGCGTAAATTTATCTTTTTATATAATAGATAACAAAATACACTTACTTGATTATTATCTTTTGCACGATCGCCTTTTTCACCATCTGTGCGCGTCTGCGCTTCGTCTTCTGCGTCACTATCAATTTGCATTTCCACATCCTCACCATCTTCTATACGTTCCTACAAATTTTCGATATAAATTAATATTTAAAATATATTTTCAAAATTAATAAAATAGATTTTAATCATTAAAGTTATGATGATTATACCTGCATTAGAACACGCGCTCCAACTTCGTCTGGTGTCGTCGGTGCTGGGAAATTACCGACTTCGAATTGTTGATAGTCCACTGTCTCAACCACGACGAAATCGTGCCAATCAATTTGCGCATAGGCGACTCTTTCTCTTTCCAATTCCTCTTCTTCTTTACGTCTCTGTGCCTCCTGATATTTTAAATACTCGGCGCGGTATTTCACCTGGTCCAAAATCTTATCCATATTGAGTGCCTCATCTTTGAGACGCGGCAACAAATCTTTAGGTGGAATCAATACCTGTAAGTATTAAGATTTGTTATTCACTATTACAAGCAAGTTTCTGTTCATACTTTAAAACAGAAGTTATTTATTTTTACCTTGGTATATTGCTCCAAAAGTTTAGTAAAATATTGAAACAAAGAATGTTGAGGACGCAAGAAATCAAATTGAAAATTCCTTTGTTCACGATTCATCAAGTTGGTCAAGAACTGCCTTCCGTTACGTGCAACAAACTGAGCGGTTAGTTTCACAATATCTCTGAAAAATAATATCATTTTATATTCTGAGGTAGAAAATATTACTTCCTATATATGATTATTACATACAGATCCAAAGCTGATATAGAAGGGGGATCTGCGATGAATTCAAATTCAACTGGTGGATCCTTGGGCACAAATGGTTGTTCAACTTGTTTCAAGATTTCCTGCTGTTTCTGATGCGCGGTAAGTGTAACAGTTTTCCCAGGGGTTGAGCCTACTGTAGGCTCCTGCCCTTTTCCTTCCTTAAACTCCTTTACTTTATGCTGATAATAAGCATGATACGGATCACCAAAGTTTAAGAAATTAAATTTGGGATTGCCCAATTCATTCTGTCTGATCCTGGATTCGAACTCCGGCCCATTCCTGGCTACAAAGCTAGCAGTTTTGTCAACGATATCTGAGTTTCTGCATAAGGAAGAACAAGTAAATAAATGTCATACATCAAGCAATGTTGAACCAGGATAATATTTTAAATGTATTTTATATATATATATATATATAATACATTTATATATGAATATAATGTATATATAAATATAAATGTATATATATATATATATATATATATATATATATATATATATATATATATATTTATATAATACATTTCTCGTGTTGGTTTCTTCCCAGTTCTGTAAAAAATATTCGTGCAGTGTGACAATGTTTCTGACAAAGGATACTTCTAACTTCCGGAGGCGGATAAATAATGCCTACGATCGGTTGAGAAGAAGGGACATTGTTCTCTTCACTCTCCGTAGCTGGTGGTTCCGGCACCGCGACTTCTTGCGCGGGCATTTTGGTTGTAACCGGTGTATTCGCGAAAACTAACGCGTGTTCCACGCCGTTCTCACAAATGGTCGCCATTACTGACACTGACAATTACAGTGATCGCAGCGACACCATCCTTTTGTGGTTTGTCGCTTGACTAGCTATCGAGTCATCATCGATTGTCGATAAAATGGAGATACATATTGTTTACCGACAGATCAGATCTATCAAAAATCATAATCGTGACGTAATTTATTAAATATGGCGGGAAGAAGCGGAACAGGTGCTGATTATGTGTGCGGATATAATAATAAATATACAGGTAAAAATTTTGTTACAATACGAAATTTATTAAATATCAATCAATAAGATTATCATCAACGTTAAGAAAATATTGATTTATTTCGTAAGCGCTAATATCGCTCTTTATTTACGCTCTTCATATCGTTGATAGAATGGAGTAGTAGATTGTCGGATGCAATAACAGATATATACAATCTTAAAATAAAATATGAAAAAGAAGAGAAGCGCGTGTAGATATATTTATCTTATAGATATCTTTTATTATATGAGATTTTATGTCGCTATTTTTATATATTTCTCGAAATGTAAATACTAATATACGAAAGAAGAGAAAAATGACAGAAATGAGAGTAATGTGTTTCTCGTGTCTTGGAAATCGTACTATACGATTCTTTCAATAAGTAAAGGACATCTTAACGTAGAGCTATATATACATATATACACGTTGAAGTGCGCGGTTTCTACCGGGTGGACGCAACGTATCGTTTGACAGTCATGCGACATATATATACATATATATTGTTGGCAGCCGTGGACACGGTAGCCTCGGCAACAGGCATCAATTTCGTAAACACAAGCACGCATTGTCGTTCGCCGAGGGTTTGACGAAAAAAGCCGCCCGCCCGATGTATGAAGATGTGAATGCACCGCGACGGCTCGCACTTCCTTCCGCGTACGCCCGAAAGGTTCACCCCTGTGCAAGAATCCCGCGTCTTGCTCTCGCCCGGGATCGCGTCATCGGCGGCCACCAGGTTCCGTCGTCGGCGTCGCTTTGACGATGTCGGGCAAGAAGACCGTCGAGAAAGTCTCCGAGATTGATGCTCACATTAGCAAACAGTACGACATCGTGAAACGCCTTGGCAAAGGGGTAACGTTGCTCTCTTTCTCTCTCTTTTTCTCTGTCTTCCTTTTCTTTTCCCTTTTTTGCCTCTTTCTTACGCGCCTCCAGGGAAATTTGCACATGATGAGTGTGGTCGCGAATTTGCATCTTTTATCAATGAAATAAAGATTTGCGGGGTTGTATAAAATGCGCCCGCGTAAATGATAATTTTCGTATATGTCGAAAATTGTATTTTATTTGCGCAATTGCGACGAGGAATTTTTTAAATATGTAAATTGTAGGAGAGACTTTGTTAGCTGTGCGAAATGCATATATAGATATTTCAAATATGATAAATGACAAATTTTTTTATTTACTGGAAGTAATGTATATAATTTGTGATCTGAATTCGATATTGAAGATTATACTGAAAAAAATTTATTGAATTCGGATAAATATTTATTTCAATACTACCTAATAAATCATTTATTTAAAACTAATAATATTGATTTGATGCGAAAAATATTTATTCGATATAAGAAAATCCTTTTTAAAACTAATAAATATTTATTTGTTTTAAATAAATAATTTATTAGGCAGTGTTGAAATAAATATTTATTAATTTAATAATTTTTTCAGTGTTATGAAAATAATAAAAAAAATTATCTCTTTTATGTTATCAAAATTATTTAGGATTACACACTGTGTGTGTGTTTTATATGTAATCTGCTTCGGACTCAAGCTTCATCATGTTTTTCTAGCTAAACCTATATTAAATTTTTCTTTTAAGAAACATCTTTTTTTTATAATACCTTGAGGAAAAAGATTATTAGCACATGCGTGGTACAATACCCGACGATATAAAAAGTTTCATTAAAGTTCTGCAGTTCGCGAGGAATATCAATAATTGTCACGACTATCTTTCTTGCCAGGCAAAGTTACAGATCGATAGCGGTGCGGTTAAAAGCCGTCGCCGTCGCAACGATGACAAACGGATCATATGGTAGCATAAGTCGATTTTTGTCAGACACACACACATACATATCATCGCGTTTGTGTAATTTAAAACCTGATCGCAGACAGGAAGGCAATCTATTTATATCGTAATAATGCAAATTGGCATAATGCAATATTCATGCGTTGCGTTTGTATACTCGTATTTCACGGCATAATCACTATTTGACAGAAATCATTTCCAATTATGAATGTACAAAAGATACAAAATGAGAGAATGAAAAATCCGATAAGACAATTACGTTAATGTACATTTCTTCAAGTTCTTTCCGTTCTCCTAGGAAATATAGTAAATTGAAATATAAATAGGATTTAAAAGTTCCTCGCGTTCGTTTCTTTACGTAAAAATTTCCTTCAACGTAATCATAATAACATGTATAATTTTTTTATACAGGCTTACGGTATAGTATGGAAGGCGATCGAGAAGAAAAGGAAGGACACCGTCGCGGTGAAGAAGATCTTCGACGCCTTCAGAAATCAAACGGATGCGCAGCGCACATTCCGCGAGATTATGTTTCTACTGTCATTTGCCAATCACGAGAACATCATAAAGTTGATCGGACTTCACAAGGCGAACAACGATCGGGACATTTATCTCGTTTTCGAGTACATGGGTAGGTTTTACTCGGTATGAAGAAGAAATTATGTAACATTATGCGCGCCGATTCTCAGACTTTTAGCCTGAAACACATTTTGGCTCGTTTCTTCAGAAACTGATCTCCACAACGTCATTAAGCGGGGCAACATCCTTAAGGACATCCATAAGGTCTTCATCATGTATCAACTCTTTAAGGCGATCAAGTACATACACTCGGGCAACGTTATCCATAGAGATTTGAAGGTGCCGGAGTCTTACAATTAAATAATAAAAAATTGTTCTTAAATTCTTGAATTTTTCTTGAAAGAGGAAATATCTTTTCGAAGTTATATAATTTCAGTAAATTTTACGTAAAAATTTGTCAAAACTGAAATGCGTAAATATATTTTTTTGAAATAAAATAACATTTCGAAAAATTAAAATTCATGAAATACATTTCTTTTCACCCTTGCAGTTTTATCACATCAAGTTCCTTCGTTTTACCGTGTGCTATCGCATGTCGAGTTTTATACGTTATCTTTTTATTGCAGCCATCCAACGTGCTTCTGAATGCACAATGCCATTGCAAGATCGCAGATTTCGGTTTAGCAAGGTCGGTGACGCAGATTGGCGAGGGTGACGGCGAGACTGGAAGCGATCCCACCCTGACGGACTATGTCGCCACTCGGTGGTATCGCGCGCCAGAAATTCTCATAGCTTCAAAGAGGTACACGTTTATTTAGCTTACGCATTTCCCTCGACGCCTTCTCCCGGCGTCGCCGACACGTTTATTTCTCTGTGACATTTTTATGATCTTTCGCGTTCAGATGCGTTTCGAGTAAAACTCTCTCGGAGGACGTTCACAAATGTCATTTTAAAATAAAGTTGGTTTTTTTATTAAAAATGGATTTATAAATTTTTCTTTGCAAAATTAAACAATTTCTTAAATATTTGGTAAATTGGTATTTTTTTCTATTCTAATTTCTGTTTGACTGATTAGCGATCAATTTTTTGGTAATTTTTCGCGTATCAAAAAGATTAATTTAGATAGATTGTAAACTTAATGGTGAAGTAATATGTATTCAAAGTCCTGATAGACATTGATACACCTATATATAACAGTATATAGAGCTTTCAATCTGGTTAGAGACTTAAAGTACTTTATGCAGTTAAAAGCCAAGGTTGTGAGTTGTGAGTAAGTATAGTAAGCTCTTAGAATTACCAAAAGTTCTCAACTAAGAAGTTAATCTTGAGACATAATTTATAAGACTGTGGGAGATAATAATGTATTTATTTCGGTTTAGAGTATTATAAAGATACATTGTGTCATTTAAGAAAAATTTTATGCGAATAAAATTAGTTCTATTTAATAGAGAGAGAAAGAGAAAGATAAAAGGAAAGTAATTGTTAATTTAAACACAGTCTAATTCATCAAAAAAGAGTAAAGATATATGAAAGTTTAAAATAAATAAAGATATAAATATCGAGGTAATTGTTTCATATTGTTATCACATATGTGCGCAGAATTTAACGTCGGCTCTTGAATTCTCTGGGTTTCTTTTATCTGCAAAATTGTGGAAATCAGATTTTATTCGCGACAATACAAATGTTCTCAGGTATACAAGGGGAATAGATATGTGGTCTTTAGGCTGTATTCTTGGCGAAATGCTGCTGGGGAAGCCGCTCTTTCCCGGTTCATCGACGATAAACCAAGTCGAAAGAATAATGGCGACCTTGCCCCCGCCGACAGACGAAGGTAATTTTTCCCAGAGCTCTTTCGGTAGTAAAAAGATGAAAAGAAGAAAAGAGCAAAAGAAAGAGGAAGAAAACGATTGCATTACTTGCCGATTATTTTTTCAGATCTAATATCGGTCAGCGCCGGTTACGGAACCAATCTGTTGGAGAAGACACCTAATAGACCTAGAAGAGCTCTGAAAGATTTACTACCGGAAGTGTCAGAGAAAGCTTTGGATCTTATCAGCAATTTGATAGTCTTTAACCCTACGCAAAGGCTTACCGCCGTCGAGGCGTTAGAACATCCCTACGTCGCCGAGTGAGTACATTTGTTATATATTGTATATAATTTTGCAGAGGCTAAGTAAAGAAACAAGAGTTTATTTATTTTTTTTGTAAAATTAAATTTCTTATCCATGCAAAATTATTTAATTTTTTAAAATTTAATTAATCTTTTCTGGTAATCGATTGTAATTTATTATTTGTTAACGCGAGCATAAAACAATTATTAATTTTGAAGTGTAAAGCTTCAAATGGTATTTTATATTGTGGTGCAAAATATAAGAAACATACCATTATTCTGTCACGTACATTCAGTTTGCACCTACTATCTTATTTGACAATTTTTAATATGAGGCTCTTTACGCAGTGAAGGATTTTCCGTTCTCGTTATTCTTGCGTCATTATTTTTTATTAGAGAATCATTTGCATAAAAAAGTTATATATTGAAAATATTGATTTTCGATAATACAATGTAACGAAATTTTGTTTAAAGAACAGTTATTGGAAATGTGTTTCTTTCTTTGGATTCTTAAAAAGAATCTTTCACAGGAGAAAGAATCTTATCGATCTTGAAATATCTGGATTAGATCTTCCCGAATAGGATTCTCTCGCGAAAATTCTACGTTTAATATGTTTGTCTGTACGTCTTTGTGTAGTTTGTATTTTTATTTGAACAAAGAGAAAGAGAAAAAGAGAGAAGAGAGAAAGAAAATGTGAAAGCACACGTCTTTCGAAACCGAGTGAAGGAACGTTGGTAGATAGGCGTTGATGGAGATTTAATTGGAGAACTTTTCTTTTTGATAGTTTTCACCGAAGGGGAAACGAACCGGAGAGAGGCTCCAGCGTTATACCGTTGCTGAATGATGATGTGCAGCTTTCCGTCGACGAATACAGAAATAAGCTTTACGCGATGATGGACGAAAAACATAGGAAGCACAAGAATATGTGAGCATATACACAATATACCTGTACGCGCAATCGGTGATTATTATCTCGCGTAATCGAGATTATATTGCAGTATTATTCACATTTTACATCTGATGTTAATGTAATTTGGTATGAATAATAGCAATTTTAACGTGATTAAGAACTCATCAAAGAATTCAATTCTCCGGATCGTATTCTTCGGTCTCTCGCGTTACAATTGATTGTCAGTTTGCTTGCAAAGTTTTATTTTAATGAATATTCAGATACAAAGTTATCGCACAATATGTCTGTATATTTCGTATATTAAAAATTGTTATTGCGTCAACAACTATTTCATAGGTCAAAGTCCAGATTGCGACGATTATCTGAAAGTATCTGGAAAGAAACCAGTAAAAGCAATCGGTAATTGGCCAAGGTGACGCTATCGTCGGTAAGAGTAATACATTTAATTAAGTAATATATTTGTTTTATTTAGTGCAATCTTATTATAGCAATTTTTTTTTATTTCTTCAGCGTGTCCGTCATTGCCAAATAGGAAGACAATTAGACCGTCTCAAGGCGATAATAAGGCGGTACAGGAAACTTTAACAAATTCCCGACATAATGGTAAGTATTTCACAATAATGACGTTTTATAATTCAAAATATAAAGCCTCTCAAAATCATTTAACTTAAATCGCGCCTAATCCAACTTTAAACAAGTTTATTTACCGCAGCGATACCTTTTCTTATTCCCTAAGCGCCTACGCGCGATTGGAAAGTTTCAATTAAAACAAATAGCATTTTCCTGAACGGACTCAGGAAAATAGATTGCTCTGATTATCGTTCAACATCGCACGATCACGCGTCCGCCCACGTAATTTCGCCAAGTATACCTTGTCCTACATATATATCGTTATCTCGTAAATCTTTTCTCCGGGGTGCAAAAATTCCTTACTTGTTTTTTTCGATGTATTATACATATACGAGATGACCCAGATTGTCGTATTATCCTTTTACTCACGTATTGTTTGCTCAGAATTAATTACTACTTAAAAAAAGTTATCGCAAAATTATCAATTTTTAATTATTATTGAATGACAGAGAAATACATTTTGCAGTCGCGATAATATCTACCTCGGGGCGATTCTCGCTGCTTTCTATTAATTGCTCGTTACGTTTTATTAATTGTTACGAATAAATATGGAGCTTATTAATTGGCGCGTGTCTGTAACATGTCCAAAACTGAATTCTGCACTCGTCAGAATTATTATCCGCTTACAAATAAGTTTTCATCTCTGCATTCGCGATCGATTGACAGTCAGGAATGTGGCGACGCAGTACGCTTGTAACTTGGCAAACAGCAGCCTGGGAAATGTACCTCCGGCGGCAGCCAAAAGCTGTTTTTATCTTAACCAGCAGCAGCAGCAGCAGTTGTCAAAGTCCCAGCGTTCCATACAGTCTGATCAGATGGCAATGGTGAGCGTAATATTGTAATTCTCGCTTCTCTGTCTGATTTCTCTGTTTGCTCTTTCGCGCTTCGTCGTTTTCTCGCGGTTCACATTATGCAAGAAGGTAAACGGAGAATTCTGTTATTACAGGCTACATGTCGTGTGGGATTTGCGTTTAGTAGGTACTGTAACTACTGATCCATGCATCACCTAGTAAATTGCATGCAACTCTAATTTATGCATGTTGTTCACCGCGCTTCGAAATTCGAGCGAAGCCTTTAATTTTGTAGTGAGACGTGGTCATCAAAACTTACACGCAATTAGTAGAATTTTTTGACAACTTATTATCTCCGTATGAAAATAAATAACGGTAATGATAAATTTAACAATTCTAATGCATTAAATGATATTTCGTTGTATTTTTGAAAAAATTCTTAACGCTGAAAATGCTGTGGTCTGTTTTGATGGCATATTATTAAGAGCGGGATTAAACGCGCAATCTGCCGAGCCTTTGTCATGCATATAAAGAAGAAAAGTGACAATATGCAATTTGTCATACTTATCTACATGTCCTTTAGAATGATTGTACGCAGACGCGTTTCATATCTGACGACAATATTCTCTTGTGTAGTAGCGATAAAAATTTATGATCGCATTACCTAGCAAGCAATCGCACTCTTTTATGTCTGACAGATATGTACTATTTGCAAAATCTCTAACCGGTATCATTTTTTTTACTTTATGTAAATGCAAATGATGTTGGTGTGTTTGCATATCGTATCAATATCATATAGAAAGAACTTTATCATATATATGATAAATACATAATAAAAATTCAGATACATATGTTAATTTATCATATATATGATAAATAAATAATCAAAATTCGGATACATATGTTAATTCATCATATATATGATAAATAAATGATCAAAATATATATACACTTTTTTTATCATATTTATAAAACTTATCAACTCTTATCTATATAATTGTTCACATTTTTGTTAATATATGAAAATTATTTTACTTTCACGGTGCACATTTTCGGAGAAAGAGCAATTCAAAGGGAGATTTAATACATATTAACGCTAACGCAAAGTTGGAACTCGCGGTAAATGCGAGCTATTATTCGGAAATGTCCCGCGTCATCTGCTCGTCCGCTTCATCGCACCCCATTACAGGCAGACCCGCTAATTACCTTACATCAAGGTTACGCACAGTACGTGTATCGCGTGCTTATCGCGATCGTGATTTTCGCGATACTGCGCCTGATGGGGGTATGTATTTCCGATTTGAAAATTGTCCATTTTCAGCGCGGTGCCGGAAGCAGATTGAATCAATTAGCGGTATCGGCACCTCGCGCCAAACTGCGACGGGCCTGTAGGCAGCAGATCTTCGCTCACGCACCGAGACCTCTCACCTCAGCGACCGCTCATTGCCGCGGCGACCTAGATCCTCGACCTAGAACGATGCCGGCGAAGCCAATCAGGATGGATGACAGTCCGAAAGGTATCGGGCAATCGCTGATGCCCAACAACGTCACCAGACACTTTGCGAGGACGAAGACCGGAGGAACCAGCAGCCCGGAGTCGCCGTACGTCGTCGGTCATCATCAGACCATTCGCAACTACTTAAATCAAACGATGCCATTGTCGACGCAGCAGCATCTTCGTGAACGAAATCGCGGGTCCTGGCAAAACAGAGTCAACCTGGACAGATCGTGCACCAGTGCGGATAATAACGAGATCAACAATCGTGTGAAAAGCGCGGCACGCAGTCAGGTGAGCCGGTTACAGACGAGGCACAGCTTCGACGGCTGCAGCATCCAGAGGAGATCGTCGACGACAACGTGCGACAGATCGGGCTTTCTCAACAGTCACAATCAGAATCACGGCGTGATAGCGGCCTCGATCTACAAGGATCTCTGTAACGGGACTATAAACTGGTAAGCGTGCGGTGGGCGGGTTTCTCTTTACGGAGGAGCGAACATCAGACGAGACAATCGCGCGACGATCGCTCTGCTTCTTCTTTCGTCGAGATCTCGCAGGATTCGAGAGCGAGATGCGTGAAAGTTTCGAGCATGTTACACGAGTCCTTTCAGAGGGATCTCGACCGCGAGGATACGATTGAATGTCCCGAGGACTTTTGTGGGGAGCTTGCAATTGTATTCAGCGAGATAAATCTGCGGTTCGAGTCTCTCCGTTTCTCCATTTACCCCGGAGGAGATACAAAACATAGTATGCTTTATGTGGTTTTCCTATATATGTTTCTGTCTGTAAATCATCCTTTTCTAAATCAATTTTTTGCACAATTGCAATTTACATATTTGATAGACCACCTTTTCTAGTAAATATATATAATATTTAGTTTTATAATTTACTAACTGCAACATTGTAAATAATAATTTTACAACAAGAGAAAAAACTGTTGGAATGAATAACTTTGCGATAAGAAACCGACGATCGTCGCAAAGAGCTCTCTCGTCCGGAGTTCGTTCTTCGTTCATCGTGTAAGAAACAAGCCACCTCGCGCGAACGAGTAAGGTTCCTAAGTAAAAAAGCAAATTTTATACAAAGTAAATGCTATATAATATATAGCTATAATTAATGCTATCAAACCGCGCAGTCGATGCTCCGAGTTCTTACGGGGATAATCGATCCGGCCCCATAAACATTAAAGTTCGGAGGCAAATACGATCCATCAGGCTACTACGACTACCTCAACTTTTTATACAGCATAAAATATTGGGATACAAAATATAGAGAAGCGGGAGTGAACCATTCTCTTCCCCTCTTCGATAACGAAAATGCGACAATAACGATATCAAATAAGAGATCGAGAATTCTTTTTCCAATCCCGGGAGGGGAAGAGACGTTCATCTTGACAAAGAAAGAGCAAGGGCAAAGTAAAGGGCAGAAATTTACAGAATTCACTCCGTGGAAATTCAAAAACATGTAGGAGCGTAGGATATAAGGTAAACGCGTATCGCGCGCACAAAGTCGATTCATGTGGGGCCATGTAGGAATGAGCGACACACATTTTTCTATAATATTTTATTTATACGACGCGGATATATATATATATATATGTGGAACACGTACACATATGCACACGCGATACGTACGTATATCCGTCAACTTAGTATACAAATCTCATTGTACTCATTGTACATACTTGATGTCGTGATACTTTTGTCAGCGACGCTCGACAGCGTTCAGACTCTCGTGTATAGTCTCGAGAGAATAAAGTTTTAGTAAAGAAAAAGAACCTGTTCAGTATACACATATCTGTTGTACGGTAAATAGATAATTCGAATTAGCGAATTAGCTACTTTTCCAATCGACCAATTAATTTTTAATCAAGGATTTTATATATTTGATTATAAATCACGTTTATTTCATTATTGCACATGTGAAGAGATTATTATTAATGGTTCTTGAGTTTCTCTTTAACACTGCCAGTTTAATCAATTTTAATTCAAAATTCTGTTCGGATTCAAATTTCCACGTTGTGCACGTGATCGAAATACAAGTTCATGAATATTGCTATTCATTCCAATCCCTATAGGATAGATCGTGTGAATCGAGAAAGCTATTAGAGACTGCAACTGATATCTCAGATCTGAATTACTCGGCCGAGAATAATTGAGTTCTCTTTATCCGCTGAACCGTCAATAGCTCTTTCCGACGAAGAGAGTTACGTCCGTCTTTCGTTAAATGAAAATCGGATCCGTTTTCATTTTCCTCCGGACGTGTGCGAGAACGTGAGCTGGACGAAGCTTCCATCATCTGCAAGATGAGCTCGGAGGAGAGTGAAAACGGATCGTTCTGTCTTCCTCTGATCTACGTAAGAGCATTTTCTGCATGATGATATACACATCGACTTCTCTTTTAGGCTTTCCGCTATCTCTTTCCGTTCCTTTGATATCTTCATCATTCAGAGAGAGAAATATTCCGTACATATGCAAGTGCATACCGCTCGTGTTATACCATGAGTTTATTTAAATTTATCGTTTTTTTTCTTTTAATGATTACACACTCTTTCGAGAGTTTTTTTTGTAAAGAGCAGATTTAAACAGAATTTTTTTCCTGAAAAGTCACACATTCATAATTTGTCTTCTTATCAGCGTAAAGTGTATAAAATATTTTTATATTCTTTTAATTTTCTTCGTCTTTAATCTTTAATGAAATGAAATAATTACGTACTTATGTGAATAGATAAAGCTTGCGAGTTTTTATCGCTAATGTTAGAGATTAAAATATTCCCCAATTCTTATTCTCACGAACATATATAAGCGAGCTGTTTTAAAAAGTTGCCAATGCCTTAACGAAACGGAGGCTTTTTTTGTTTCGCGAATGTAACAACAAATTAATTTCATCTATTGATTTATTTATTAATTTATCTATTAATTCATAGTTAAGATTTCTGAAAAAATGCAAAACTACAAATTATTTATCAAATAATTTTATACGCACCAACAGATGGATTTTTTTTTTTTCAATACTATAGCCATATAAAGTCTTTAACAATATGTGACCGGAAAATATACAATGTTTCAGAAAACTCTATTTACAAGCTCTCCACATATAAAGCGTTTATTTACGGTGAACTACTGGATCGTCCTCTGTGCGCTTTATAAACTGATCTAAGTAAACCATCGTTGTGGTCGGTTGGATCGCGCTGGCTTCCGACGATTTTTAATCATATTTCCTGTCGTACCAATTCCGTAGATCCAACGGTTCGGCGTGGGTCGGCGTGAAAGAGCTGAAACATGAGAGATCCTCTCGGTCCATGCTTCGCATGCCATCCACTGAGGCGAGCGAAGGCTCGAGCTATTTCATATTCATGCTGTAAACGCTACGCCTTCATATACTGACTATTTTCTGCCAAGCTCATGTCCCCTATGTCATCAAATCTCTAAGTACTCGGATCATAAGGAGCGTATAAAAAATTGCTCCATTCATCCGCATATTCTTCCGTGACATTGATTATATTAATTGTCGTACATTTACGAATTCCATAGCATTTCTCTTATGAAGAAGATTTATCGATGTATTGCGATAAAACTCAGTTGTTATAGGAAAGAGTGTTTTGATAAAAATCTTCATAAAATGACCGAATTGTTTAAATGTCACGAGTTATTTAACAGCCGGAACTTTGTGTGGGGTAAATGCCAATGGAAGTAATAAAAGGAAATCGAAATGATAAAATATCTTTCGTACTTAACTTGAGTTTTCCTATTGTTAAGGAAAAAGTATAGTCATAGCTGTTGTTTTTTAAACATAACATAATTAAGATAATTAAATCTCTCTTTATTATTTAAATATATTTTGTGAAAATAATATGATAGTAAACTTTCAATAATTTTTTGAATTTTTCTAAGAGTTTTTCTAAAAGTTGTGACGGAAAATATTAATACAGAATTTACTTAACACAATTTATCCAACAATTTTCAGCCATTTTTTTATTGAAAATACACGTAGATATAATTTACAGCGTTTGAAACAACCCGCAACCTCTCAATAGTTACAATTCTAGCAGCCCTTCGATGTATCGATCTTCGCCTGGCAAAAGGCCAAAAATTCTCGACGCGTAAAGAAAATCTCATTTTAATGATTTATTATGACTATTGAAAATTTCAAGTTAGTTAATTGAAATACGTCCTATTTTATCATGTCGCGCCGCTCGATGAAAATTCATTTGCGACGACCAAATATTTACAGGACGCACACACGCGATGTGTATTATTGGCGGGGGTGTCTTCAATAATTCCCCGTAAAAATTGATCTATGAGGGGTTAAAGTGGTAGTCTCCCCATTAACGATAACGAGCGCCAGACAGTCGCCGACGCGTTTCAAATTGCCTTTTTTATTTTATTCCTGTACTCCTTTCTTTTCCTACTTTCGCAACGCACTTTTCTCCCGTCCAGACTTCTCAAAGAGCGATTAATTAATAGCCCCGTCTTTCCCGTCATTTATCAGCGGTTCCATTATATATGTATATAGGGCTTCCAACTCCCCATTCTCTTTTTCGCGCAGCATTCTAACAGCTATTATCGACTAAAAAGCTCGTTCTTGCAATATCAAACGATATCGCGCACGCTCTCGTGAATCATTTATACATAGTTGGTGAAAAAAAAAATCATTTACAGTGAAACGATCACGAGAGAAAAAAGGAACGATAACGCGCGACATCGGTTGCGATTGACACATATATCTCCTTGATTTAAATATTTGTGGCGTATATTGCGTTAAAAAAAATATGACAAAATATTTGCCCTTGTATATCTAGCTTTCTAGAGAGTTTATAGAGAAAAATTCATATTTGATTTGACGATTCCGCAGAACCGTACCTTCACTTTCCCATCGTGCCAATCTACTCCGACATGTATTAGAGACAATTACAGCTGATTGTCACTGATGATGACAAATAGCGAAGATATACATACGATAATCGCGCTAACAGTGACTTATGATTAATTAATGCTATTAACGAAAATGCTATTAGCACATACAGTTACACGTATGTATGTTCAACACGAAATGCAACATTAGCACCGTAGACAGACTTGATCAAATTTTATGCTTATGTTTTAAGCGAGACAAATATTTCGCGCTTCAGTAGAAAAAATGCGTTTTAGTCAGACATGTACCGAACTGTCAAAGTGTCGTACAGAATACAGTCATATCACGTTTTTTACTCACAGAGCAGTTTTCGAACCCTTGATATCAAGTTCGCGCTCTGTCTTTCTTTTCGAACATTAAGTTTGATTTTAATCTCTGGTTTCTAAACATGAATTTTTCGAATACTTTGCTAATTAATATTTTAAAATGTATTAACAAATAAGCCTGTCGCAAGAGGTTGATTAATTTTCGTTCCGTTTTGGTCCCATCGAATTTCAATTCATAACTCTGCAAACTGCATATATCGCAGTCACTCACAGAAATAAAACTTCAACGAGTAATAGTCAATAGAGCGCATTTCACGTTCGTTGCACATGTGACGCTTGATAGCTTTCGGTTCATTGTGTTTGTAGGTATAACTATCAGAACATACAGAAATTTCTCAGGAGGATACATCCTCTATAAAATTGTATCACTTTCTGTAAAATTGAATCTCTTGCGAGCACCACGTTTAACGTCGTATATATGTGATACGAGTTGTAATCTTGATAAATCCGAGAAACTTTAAACTTGTGTGAAATGAGACTTAATTTACTACTTATTTACATTAAATCTATTACAAATCATCGCGATATATCTCCGGCAATGCGCGAGGAAATCCAAAGATTCTCCGACGAAATAAACTTGATTAGCGCCGTAACAAAAATGACTCTCTCGTCATAAATTACGTACATCAGTATTATCCAAATATATATATATATATATATATATATATATATATATATATATATGCACATATTTAGACATCGCACAGGAATAAAAAAATGGCACATAAAAACATGTATAGTGTCGGTTATCCCTTGGAGACTCCTCAGGTTCAAGGACAAGGACGTCGCTCGTCCGTGGTGCACAGGGTGCTCGGCCGGGGTTGGCTGGTTTCCAGCCCGTTGTTCTCGTCGTACTTCTGCGGATGTTGATTCCGTTTGGAATTCTCCGGCGGATCGACCTGCGCCCGCGGCGCGTCGCGGATACTCCTCAGCATGTAGCAGTGCAAGTGCGGACTGTGTCGGCTGTAGAAGGTGTCGTAGCCGCTGCTGGACGTCGCGGTGCGTCGTAACGCCAGGACGGCGTTGCGATTCCCGCGCACGGGATTACCGCAACCGCATCCGGGCAGCATCCTTCGCTGATGCAACAGACCGCGACGCGCGCCGTCATTGACAACCGGCACGCTGCATCCACCGCAATCGTCGATCATCGCGCTCTGCAACAGTGCCAAAGATCGGCTTTCGACTACGATCCTCGCGAGAGTCTCGGCCCTTGTCGAATGAAATAGGGATCTTATACGAGAATTGTGAAGACCAGTTTTAGATAAAGTAGAGATAATTACGCGACTTTCCTTGTTCACCCATAATAGTATACGTCGAGCTGTCTAATTGAGCGGATGAGATATCGAGACACTCCTATACTTACTACTAGAATTTCGCGTCAACGATAATGCAACGTGAATTGCGCCGCTGCATAGCTGTATTATAATTCTGTTATCTTGATCCATTTATGCGGGGAGGTCACCGGCATAGCTATGCGATTCAATAATAATGCTCTCGCTTTACGTCGTGCATTTATGCCGCCTCATAATGTCTTTATAATAGCTTGTAGATTTATTTTAGAGATTTTGGAAGTAGCTTTTCCACGCTTCTAATCCTTAATCAAACATCAGTTATCCGATCATTAATTAATCCAGATTTCATTATCGATAATAATAAACCGATGGGTTGCATTAAGCGTTAATTCAGGATAGTCATTATCGCTTTAATGATTTAATTGAAATAATAATAATAATCATCAGGATGATCGTAATATAATGCGAAAATGGTTATGACATGATCAAAGGACAACTAAAACCGCGATCGTACGTATTTACGAAATTTCATGAATTTTTATTTTCTCTCGTACATTCGATTAATGAATTTTCTTCTTACAATTAGACGAGATGCTGCGACTCGCGACACAAACTGCGTCACGTAAATTTGTCACGCGCGCGCTATAATTTTGCATGCTTACGCGGGGAATTCATATTGGGTCACTTGATGGAATCACACGGATACTCTTGTGCGTACCCTATGGCATGTGAATTCGTAAATGGCAAGCGCGCGGAGTTACCCGTCAGCCATATAAATTCTATGACAGAGACACTCTCTGTATTTTAGAATAATCCGTGGATATTGGGTATGTTTGTCCTTTACCCGTCGATTTTGTGTGCGAACGTGTGCGCGAATGTATATGTATATGTTACTGTAAAATGCCTCGTGCATATAAAAAGTGCGTGGACATGCAGCGGGAGGCATGACACAACGTTGCACCGAGCTTTCCTCGTGCGCCTGCATGACGCTGTATAAATTATTTTATCACGACATTCGATAACGAACTCTGAATTTAACTGCACATACACATTCTCTAATTGTGAATTTAATGATAAATTTCAAGCGCTTTGTGTGGCTAATCATTTATTTTATAATTTTTTGATTATTGCTACATGGATGCGCAAGTACAAATTGCAGTTAATCGCTCACGTAATTAATAATCGCGGAAAAATGCACTTCCCGGTAAAAAAATTTTTATATATAACAACATAAAATTATATATATAGAAATATATATAAAATTATACATATAATTGCAAAATTATATATGAAATACGTCCATACATAATTAGATAAAAATGCTTTTTATATATAATTATTTAAATTTAGATATATATAATAAATAAGTATTTCTTCATATATATAAATATATATCATTTGACATGATTATATATGAACCCTTTATATATAAATTTATATAATTATGTATAAAAAAATATATATATATATGAACATATTTCACATATAATTTTACAATTATATAATTATTTATATATAATTATATATACAAAATTTTTTATCGGGTTGCAATTATTGATGCATTTGCTGCGCGTGATTGCCGCAATCATATACTTTATATTTTACGAATAGGTGTCATAAGATTTATGTGTTTATATTGCGGGTTTACAATGCTCGTTTTGAGATTTTTACAAAAAAATCAAAACTGACAATTTTTACTGCAATTTTAAACCGCATCATCGAGTATTCTCTCGAAATCCATATGCATCTGTTGCGTCTATGTGTATATGTCGAATAACGCAAGAATTTGTTCATATATGTATATATATATATATATTTTTTTTTTATTTAGTTTAACCTTTTAAAATAAATTTTGAAAAAAAATATTCACGTAAAAATACAGACGGTCCTCTATTTTATTGTCACGTAAAAATGATATTTATTCCTTATTATAAATGACTATTTTAATTCCTGCTATATATATATATATATATATATATATATATATATAGAAGATTCTTTACGATGATATACATAACTATTTTTTTATATTTGTTATATACATATATCTCTTTTTACGGAAACGTTGCAGTGGAACCGACTTTTAGCCGAAGCCGTATTGCATATTTTCAGCTTCGTTGGAGTTAAGGGACTTCATCCAAACCCCAACAGGATCTCTCCATTCACGGAAAGATTCCATCCCAATTTCTTGCATTGCTCAAATTTATGAAATGACAAAGAACATAAAAAGTATATTACATTAAAAAAAGTTAAAAATTTATCTTTCATAGAATAAACATTTTAACTTTACATTATTTTTATACGCTCTTAATATGCATGATAAATTTAAAAAAATAGTGAAACATCTAATACCTAACAATAATTGTATAATACATATATAAATATAAAAACTTGATAATACAGAATTCAAATACAAAAAAATATCTCTTATTTATATTGTATAATTAATATAACATGATGTATATCCATTAATTAAGCTGCATATAAAAGGAAAGAGATTTCGCGAAGTGATAAATATTATTATGTCAGATATACATAGGAAAATGGAACATAGTTAATTAAGTCCCAGGGGTTGAACAAACTTACAACATGAAATATGAATACGCGATTCTGGTGCATACAGAATAAAATAAATAATTTGAACAAGTAACGTATAGCAATATATATTAGAATTTGCGAATTTCTCGTGCATATGTACTCAAGATACCTACAATATTGCACGTATACGCATTGCGTTTCGTATTGGTTTTTTTATATAAAAACACATGAGTTGCGTGTTTGTTTTAATTGATTTTTTTGTAAAATATTAACTTTACAATATAACGATATTTTGTAAACTATTTTTATAAAACGTAAATGTTCTGTACAATATCCGGTAGAAATTAGAGAAAATATTGTGAGATTTTTGAGCTTTTAAATCTTTCGAGAAATAATTTAAATTTTATTGCTCTTTATAAACAGACATATTTTAAAAAAGAATGTTTATAAATTCTGCATAAAACGAATGAATTTTTGAACAGCTCGAAGTTTGGCTGTAATATAAAAATATGTACGAAATATTGCATAGATAGTATTTATATAGTAAAAAGTTTAAATTGAGAAAAATGAGACTAAACACTTGACGTGGAATGAAGAACATACGTAACAAAAATATCCCGTATTTAACTGCGCATTGTTTTTTGCTTGATATACGCGAATCTCTCGCGTTGTAATATAAATGGATTAATTAACTTGAGTTTACTTTATTGTTATATAATTAAATACTTAATATTCCGGCCGGAAATTTTTTCTTGCTTATCATATAGTTCTCTCTTACGTACGAAAGGAAGTAAATTAAATTTGGTTTCAACGGCAAATTTGCTTCAAGAAAATAAAAGAGCTATAAGAGGAATTTTGCAATGAGAGCAGTTCTTTGAAAGAGAGTACTATAGCGATCTGTTTAGTGCAGAAAGATACTTTGGAACGGAAATTCTAATTGGTATTAAGAAAGAAATAAACGTGAAAAAGTATTAAAATTTAATTATTCGCTTAAAAAAAATCCGTTATAAAACCGCGATATTGATTACGGTTTTACGCGTGGAATTCCAGAGATTCAATAGCGTACAGCAAAAATATTCGTTATAATTGCTGTAATTGTAAATATGCTACTTTTATTCTATCAAATTGTAAAAATAGTTTCATCAAATTATAGGTAGAAAGATAATGAATTATTATGTTACATAATTTAATATAATTTAAATTAGTATTATGATTTAGATTTAGGACATCATCTATAATATTTTTATCCATCAATTCAATTTGTATGCACTCATTACATCTATAATATTTTTATCCACTAATTCAATTTGTATGCACTCATTACATTTTGGTCTCGAATCTAAAATCTTTAAATTGTTGCGTATTATCGGTTTATTGATTGAATACTTAACTCTAATGTTTATATAGACTAGATATCTTCAAATATTATAATATTATAAGATATATATATATATATATATATATATGTATCCCGATGTGATTTAATATATATAATAATATTCTATATATAGATTTTAAGGATGCAAACAACCAATTGACCTTTCATTTTTAATAACTTACTATTTAAAAACCATTGATAATATGTTTGCTGAAAACTAAAGTATTATTGAGCTATATAATCGATCTATATATATATATATATATATATATAAAACTTATATATATATAAATATATATATAAAAAACCATTGATAATATGTTTGCTGAAAACTAAAGTATTATCGATCTATATATATATATATATATATATATATATATATAGATCGATAATACTTTAGTTTTCAGCAAACATATTATCAATAGTTTTTAAATAGTAAGTTATTAAAAATGAAAGGTCAATTGGTTGTTTGCATCCTTAAAATCTATATATAGAATATTATTATATATATTAAATCACATCGGGATACATTCATATATCGTGAGATTTTAAAGTCAGATGATACCATACACACATGAGGTGTAAGAGATTAGTACATGATACCTTGCAAAACGGATTATATGAAAACTTTGTTAAATATTCCAGTCGATATTCCAGAACGAACAATTCAAAAAATAATTTAAATCAGTCAAGCTACTAATTTAATCACAATACCGATTCTATCGAATTTTAATTAAGCAGACACTGTTAAATTTTGTCGCATATATATACGCGTAAAAATTTAATACAAAATATATTTTATTATTCTTTAATTTGTTTCCCGGAAAATCTCAATTACATATATAAAAATTACATAAAAGAACAAAAGTTATTAAAATCTCGGTTTATGTTTTATTATTTATTGTATTATTTGATATTGAGTCTTGTCAGCTTTATTATTTCCTCGTATTGAGAATTGCAATAATTGTAATTATACAAATTGTAATTATACTTTGACACAATTCAGAGAATTAAATATACAGATGATTTCTACCACTGATTTCTACTGCATGCTTGTCATCACGATTTTATTATAATATCGATTATATCTACTACATTTTTATAAATAGTCTCAATGACACCATAAAAAGATATATTCGATATATTCAAATATATCTAAATTATATATTATGTCCTCGATAAGTTCGAGTTCTGGCCTTGTAAGTTTTGACTACATTGTATTACCGATCTGGCGATACAATATTTATTCAAATGTTATGATTATCTATTAAATCGAAAACTTACATCTCACCGAATTTTTCTGAAATAAAGAACTGACATAAACCTATAAAGAGAAAACATCTTATAGAGATATTACCGCGAGATCCAAATTTTTTTCTGTTTTACTTCTAGATACGATCGTGATGAATAAGTTTGAGAGATATAAATTTATGATAACGATAAAAGAATTTTTAAAACTCAGTTCTTGTAAAGCTCCGTAAAACAGTATATTTCGCAATAAAAAAAAGCAAAAATGTTTATGGCAAGCGCGCTGGTGTTATTGAGTTTTTCATTGCTTTGATTCCTAGAATTTCATCAAGAAAATTAGAGAAAGAGAAAATATGTGATAACATATTTTCACGAACATAAATTTTATAAGGACGGGCTATAAGAATCAATTTGTTGTAAAAAAAATTATCTTTTTAAAGTAGAGAGTAACTCTGTATAAACTATTCGCGGAAAATTTTACATTAATTTCATATTTAGTCAATTGTTTTAAAATTATTGCATTTGCGCAAATATAGATATAGAAAAAGGAGAATGTAAAATGTTCAAGCTATAACATTATTCATTAAAATAACGTAGAAGGATTCATTTGCCATTAATTCTACCCATGGTAAAGATGGCATTAAAGATCAATTTAAAAGTTGCGCAGAATGCACATTTAATTTTCTCTCATTTTATCCACTGATCGACAGCCCTTGGCAGAACGGAAGCATTCAACTATAGAGAACAATTGCGATTTAATGTTTTAATTGTAATCGGAGTACTTCATAGTGATACAACTTATATCGAAATATAGAACGTGCTTGAAACATGACGAGGAGAATGCACTTGCATCTATTTGCAGTGAGGAACTTGCGACGAAGTACTTGGCGCAAGTTCAGTATTCATTATAGTTAAGCGATTATTACGCCAACAGGCATATCAAACATACGTTAATTAGCATTTCAAATTCATCTTCAGTCTCGTTAATTATGACGCATTGAATATAAACCATCATTTATTCCACTGCAAAGCTTCATACAAAATTTAGAGATTGTTATTATTTCATGAAAAAAATGCTATATATATATATATATATATATATATATATAAATTTAATATAATTGATAGTATTCTATTTACGTCTCAATTGCTTGATAAAACATCAGAATGTAATGGGGAAATAATTGGATTTGCTTTTATTGAGCTTATATTTCCAATGTTGAGTGCTTATCTTAAACATTTCTGTAAGTTGCATAATTGATTTTGCGCGGCGAAGAAAACCTTAGAATTGAAAGACGCAACTTGACGAGTTTCCATTACATAGCTATAAAATTCGTAAGAAATTATGATTGCCATGAAAGATGAATAAATAAAGTGGTAAGGGGAAAATCTAATTGAAAGATATGTGAGAGGTGCTCATAGACGTTCTCTCAGGTGAAACATATATAAATTCGCTTGGGAGTGTACTTGGATAGTTCTATAAACATCTATATAGTGACAAAAGGAATTTTTGTTCTTTTCTTCTTAAAAAACGAAAAAAAACCTCCAGTTGGAATCCAATAGAAAAAAAGAAATTATTTAAAAACTATTCAGACATCAGCAAAAATGCAAATAATATACCAATTAAAGGATTTTGGATCGTTATTTTAAAATATAAATTTTATTTTACTGACAAATATTTTTCAATATATAACAAAGAACCGGTACTTATAGGTATAACTGACAGAATAGCGATTTTATTTGTTAACGCTAATGATTTATTACTGGTTTACACATTGAATTTCTCTCTTTATTTACAATCATTATATCATTAGTTTCAATTAGAATAGAAACAATCTATATTATATTGTGTCAACAATCTATAGTTTGCAATAACATGTAATTTGAAACGTATAAAATTCAAAATACATTGCAAAATTAAATTTAATATTTTAGTGATCTATCAGCTATTATTTCTGAATAATATTTAAAAAAGCTGTATTTTCCATAAGAACTTAATTTTTTTTATTTGAGATGCATAACTAATGGCAAATATTCAAGCAATCCTCCATTTGCTATCGTTATTTCTTCGACATTGTAAAACGAGCTTATGCAATCAGCCGCAACCGTGCGTTCATGCATTAAATGATCAGCTAATATTATGATCGGCGAGAGAACTATAAATGGACGCTCGGTTATTACTACGGAAATATCTTCTAGCAATAAATAATTCAATGAGAGTATCAAGTATACATTTTTCAATAGTAGAGTATTGAAAAGTATACTTTCATCGAAATATGTATTTATTGATACAGAAAGATGTAGCTATATAAGAGAGAAAGAGCGTTTTGATGGACTCAGTTTAGCGATTCCGTGAGGCGAAGAGTTGTGGAAATATCTCTTTTAACGCATACAAGTATATACTATGCATATTATATACATATTTATTCATGCACTCACACACTCCTGTATATAATTGGTACTTACTTTGCGGCGAGGTTTACAGCGCGTTAAACCATGAAAAGTGCGACGCAGAATCTCTGAAACACTGCGACGAAAATTGCGCGTCATGAAGCAGTAGACAACGGGATTCAGGGCGCTATTTGCGTGTCCTAGGAACAAGCAGTACGTGAGAGCGTCCGATATCGATCTTCCTTCTTCTGCGAACAATTTCCAATAGTCTCTTTTCTGATACGTGTCGAGAATTAATTAATATTCATTCATGCGTTTTTGTATGTTGTCGATGTGTATGAAAACGGTCGTACTTTTTTTTCATTTCCGAGAAAGTAGTATTTAAATGCAAAATATAAATGAAAATTATGAGAGAGAGAATTTATAATTTGATGACACATTTTTTTATAATCACGTCGTTACAAATGATAATCTGTTTTGTATCAAGGGCTTTAAACGACAATTTGTAAAATTTCCATTTCTTTACAGGAACATACGTAGAAGACGAATGAAGAAAATTAGTGCAATTTAATTTGAATTATAGAGAGGGAAAATATACTATTGATGAGAGCATATAATAGATAAAAGAGGGAATATTAAATCAATTACAAGAGAAGAAATACATTTGTGATGTAACGATATAATAAGAGGAAACTCATACGCAACCGATTTTCAGAGGTTCGTCAACAAAGGTTTAAAGTAAATAACGACTGACAATATGAAACTCATGCTCATTTCAACAAACTATCCATTGTTCACAACAAGGTACAAGGTACTCAGTAACTCGGAAAATTAAGCAAAAACATATATATTTCATGTAGTTTGTAAATTTTGATTAATTTTTATAAGCACACATGCGTACAAAATTTAAAATAGAGATTATTTTTCAATTTTGAAGCTTAAAAAGTTTGAAAAGTTCTATTATTATAATTTTCGCGTATTTACATAATTTAATTCGGATACAATTTTAAATTTGAAATATGTTATCCAAGACTCATCTTTTTGCAATGAATGTATTATCATGAGATTATTTATTATCGGTAATTTTTGTACTTGGTCTTAAATAAAACTCTATCGAAAAGAAAAAGAGAAAAAAAAAATATAAAATTACACAATGTATGCAAATATATTTTTCACATTTTGAAAATTAAAGTGTATCATCGCAGTCATTGCGTATATGGTTGGTTTCTAATTTCATATGTGTAATATTATTCGGGTTTTGCGTATCTAAGCAACAAATATTAAATTATCGTTGTATTTAAAGGTTTCTTGGTTCGAGTAATTTCGAGGATTTTATCAACCGAACATCCTCCACCCACTCTCAGCTGTCAAAATAACATATTTGTTTATATTGCTTCATTAATTCGAAAATATCTAGTAATTCATCTGTCGAAAATTGAATATATTTGCAAATTTCTCTATATGTATATTCTATCTATTTATTCGTACGATCCATGATTTATAAAAGATATATTTACTTGTTTGTGTGGAAAAAATAAAATTAATATTTTCCTATAATACATAATAAAGCGGAAGCCTATATAATGGAGATAAATACGCGATTGATCATAAAGAATAAATGCATGAATATACTATAGTAAAATTGGAAGTGGACAGTATTTCAAATGCATAAATATTTGAACTGCAAAGTGCAAAAATCATAAAAAATACAGATTCGTAAAAGTAAAAGAGATAGAATGCTTTATAGAGTTCGTTTCGTAGTCTATTTGTAATTAAACGATCGTAATAAAATTTAAAAATAAATATGCATATATATAGGTAGAAAAGTGGAAGATATATATTTCAATTATATACGCATTGATACCAATATTTATAACAACAAGATATTATTTTGGAAAATAAAGATATTTAACGAGCTACTCACTGATAACTCCAAGATCGATTAACAATCTGAGCATGTTGTACGGCAACCAGCACAGGGCAAAGAGTACAGCAAGGAGGAGCAATATCCAAGCAATTCGTCTCCTCTCACGTACCAGTCTGAAACTCTACGAATAGGAGGTATCAGTGTGTCTACTGAATTTAGATTGGAATTAATCGTATGCCTAATGAATTCCGCGGAGATTAACGGAGATAGATTTCGAATAATTATATAGGACAGATGGAAGTTCGACTGACTGACCGGTTCAAGCCGATCGATTGTTACACTGGATCGAATTTCGTCGGATGACATTTGAACGGAGATATGATATTTCTTTTATAAAATATGCGCGGCAAACCGATATGCGTTGTAAAAAATCATTGGTAAGCACTTGGAGAAGTTTCACTCGTGTCATCGGAATAATTTTGCGGAAAATAAAGGTTGTTCCACGCATAGAAATTATGTTATTAGCCGTTATTTATACTGTGGAAGGTCACTAGTAGTCACGGGTATGTGCACGTGTATTCTTTAGCAGTATCCCGCTGCAGAAATTGTACGGTATCACACGGAGAGAAATTGTACACACATACAATACAATCTCACCAAGTTTGTGGAGCTCGTTTATAGTTTATTTGTAACTAATTTCTCGCACCGTGACGCAGATGGTACTGCGGTGTAGGGAAAGAATCGCATCAGTATCACGAAACAAAGGGCTAATTTCTATTACAATTTTCCTCCGTCTTCATTAGTTTTAATTCAGAGAGGCAATAAATTGTAGCTTATGGACCAAATTGCCTTCATCTTTTTTATACGTTATACCCTTTATCGACAAATCGATTAGCGACAAAATAAGAAAAGAAATGCCTTAAATCAAGCGTGAGTGCCTATTCTGTGGAACTTTAAAGTGATGAGGATATATGTATATCTTCCAAGTTATAATTAGAAATTTTTTAAATATAAAAAACTTGTTTTACAGCTTTTTTTTGCGCAAGGGAATTTTAATCAAGTTTTTATTAACACTGGATTTTAATAAAAGTTGAATCGTATTTAACACCTGTCAAAGAGTGAACGCGAATGGCGAGAGAGAATAATATGGGATGGCAAATTTCCCGTCATCGAATTGCAATTATCGGCGTCGAGCTCACATATGGACTGGGCAGACTTTAACAAACCAGAGAGGGATTTCTGTCATAAAGCATCTGGAATGACGCGATTCGATTAAACTCGACGGGAAGATGTTTTTCGACGGACTTTCGCAATCGGCGCGCAGTTGCAAAATAGATTTATGACAAATGATTCGTGCTCGCGCAAATCAGGTATCGCTTTGTAAATACATACACAGACGCATCGTCGTGTAACGGTTTCACATTTGTTCCACCTGAGCGATTACAATCCCGCACCATGCAATTGACATATTGCGATACGACAAATAAACGAAATTGCGGATTTTTTTATCGAAAAAATGAAATAATTCTCTTGCAACGAGAGGAAGAATGTAAAATATAACGTATATATGTATTTTTAGATACAATATACATATATATATATATATATATATATACATATATGTAGAGTGCTTAAAATAAGCTATGTTCAATGGTCATTATTATTAATAACATGAAATGTTTATTGATTAAGCTGTTATTAAATTGTTTTGCAGTAGCTATTCCCGCTCGACTCTTTACTCATCAAAAGATACAACGCACTTTTGGACGATATATATATATTGCAAACTATTGGCAGTTTAATTAATGAACATTTCATGTGAATCAATGATCATTGGACATCATATATTACATTAAAGACAATTTGATCTAACCTGCTGTGAGCTGGCGCTTCCCTCGACACTGTCACAGTCGAAGGGCGGCTTCCTGGAGCAGAGGGTGCGGCCCATCATCGAGTAGGCCAGTATTACGACGAATCCTAAATTGGTCAAAACACCCAATAGATAGAGCATTGTGAAGAAATCATTAACGAAGATAAATTACCAATCTTGTCCGAGTTATTGGGTGTTGAGAGAATAAATTAACACTATTAAATGTCAAGATTAAAAAATTTGTTGTCGCATTAACACGGTCACATCTAACTCTCAAAATGACAATTTCTTCAAAGATAATAATAATGTTGCATCTTGGGATTTTACATTAAATCAGTGTAGGAGGTAAAATTATACGGAGGAAAAACGTCACTGAACGTGTTAAGGATATTTAGGTACCATGTCACGTGCAAAGCTCCGTCATCTTCTTTAAATTTAAATCAATCAGCGAGTATTTGTTTTTGACCTACCTTCATAGTTACAAGAATGCATATTTTCTTATTTCTAGGCACGACGAAGTGATTTAGTATTCAGGTTCGCGTAAAGTGAAATATATATATATATATATATATATATATATATATATATCTCGGAGGTGATTTAAGATATTAAGAAATTCCTCTAAGCCGTTATAAAGAAACGAGATGAAAGAAGGAAGGATTTTAAATTCTTAAAAATTTTTTCATTAAATTAAAAGTAAAAATGATGATCGCTGATAAATCTTACAGGAATTCGAGAAATCTAAAATATTACAGGCCATATATAAATTCATATGGAATTGTAAATATAGCAAATATGAGCGTGTATAAGAATTTATTAATATTGCACTTCAATAATGCACGATAATAACTGGAAGTAATGCAATGGTAAAATAATTACATTTTACTTATTGTAATACGTGACCGATATATTCTTGTGTCGATGTTCTTCCTCGTTTTATTTCTCGTATAAAGTTTGCTCGAAGCCATATTGACCGATATTACTTTCCTTGTAATAAAGCCGTGAAAGAGAAAAAAAGGAGAGAAAGAGAGAGTATTCATTATTAATCATGTAAACTTACCCGGAATAGCATAAACAAGAATGAAGCATGCAGTCCCGAAGACATGCGCTCTGATGCCTAGTGGCCTGAAATCCTCCGAGCAAATGTAGAAGGTCGGTGGCAACCGCGAGATATCGTGCGAAAAATTCCCTCTTATCGTTGAGGAATCGGGCAAAGTTAAGTTGAAGAATGTGGTCGGACTGTGAAGAGTCATCTACAGGGAAAGATAAAATTCATAGAGCGGGCGTAACGTTGCGTTGCATTATGCAGTAAGGTAATTTCTGTACAAAAGTTTCTCTTAAAATACAATATGGTACACTTTTCACGTATCAAGTAGCTTTCAATAATTTATTACGAATTTTTTCAACAATTTCTTCTTCCTTAGATGTACATTTTCTACATGCGATTAATTATTATTGCATCGCCATTAAGGCGCTAAATAGATCGCGGATTGAAGTACTTCAAAAATCAATAATCTCGTCCCATGATGTATGTACACGTGATTAATTTAACTAATGGACATGCGAATCCTCATTTGCCTGCTATTTATTTGTATTACGTTTTTCTCAGTAATCTTTGATTATTTTGCAGTGGACTCAGAATCCATTTGGTGACGATCAACATATGATGCTATTCTTATTCTTTCATTGTCGCTACAAACAATGTTTCATACATTTTAAAGAATGGCTGCCGTTATTGTACTTTAATTTTTTATACATTTCGTTCTCTTTATGCACTTAATTTTTTTATGCATTTTTATTCTTTTTAGCTCTATAACAAAAGTAACAATAATGGAATTTAGTGATCGATAAAGTCCATGATATCTCGTTAATTGATCATATTAATTATAGTTTATAATCAGATGAAATGTTATTACGTTTACATGAATTAATTCGATTATGTATCCTATTAAAGATAAGTAACGTTAAGCGATTTGTTTGACGTCATAATGTTTGAAACGAGAATATAAAGGAAGAAATACATTTTTTTTTAAATTGCACCCTCTCAACAAAAAGATGATTCTTCCCGAGACTATATTTCACAAACAGATAGCACTTTGGTTGTCGACGTTTAATATCGATCCACTCATCCGAACAATATCACGCTGACGTTCTCACTCACAAGTGTCTCCTGTCTTGTAACGTATATAAATAGATAATAAAATGTATGTTTAGCGTGTATTATATTTCTCATCTCTGCAGGAATTTTGCTTTTGAGATTTTGGTTTTCTCGAGATGTTCTGTATTGCGCGGTGACTTACGAATTCAATGTCGGATTAAAAGATTAAAAGGTTCCAAGGATACATAAATTTATCCTGTTCGAGATGAAATACGATGATAAAATATTTTTAGATGTAAAAAAAAAAAAATGAAAGAATTTTACATAAAGTTTAATTATCTACAAAAATATTGATATATTTAACAAAAACTTATTCTTATTGTGCAAACACATATATTTTTAAGCACTTCAAGATGCAGGCGCACTACGAGATATGATTCTTAATAATTTCTCATGTATTTGATCGAATCTGTGCATTGCCGTTTTCCCTGCTCGAAAGGCAATCGGTTTTCATATGATTCACGAAGAGGAACTGCGAAAAAAAGGAGAAAGAGCAGCTTACTTTGCCTTATGTTGCGTACATTTCGTTCGATCGTCAGTCAGATAGAGTATATACATGCACAATGCATCGCGAGTGTATCGGGCGAAGTGACTGCTCTGGAAAAACGTAGATGTAAGCACATCAGACGCAGCTTTGTGCGAAAGGGCGGTACTAATGTGACTGGGTCGAGTCACGGAAACTTCGACTTGCGTTTCGCACGCGACATCAATTTTAGCATGACGACGGCGTTCCCATTCTGCAGTGTATGCAATTCTCTCGTCTTGTTTGAATTAGTTTAATCTAAGCTATATTTGTCGAGAGTTCTATTTCCTCTTCCCCTTCTTGGAGGACCTGCTTACTAATCCGTTATTTGCGTATCCGCCGCGGATACTTAATATCCGGTTTTCGCGAGTCTCCCTTCGATAATCTCGCAAACGTTTGCGCATTTTCTGAGGTTTCCGAAGGACGTTCTCACGTTTCATTGGTTTTCTTTGAAAATGTTATTCCAAATTTCTGTTTACGATATGGATAGATCAAACAGAAGCCGTAAACGCCCAAAAGTTTTATGCGAATATTTATGCCATAAAGCACAGAAACGTCGAATCGAACGACCGCAAATGTACACGTCGCGAGCAAATATGTTCTTTTTTGGCAGACCAAAAGAGATTTGCATGTAGGAAAAATAAATATATCCCAGCGGTGCTATAGGTCCTCAAAGTCTGTCCCTCCCAAAGGAATCAAGGTACATCCCAATTTGCGTATACCATATATCATTTATATTCTTCGCGAGGGTGGATCTGCATTAGCAGTTGCGACGATTCTTCTGACGTAAATCCGTTTCTAAATTTATTGTTACGATCGGTATAAATTCTCATTCTCATTTCGCAATTTCGTAAGTGACAAATTTACAATTTTACATTCTTCCGAAATAAAAATAATATTCAAAAAATTACACTAAAAATATATACATTTTTTAAATACATAATTTTTTTAAATGTATAACTTTTTTAAATATATAAATTTGTTAAATATATAAATTTTATTTTCACCGGTTGAAGCGAAGATCTCGTCACGTGCACACACCACGTCGGCGAAAATGGACTACTCTCTTTGTGGCGAATGTCAATATGTTCATCAATTAACGCATGCAAGCTCAATATCGATCCGTAATCAAGATTTCACTTACCCCTCTGAGGACGGGAGCGAAGATACCCAAGGCCACCAGCCAGAGAGCGACGATAACAAGTACGGTACTCTTGCGATTGAATACACGACGAAACGCCATGGGGCTCCTTATCGCTAGGTATCTGTCGATACTCATGGCCGTAATGGTGAATACCGAGGCAGCAACGGCAACACCTATGAACACGAGTGATTATTTGGTCAGGACAGGAAATTTCGAGCACCGTCGTCGCGATTTTCTCGATCAGTCGCATCCTCGTTCCTCTAATCTGATTTCACGAACGTGTGAAGCGGATCTTGATCAAATCGCTACAAAAGGAGGGACAACTGTTCCAATTTATTCTTAGTGGAATTTTATTTTTCAAGTCACTTTTTTGACACACAGCTGCGATTGTTTAGTTCAAAAAAGTTACTTTTTACTGTTCTTTCTATTGTTCTTCTGGAATTGGTATGCATTGTAAATTATAATTTCGTATCTCTCTCATTCATTTATATCATAGAATCTTTATGAAATATTTGAAACACAACGAATGTGCAAACATTGTGTACACGAAGTATACAATGGTAACATTGTATTGTTTCCGCACAATGTGTTTACTTCTGAAAAATTAAAAGGTAGTTTCACGTATAATTTCATCTTGTATCACAAGTAATAAAAAACATTTTTATATACGAGTTATTAAAAACATATGTCGTATATCCTTCTTTGACCATCTTGTCAACAGCGGACATTTATGTACTTTGATTTTCACATCATTAATGGTCCTTTGTAGAGCTCGTTATAAAGAGGCAGACTTAGTTACAAGGTAATATGCGCATACATTACATTATTTTACGCTTTTGTCAAAGGCTTCGCTCGAGATTGTCACCAGCCTTTATTTAAAAGATTTCGTCACTATATATATAAATATATATTTCCTTGCGACTTTTCTCTCTTCCTTTTTGCCAAATAATTTTCATTTTATATAATATATAGCCACGCCTGATATTATATAAAATGAAAATTATTTGGCAAAAAGGAAGAGAGAAAAGTCGCAAGGAGATGTGCCTTAGCGAATACGCAAAATCAATTTATGCTACCGCATTTTAAAATTGCTATAGGATATTAATATATATAATATGCGAGATTATGTTAAATCAAACGTCTCATAGAATATATATTCTCTTTTTTTTTTTTTTTTTTTTTTTATAATTGGACTTTGAATGTGCGTTTAAAAAAACAAAATCATAATTTGAAAAATATCAATTACTCTCTGTTATCAGTATCGTGAATTATTTTTCTTGTAACACCGGAAAATACACATTTCAATAAAAAAATTATTAAATAAACTTTTATTCTAGATCGTATAGATTACTGAAATCAAAATCAAAGCTAAAAATATATACAATTATAATGTTAAATTTAAGCAATTACGATCTAATATTTTATGCAATTAGTTTTTTCATACCGTGCATAATGCATGTCGTTTTGAATCATAATTTCCATAAATCTTCGCTCCATTAATAATGCGAAAACTGTTTTTATAGCGGAGTGCTTTCTGATTTTCCTTCACCCACTTTTCCATTCCTTGTTCTTTCACGTGTGCATGCACGTGAACGGTAATAGCATGTCTAGTTAAGATAATAATGACACATATAACAAACGTGAAATATGAACATGAGTTGAATTTTGGATGTTACAACATAAGCTGTCAAAGAACTTCGCCAACACTGCGTCACATATTTGAAATTACATATGGAATTTTGCGTCTACATTTTATCTGGGTGACGCGAAAAATAAATCATTTTGACGAGGATATATATTTGTAACACCTTGCTCTTTTATCACCGCGACAAGAATCGTTATTCTTTTCTAAATTGTCTGAGAAAGAAAGTTTCGTTTAAATTAAGAGCGAATGGTTATGAATATTTCGAGGCAAAGAAAAATGTTTGCGCAAATGCTTTGAAGAAATGCGAATATGCGTAACTTGTTTGCGCGCTTTACGCCAGAATACACGCGTGCAAAAGACAGTGATATTATTTTAGATGAAAATATAACGAGAGCTTTTTCCATATTGAATGCTGGGGTAACGTTACACGAACGTATTAAAACCAAACGCGTTTTGCAAAACAGAAACCCATTACCGTAGAACGATGCATAATCGAGTTGCTTACGTAGATACCCGATGTCTGATAAACATCCGACGTGGTAAACGATCGAAGCAACGATAAAATCAGCGCGTAATTTTTATCGGCTTGATTTCATTTTTTTGTCATACGGTGGAATAATATGCCAGAAGTTTGCTTGTTATTTTAATATTTTACATACAAACTTGTGTGTAAAATATTAAAAAAATATATATACCGACAAAAATACGCAAAGCATAAAAGTGATAAAATCAACAATATGTTACACTGTTACGAAAAATGGAACAGTAACATATCGTGAAAGATTTCAAGTGTGATTAGATCGAATAAGAGCAATCGATTCTTTTTTTTGAAAATTTTAAACGTAAAACATTCTCTCTCTTACCTTGAAGATAAGAAGAAAGTTTGCACATGAGTTCACCGTGACGCCATACAATCGAGTCCGCCTGGATGACAGCAACTGGCATGCATATAATGGTAACCAATAAATCGGCGACGGAAAGGTTCACCACAAAATAGTTTGTAACACTGTAAGAAAAAATGTTTCATCTTTATTTTTGCGTAAATACAAACGTAATAATATAATAATTAATCATTTATAAATTTAAATTGAAGTGTATCAACAAATTTGAAATTGGATCATATTTTCCACTAACACACTTCATATTTTTAACAATATTATATCTATTGAAATAAAATATTTTAATGATATTTTTAAAGCATATATGTATATATGTAATTGTGTGTATGTAGATTTTTTGTTTATTTCACAAATTCAATTTCTTTGTAAAAATACGGACAACCAATAGGATATCATGACAGTAAATCACCAATGGAGGGTTGACCCACGAGATAGTTGGTCATATTTTTAAAAAATAAACTCTATCTTCCTATTCCCTTTTTACAAATATACACACGTGGAAATATTGCGCAATTTATAATACTTCCATATCCGTTAAATATAATTGCTTTGCAACCTATAGTTTCTCCATTGGGAAATTTAAATCACATTCCTTATTAAATATAATGTCACTATCCTTTAGAATGCACTTGAAGTACAAAGGTCATAATGAAGCTCAAATAAACGACAAACGCGTTGTCCTTTGTTAGTGATAGTAATATCGGTGATATTATCGGAGAATGCAGGAATAGTTCCTTGTTACATTTTGCAAGTGCTAGCCCATCAAAGAGACAAACATCATTGTCATTTACCATCTGGGAAGTATCTGGGAAGTTCGTGCGATCTTTGAATAACACACCCCATCCTCCCTCTTCGTCACCTTCAATCGTTCTGTCAATTCGCTGACATAGTTGCGAAGAACTTGTTCAATTTTTTTTTATCAATGACGAAGTAGAAAGTTGGTGGAGGCTTTTGATTTTAATGAGTATACATCTTGTCTAAGAAAATCTGATTTATTTTCTCAATAGTTAACGATTATAATTAAAAATTTATTGAGAGAAGAAGAGAAATATTAAAAGAATCTAAAAATATCCATCGAGAAAAATATTGCTGCAACGTCAAATATATATTTTTCTCATTATTTAATACGCTTTATTATTTTATAATATATAAAAAAGATATATATTATAGAATAATAAAGCATATTAAATAATAAAAGATAATATAAAAATATAAAAAAGTGATGATACAGTAATAAAACAATATCATAAAAGTGCAGAATAAATGTTTTGTGTTTAATTTTCCAAATTTTGATAAAATAAAATAAAACAAAATGTTATATTACCAAACAATTTAACTGTATCTTTCTCTCTCTCTCTCGCTTATGAATTTTTTATCCTTTCAGTATCACTAAAGCATTCTTGCTTTGTTTGATTTTACAATCCTCGTGTGAAAAAATGACAAAAAAAATAATACAGGACGGGCTGTAGAAATGTCGTTTCAGAGTCGAAACGAACAACACACAGCAACCGAATCTATCCTATGACAAGATTGAAAAGCAGACAGAATGGACCAGCTTTTTCGATGGCTGATTGTGGTCTTATCGTATGTAGGCGAGTCTCGTGCATCTCGTATGGGAAGCAGTGCCTGGACTGAAAAATAATCGGCAAGTTTCGCCCAGTTACGAATACGTTCATCCATTATGAACGGCTCACCGGTGGTTTATTTGTACGACACGATGCTGCTGTGCGCCTCGCCGTCAGAAATAAGCGACCACGGATAACGTACATGCAGCTTCGTGAAATGCTTGAACACCGTACTCGGAATACATTCTTCTTCGTTAGAGAAATAGTCTGCATCTTCTTCTTCGAGACTAGACAAGCTACCTCGGTGAAAATTAATGTTTCTCTCGAATGCAACGCGAGCGCCTGTGTTAAATATTGGAGTAGTCTTCTGTTTTCGAGAGAATGATGTATTCTTGCAGAATATATACTAGAATCGAGAGACGGAAAAACGAACGAAGTTGGAACCGCAACTAGACTGGTTGCGAATGTTCCTTTGTGAAAATTTTAAAACTAATCACGTTGGTCCACACATTGTTTTCAGATTCCCAATCGAGTGCACGTTTCCCTCCGCATCGAGATATATATGTATAAACTATGTGCAATTCCTTTTTCTAACGTTCGACGTATATCAAACGCATATATAATATATAATAAATATGTATATAATATATAATAAATGAATATTATTTTAAATCTATTTTGCATACGATATAAACGTTTTTTATTATTACCAATGATCGTATTTATTGGCAAATATAACCGAAGCTGTTGCAATGTAAATTGCGAGAGAGATATTGCACAGATGTAATATAAAAGTTTGCAAAATCCTTCGCCCGAAGCGGAAAACGCACGATATCATGAAAATGTATACAACGGCCAATTCTGTTCACTCTCGGAGAAATTATTATGCAATGTGAGTACGTGTTTATTGACATTGTAAATTGTAACATGAGAATGTCACGTATTCAATTAATCATTAATTTAATAATTCCGTAAAATAATTAAGATATAGCGTGTACACAACAAACATATATGCAATGCACGTTGCATTTCACCTGTAATTTGGAAGAGAAATCATACATAATTGTCACTAATTCAAGATTATTATGTTTGCATGTTTATAAACAAATTATTCGTAATACAGCCTCTAGGGGTGCATTATCATATGCGCGTAGGAATAATTACGAACTTCAAGGTTGTCAACATGAATATTCTCGAGTAAACATAATTATAATAACTAAATTATAACGGGGTAAATAATCGAACCTCGGGTCGAAAGTGTGAATACCGCAATCACGAAACTTTGGATAATAAATTGCTACTGTAAAAGCTTTAAAAGATCTAAAGCAGCTATAAAGATGATATTGCCATCCCGTATTAATCGCGCGATTCCTTTCCTGCCAGCACTATACGTGAAAGAGAAAATCTATGTACATTGGTCGCAAAGTCGCAAGAAAATATGACACGTGACGTAATATACAAAAAAATTTAATCAACTGTCTATCGGATTTTTGCAATTTTGTGATTGATACTTATAAGAATAAATTGAAATAACATATAATGAATTTTAATATAAAATTTTAATATAAAATTTTAATATAAAATTAATTTTAATATAAAGTTAAATTTAACATGAAATGTTACGTCGCAAAGACGTTACAAAAAAAGCGACGCGGTAGCCAATATTTTGAAAAGTTGAGATTAGTTTTTATTGTTATATATGTAACTATATAATCACATTGATAGATAAAATACATAATGTGTATTTGATTATATACTTATAGTGACAAATTTAAACAGATGACATATTATTTTTATATTTGTAAATATAAAATATATACCTGTTTAAGTTTCGGTCACAAATTATAATATAATCAGACATTTTGTTTATCTAATATATAAAAATATATATAGTTTACATACATAACAGTAAAAACCAATCTTAACTTCTCAAAATTGATCGATCAATTTCAAGTCGTAAATAGGTGCTGAATATGTCACATAAATCGCAAATCACTACAGCGTTTCTATCACCAAGAATTTGGCTGTTAGTCACGTGACAGTAACGTGGCAATTACGTTTTAAACACCAGTTGAGACGTCGTTCAATGTAACATGTGACGAGTTAACACGTTATAGTGACGTATTGAACACGTATCAGTGCTGGCAGGGTTGGAACTAATGTGACCTTTGTCTAGATTATTGCCATTCGGATAACTCAAAGTTTTAATTACTGGCTGTTTGATTCAATCATACTATACACAGCGAAGGTAATATCTTGCGATAAGCCAAGCTGCGAATGAAACGATAGCTCGACCAATCAAAATCTATGTATTTGGAGATCGTTATATTCCTCCCCCGGACTTTCTGCGCGTAATTTACGAAAATCTCACGTGATTCAATTCGGAGTCGTCTCATATGTCTCGGGTGACGTACGAAATTCATATAATACCGATACAATCACGTTTAACCGGTTAATTCCTGATTATTATAATCTTTGTTAATGTCCGCACGTATTGTATAAAATTCTCATTATGTGAAATAAAAATAAAATATGATTCTTTTCTCTCCCCGTGATAAAAATAAATATAAACTTGAAAATTGATGCGTGACATATATTTCAATAAATAGTATTAATGTTGAAATTTTTCACATTTATATCTGTAAAAAATTATATAATATTATAAGGATTATAAAAATCTCACGTTATAGATATCTTTCTCAAATTATTACAAATTGTTCAAGTGAAAAAAGGTTAAGTAAACACTATAAAGTATTAGGTATATAAGTTAGCGTTCCTCAAAGGCTTTCGAATACTATTCGCAGATCTCACTTTATCCGAAAAATCCTATCTACAGCGTGTCTCCATTAAGACAATTCTGTATAAGCGTATTTAACCGCGTTTATATTTTTGTCACGTAGGATCTCTTCGTCCTCTCGTAATTTCCACATGGGTTAACGTGATAACATGTGCACATGTTTATATCATTGTTTAATCAGCATCTCTTAATCATACAATGCATTTTCATTTCATTATAATTTATTGAGATATTCTATATATTTTCTCGAATAGAGAGGGGGGGGGAGAAAGAGAGAACTTATAAATGTTTTATTAAAATATGACATATAAAATGTTAAATTCAAACATTATATGACGTAAAAAAATTCAGGAAATTTTACAAAATTATTTTGTTATTCAATTAAGTAGAAATATTGAAAAAAATTGCCAAATAAAAATATTTAATAATAAATACAAAAGATAAAGCTGCCAAAAAATGTTTAATGCGTGATTTTGTGTGATTGATCAACAAGATAATGTTCAAGATAACTAAAATAACTGACCACCAACTATTTTACGAAATATATGATTTTACGTTACGCCATAAATATAATGTATCAAAAGAGTATCAACAAAGGGGAGATAGAATTGATAGATTGTGTACATATATTCAATATCGTTTGGAAGAGTTCAGGAAGACAAAATATGTCTTTCCCTACATGTAGAAATATTGCCATAAATTTATGATGGTTTTTGTCAGTCGTTATAGATAAATATCTATTATTTCAACAAATGTTATAAAAAAACAATTAAATAAAATGCATTTGACATTTTTCAACACGTTTATCTCATCATGATTTTTTTAACAGTCAATATCAGTTCACATGTCGCAACTGCGACAAATGTTAAAAAACCATAGATTTATTTGTTACATGCTTTGTAACGTTTACGTTTACATAATACCTCTGTAGTAATTCATTAGAAGTATCCTTCTCGTGTAAAATAATGATGCGCGCATAACAAATGAAATAATATAGGGAGAATCAATATCAAAGGCGAAAGAGATTTACTCGAATAATGCTATTATATCATCACGTGTAATGCATATCGAAATCAACAGCATTGTTACATAATTTATTATCAAAAATCGATGAATTGAGAGAAGAGATCGCGTTAACATTGTTTATTTTTCACAATTTAATAAACTTGCGATCTTGACATCTCTACTAATTTCCGATTTTAAAGATTGTAAATTTAATTTAATTTTGCTAATTAATTCGTATGATTAAAAAGAATACTAGAAAACAGATACGAAGAAGTATGTGTTACGATTTTATTTTTTAAGAGAATTGTACAATATATTTCAAGAGAAATATTTGAAGTACATTTATTCAGCAAATTTTGATTCAAATGCTACATACATCATTCTATGCAACAAACTCTGAATCATATCTACCCTCAAGTGTGCAATATACGATGCAACATTATATCACTAGAGAATCTTGCTTTATTCACTGTTTTATATTGCCCTGTTGTAGCTACTGCTTTCTCTCACTTTCTCTGACTGTTTCGCGTACGCATACGACGTAGAATAAACATGATACACATGATTGATAAGGAACTAAAGCGTTGCAAGACGAGAGATTCTTTTATTCGAAGCATTTCTTATTTTAAATAACAATCACAATGTTATTTAAATAAAATTTATATATTTCTAAATATATGCCTATTATTTGTAAAATATTACGATTTGTTTTCGCGGTGCCTTGTTTTTTTTCGCTATATGGTTTTCATAAAGCGATTAAAATGTTGACGTTTCATCACTTTTATATTTGTTTTTATTTTATTTAATAATAATAATATTCACGTTTTCAATATTGCAAGATTTATAAGAGTATTCATATATATATATATATATATATATATATATATATATATATAAAATCTGTAATTCATATTTAATGGTATAACTTAGGAGATGGAATTATAAAGGAAATAAAAATAATATTATGAAGAAAGTAATTTTGACTTTCTTCCATTTTTTACATTTTTTGGCTACCATAAACTTGAAAAATTATAAATATATCGCAAACTTTATCTATCGTTTACAATCAGAAGCATCTCTCTTGAGCAACTCAGCGCTTGCATTACTGAAATACTTTAGCAAAATTCAGGTAACCGAAGGATATCAAGCCGTGTACATACAAGTTTCAAATTATTGTCCTATACAGGCCGTAATACAGGCGTTATTAGTTTCGCAAAATTGCAATCAAAATTTGACAGTGCTATCACGCTGCATCAAGAGATATCATAGTAATGCACAAAATATGCAGACAAAATATCCTATTAAATTTAATATTTAATTATCCTATTAAAAATTGTATTCAGAAAAAAAAAAATATATATATATATAATTATAGAATCATTTAGAGTTTTTTTTACATTATTAGTTTTAGCATTATATATATATATAGATATCCCATTTTAAATCCGATTAATTCACATCATCAATAAGTTCTTTTTTTTTTTGCAAACACATGCACATATAAAAATCATTACGTACATACCTTCTCATGTAATGATACTTGAAGACCACCGCGATCACAAGGATGTTGGCCGTCACGGCGAGCACTATCACTGGCACATAGAGGATGATCAGCAGGTAGTTAGTTTCGCTGAATTTTTCATAAAAATCCCACAGTAGGTCCGTCATCATGTCCATTTCCATTGCACTGTCATTGTAAGGGACCGTCGTGGGCATCCCATTGTTGTCCGCGACCTCGATTCTCGATGTCGTGGTATCTTGCGACGATGTCGACGTCGTTGTCGTCGACGTAATACCGATGGCGTTCACCCTCATTTTCGCTGTCTTCTCTCCCGTGGAAGGGTAAAGCAGTGATGGACCAGGTTAGGAAGGGGATCTTGCTGATCTTACGATATTTTATCGCTCGGACTACGTGAGCGGAAAAGAGTACACGACCCCAACGAGCATACGAAATACTTCGGTCCTCGGGCTGTGTCTTGAATCAACAAAGAGAAGGAGCTAGAGCGCGTTTAGAGGACCTACCATAATTGTCGCTCAGGGGTGCAATCGGGGGTCCGTTTCTGCATGAGGAGAAAAAGTCGCCCGATATATATATATATAAGTAGTGGCTTTACTTCATTACTCTTTTCTTCATCTCTTCGTGTAGTGAACGTAATTTGATTGCGCGGAAAACGTATGTCCAAGTGAGTATTACTTGGTCAAGTGATGTTGAGATTGATGTAATTTCAGTGAGTCCGCAATCTTTGCTTGTTGTTTTCTATTTTTTGTGCGAGACGTCTCTCTTCCTTCTGCCGTTTGAAGGCGAAATCTTTGAATTTAAAGTGGATTAGTATTTATAGCAGAGGGAGATTCATTCTCGTTAAAATTTAATCTGTCTCTCAAAAAAAAAATATTTTTCTTCAATTATCGTACATCGCTTTTTGATAATTTATTCGACATTTCTTGAATGAAAAACAGCCATATGGATGAAAGGTAGAAACACAAACGCATGGATGAGATTACAAAATTATCGCTCAAATTTCCTCCGAGCTGTAATTAATGCATAATTCATCTTTCGTCGCAGAAGCAAGGACGCACCTTTCCGTCGCTTTAATTAAATTGTAACTGATATGACGCGTATATAACAGTGAGAAACATCGAGGTACTTCAAGGTACTTCAAGGGACGTCAAAAGTATGCGGGCGTAATATATAGGTACGTAGCGATTGCAACTTTTGTCTCCCCTTCGTGAAAGCGAAACGATGACGGTGAGTTACGGGATGAGATAAATCTTTTGCGTGCAATCAAGAACGGATTATCGTAGAGAATGCTTCTTCCATTTGCCTCTATCAAGAACGATCGTAGATACATCGGAACGATTTGACGACTGATGTCCGTAGACTCCGGGATAAATCTCGGAATGGATTTTTCGAGTCTTGACATAAATCTCGAGCGAACGCATGCGGCGAGATTGAGCTTTCGATGCTACTGATGCGTCGATATCTTATTAAGTCTGTTATTTTCCGTTAAACTGGCCGCACTAGTTCAGAGTTTATCTTTTTTACTCCACATTATAAGAAAAGAGATAAACTCTGACAGTTTAGTCAAAAAAAAAAAAAAAAAAGACCTATTGTTAGTACAAAACGTGAATGCAATTGAGATTAAAATGACAAATATATAAATATAGGATCATAGGTTATATGTTGCGAACTTTACTTATACGTCATTTCCGTTCGCTCAAAAAATCGCGTGAAGAAATGCGTGCCAGGCATACATATGTAAAACACTCCCTCTTCGACAGATCATGAATATGTATTGATAAACCTGCTGCTTACGAAATTTTCGTGAAGGCAAGTTTCATTGACGTAGTCACTTGAAATTATGCTTTTTTTATCGATCTGATTTTAAATTAATAACGAAGAGATCGATCACTTTCTTATGTACGCTAATTGTAAAAGTACATTGCATGTACATTTCCAATTTACATTAAAATTTTTAATTATGTAGATTCTATTTGACATAAAAGCATCACTATGTTGAAGTAATTTATAGATGGAAGCAAAGTTAATGCGGTTTAGAAAAATTTGAGGCAAAAAGATGAGAAAAAAAGTTATCTCTCGCGATTTTTCGAAGGGTTGTTTACATATCAGTTAATCGTCAGTCTATAGTATTTTTTTTATTTATTATTAAAAAGATTTTTCCGCGAAAAACATTACGTATTGTTGAAAATAAAAGACGAAGGATTAATTATCATCAAAAAATGCACACAATGCACGCACCGATGCAAATTTTATATCTGCTTTTTTACTTGTTTTATTATGGTGATGCGACGCACCGCATATTATTTCTAGAATTTGTAGAAAGTCTACTGCGATGTTACGGCGATTCATCACTGCGAAAGTATCGATTTTTATCTCGGTAATCCGGATTTGCGAGATAGAAAATAATAACCGCCCAAGTTAAAATCGACAGCTGATGCTATTGTATACGGATTAAAAATAATCGTAAAAAAAACTTGATCAATCATCTATCCGTGATGCTGTCTTTTCACAACCATTACATGTTGTTACGTGATTCAAAAAGTGAATTAACACAAATTCGAAAATTGACACAACGGGCTTAATCTCGACAAATGCGCTTTTTTTTATATATTATATACCAATTTCCGCAACTTTTTTAACGAGCGATCATAAAAAATCGTATATATAATATATACGAAAGTTGAACTCACCGAAATAATTTCGCTTTCAATCCTTGCAGATGGAAAAAATCAAAGACAAACCAAGTAAAATGAGTCTTCGCTGTCCAAAATTTCACATCTCTATTTTTCTTCCCAACGTCGTCGGATCACCATATCGAGATCGATCGTCACAATCACATCTGAGCTTTCCACCACCGACAGGTCCGCAACGTTTTCATCGATCGGTTCGCGGCATGCATGTTCAGGGAAACATATGTATCTCTGTCGCCATCGACTTCTCGAACCCGGAGATCGCTGCTTAAAGGAATCGAGATAAGTGCATCCACAGTCTTGCGGCCGAAAAGTTGCGGATGCGGGTCTACGGCAAACTGATCGGGAAGAATCGCGGCTCCCGCCGCCGGTCTTAAAGGCGCACGTTGACGAATCATATACGGCGCGCTTGCGTCCTTTCGTCCTTCCGCCTCCGTGCTGCGCTGCGCTCACCGGACGGAAGTCCGAGTTTCGTGTATGCGCTGAAACCGCAAATGCTTTGGACAACTTTCGTCAAAGTCTTTGCGACGAAATGACAAATTCCGCTGGAATTAACTCCAAACATGAACAAAAGAACAATTTCAATTCATTAATAATATACTATTCGATTGAAATGGAAAAATATCTTGCTGCGACGAGAACCAATTTGTAATGTCACAGTTCGTTACACGTATGTTCGCATGGAAAAAAATTCATGTTTTTTCGGATGAAAATTTCGATTTCAGAAAATAATTTGTCGAATCTAATTTCTTCATTTGAATTTCGAAATATCATGTAATGCACTTTTTTTTTTATATAATTTATATTTGGTTCGCAAATTGTTTTATTATCTTCTCAATTCTTTTAAACAAAAAGATTAAATAATTTGATCATTCTTCAATTAGTAAGTTGAAGCAAAAGTTTTGTTATATCTACCAAATAAAGTTGAAAATAAAATTATACCAAAATCGAAGCAAAATTGGTACTAACTTCAGTATACTTTTTTTTCATTCAAAAAGGAATTTTTCAAATTTCAACTTTATTGATATGAAACTTAATAGAAGATCGATAAACCTTTTGCACAAACGTAAACGTTAGTTCATTTAAAATGTAGAAAGTAAAGAATTTGAAAATGCTGTATAAAATTAATTGCAATATAATAATTGTATGAGTGCACCAAATATATAAATAGCTCAATATTGAAATTCTCTTTCTCTGTTTATTCTATTAAATATCATTATTTTATAATTAATTTTATAGTGTTAACTCTCTGGTAAACTGTTTTCGGAGCGCTTCAGTTTTTGCAAATAAAATCTAAATTTAATTTTGTTTGTTAACGTATTATGCACCGCAAAAGAGTCCTCCGAAATTGCAATTTTAATATAGTATCGTCATAATATCAAAATAACAATGGCCTAGATTTTTCCATCGAATCTTGCCCGCTCAACAAACCATTATATTTTCCAGCTGTCAGCGAGATTCATCACTAAGAGGGTGCGATCCCTTCTTTCCTCAAATAAATTCAACGTTCTCCTCAATCTTTCCTATACTCTAAGCCGATGACATTGGAAGCGTCAGTTCGTAGGTAGCGAAACTTCTGAAATCTTTGTAATTTTTATTGCACGAAATAAATATTCGCAACAACTACGTTACGTACTACGTCGCAAAAGTATTCATCAGGTATCTCACCGAGTTTAAAAGTTCTCAACAGAAAAAAAGAGAAATAAATTATCCGCAGCGATAATTCTGAGAGAACGCAGATTCTTCGAGTTGCTGGAGCGTTTTTTTTTTTTACGGCGTAAAGAAAGCGTTCGCGATTATCTCGCTGTTGTTCACAGTAAATTACTAACTACCACCGTATAGTACTATACACGAGAGAGAGAGAGAAAGATGGATGTTTGCGCCTTTTCAGCATCCACTGCCGGCCGATCGATGAACAAAACGACGTGGCCGCGCGCTCGTGACTCGTGTTGTTGTGACAACGTGCTCTCGATGCAAAAAGGGCCGCGACCAAATTTCAAGTGTATTCTATTACAGACATTAAAGCTTGTTTTCTCCTCCGCGCAGAGGTGCCTGTACAGCGTTTCATGTCAAAGACTAATCGAAACGCGACAAAGACGTTAAATCGACTCATAGTATTTCTTTACCTTTTATGTGTTTTTTTCTATTTTTTAAAAAGCTCTTCCTTTCAACATGTTATTCATCGTTGATCCGGTAAAGCCGTGAGAAAAGATGAGACTGGAATTAACAGACGAACGATGAATCGATCAATCGGTCGATTGATCGCGCGTACGTAAAGTTGTATGCTGGAGATTACGCTAGATGTTAGCGCTATGAAGGATTACTAGATATGTAGTTATACCGGAGGCTATCTGTGAAAGTAACGGATATAGAAGTTATGAAAACTCGCATTCCGTACAATCTTATGCAGATGATTTTACACGGTGGCGAATTAAAGTATTAAATAGGAGCTTCAAGCATAAACTATGATTTTGCGGCTTGTTATATTCGAAGTGTTATTGAAAGTTTAAAATCAAGAAAGTTTCGAATAGGAATTCAATATAATCATTTTTAGTAAATCGAAAATTGGAAGTAACGACGTTGTTTGAACGTTTATTACAATAAAAATGATATCAAGAGGGTTTCAAATGTAGTTCATGGAAATCTAAATCACTTGAGCTCGAGATAAAGAGCGTCTTGCAATGAAACTGCTTAAGTGAATAATCGATTTTGCGTTTCAAAGCGATCCTACAACGCCTCTTTTCTCAAGTTTGAAATAGTAGAGATTATTCTCACACAGAGCTGCAACATTCTTGCGCGATTAATCTATTCTTTATCTTTATTGTGCCATGCAAATATTTTCGATATTTTAAACGGGAAGATTGATCCACGCTATTCTTTTCAAGACTCACCGAGAGCAGCAATGGAAGATCGATGCGTATGATTCCGAACAAGGCATAGTAGTGCACTTGCTGTAGCTGGAAATACGTCACAGCTTCCACATTGCAATCCTGCAATCATACAATATTCATATATTCATTAATATCTGGTGAAGAAAATTAACTGTACGAAACAAAACCGATAAAGAGAAAAGAATTTTTATTTGCATTGTTATTTATTTTATTCTCTAAAAGTTTCTTATTTTAATAATTATTCAAATTATTTAATAATTATTCCTATCTCTGTGATATAATAATTATAAATATTCACTTATTATAAGTTTTAATTGAAATGACTAATAATAGAAGACCTTCTTGCCACTTTTCGCAAAATAAGAATATTCAAGAAAAATAGGAACAGTCGTGAGCTTGATGCAATTAATTTTTAAGCGGAAATGAAACTTTGTTACGTGATAACAAGATAAGAGACAACGACACAATAATATTGCTGCAAGCTCGCAGTTAATTATGCACCTCAGTGCATTTAATCGATTAAGTGCTTTTTAAGAAACTAATCTTCTTCGAATTAATTCGGATTGTATAAAAAAATAACATTTTTAATATGATATATTTGATGTAAATTTATTGATTTTTATTAACTACGATTTAATACAATTTAATTTTGAATCATTCTGTTTATATTTTTCGTGTTTCAATTAACTAATTACAATTTTAATTAAGTCAAAACTAATATTACATTTAATTACTACTTTTCTAATTAATATATAATGTATATATATATATATATATATATAAAATTAAAGGAGATGCTTTCTAAAAGATTGAAATTATTATAGATTTACCGTGGAATAAATTGACATACCTGAAAACTTCGCTTTGCGAGAACGGCTGACGACGGAGCAAAGGCGATCTTGCCCACGCGATTTGCCTAAGAAAAATAGAAAAAACGAGATTAGTTGGTGTGAGAAAAAATGTTTCTGTTCAAATATGGATTGCCATCTATACCTGATTCGCAGTCGCGTGACAGACGATGCTGATAATTAGTAAATTCGTTACGCAAGCAGATACCAGCATTACTTCTCTTACTGTCAGTAAGGGTAATGAGATCGCACCACCGTCATTAATCGTATAAATACGCGTAAGGGTGTTGAAGGACATGCAGGAGATCCATAACAGCAGCTGAACCGCGTATACGGAATTTATCATCTCTGTCGCATTGGTGAGACACGAATGTAACCACCATACCTCCTGCAAGCGAAACTGTCTGCTCGATCGATCGACCACCATGATTTTGCCATCTGTTTGAACACGTATTATCGCACTAATGAGATAATTATTTGATGAGAACATTTTGATTTGCGTACTTACAATGTTTACACATTACTTATTCATGTACAAAGACTTGTTAAACATTGTAATGTTGCAATTTATAAGGTAATATAGGGTAATTGTATTATATCATAATTACATTTTATATATTTATAAATAAGCAATTTTTTAAATGTTTCAATCATTTTACTAAACAATTACAAATATATTTCTAGCGAAAAATCTATTTATTTGCACTTGTAAGAGTCGTGTGATAAGTCAATACAGGTATTTATTTGTCAGGTTTTCAACCCTCGCGGCTATTCTTCGCGTGAGAAAGCAGGCATGTCGATAACAAACAACGAATCTTGACGATAACAGGTAGACATAAATGTCCATGAAAGTGAAAAATAAAAGACAAGTTGGAAGCAGAATAATTGAGGAGTTGGCGTTGAAAATTGCAATGTTATTTTTCCAAATAATGATAATAGAGCAATCTCTTAAAATAGCGCAATCTCTTTTTATAAAATAATATAAAACTTAAAAAAACACAATTAATTTATCTCTTTTCATTATTTTCATGTATAAATGACGAATGAAGATCTATAGTCTTTAAAAAAACTTTAAAAGCGTTTTCAGTAGTAAAAATATTTATATAGTCAGACATGATAAATATCATACACATTATTCTTTGAAAAAAAAAAAATAATTACAGTCATATTACATTAATTAAATTCTTTCTGTGACAGAAATCTTTGAGATGCTGCAGTCGAAGCTGTGGTAATTGACAAACAATCGTTTATCAACAAATTAATTATTGTACACTAATCTCACTGCAGAGAATATGAGAGACATATTGTCCTTCGCAATTAACTCACCTTCAGGCAGTAGCAATATTTCACAAAGACGGCGAAATCTCTCGTACAGCAGGGATGATAAACTGGCGAACGTTATCAGTTGCATCGACAGTGTCGCATTAACGACGGCGTAAGTTATACCGTTGAACACAGAATATCTGGGCTCGACTCTACGGATGACGAAATTGTGAATGACGGCATTGTTACACGATGAAGATCTATAAAGTAAGAAGTAGGCTTATGTTTGCGAAATAAAGAAATATTGATCTTGACTCTTCTTAATTTCTTTTCATTTTTAATTTTTTCACTTATTATAAATTTCACTTATTGTTAATAAATTAAATGTGTCGATAAACGTACTGATAAAAAATTAATTAGGCAATTTTTCTTCCACGCAATGTGTCATTGTTATTACTGTACTTCTAACATAATTTTATGATATAAATAAATTACGATATAAATAAATAAATAAATTTAAATTACATAATAAATTTATATAATAAAGTATATATATCTTACTGTACACAAAAAAATATAAAATAAAGATTTCTCTTTTACCAAAAAAATGAAAAAATCCATTAAAGTTTTAATCCATTAAAGTTTATTCACTTTAAAATTTGTGTATAAAAATTTTTAAAACTTACATAATTATTTAGGTATATAATTAAAACTTACATAATTATGCACATAGGATCAATAAATAAAAGAAATATTATTTAAGGTACCGGAAAATCTGTAGACTTTAAAAGAACTTCAAAAGTGCTTTCAGTAGTAATACTCTATTCACAGTCAGACATGATTATCGTTTATATATTATAATATTATCCTTTAAAAAATATTAATTAAAGTCATATCATATTAATTAAATTTCTTCTCGTGTATGTTGTATGTTTGTGTATACACAAAAAAGAATTTAATTAACATATTATTATTTTATTGCTCTTTTTCTTCATCAATATTCGCTAGCGGATTAGATGAAAATAATGAATACTCACTGAAATGTTATGTATCCGACTATCGACCAAAAGGATAAAACAATGAAGGAGAAGGCCCAACAGCCGTAACGTATTCGGTAAGAGCGTTTATTCTCTTTGTATTTTGTCGCTCGATCGAAGATGCGTATGTGCGAAAGCGCAGCTCGTATCTTCCAGTTATACAAAAATGTCATCACTATGTCGCTCAAGACGCAAGCGTACGAGAGCAACGTTCTTACGGCGGTGAGCATCCGAAGCCTCGGTCCCAACACGTCGTCCATCCAGAGCATATAAAAATTTGTTATACAGAAGCTGAAGTACAGCAACGCGAACAGAATCGAGTAAATGGCGCCATATTTCATCATCGTGATGTCGTCCTCGCCGACAACGTACAATCCGCATCCGAACAATCTCGCGGTAAGCAAAAGCGGTCGTATATCACTCGGAGACAGCATCGTATCGATCCTGATAGGTAAAAGAAAAAATAGAGAAACACCTTTCCCTTTCTTTATTTTTCCTGTGAATCTCGCGAAATTCGCAACACGACGTTTCCGTGTCGGTATATTCTGATTTAAATGTTTCTCAACGCAAGTCCTTATTTCTATTCTTAATGAGATTCTTAAGAAACGCGTGGGAGAAACGCAAAAAAGCCGTACTTGGAAAAATCACGTTGACATCACAAGGACTTCGTATACATTAATGTGTAAAAAAAGAGCATTTTTATATAATGTTTTACGGAGCGATGAAAAACAAGAAATGTAAGAATAGAAATTGAATTGAGCCACCAAGATGTGATTTCTTACTTTTTTCAGAAAAATGAAAACGTTTTCAATATCTCGTGGTTTGTGTAATTTGCGTTATTTATACACGTTGAAACACGCATAAAATTAAAAATAAGACAACACAAGATGAATACACAGCTCGAGCTCTTTATGTATTTGAAACATACCAAATGTATCTCATATTCCTACCGATGTTCACGATAATGCACAGACGAACTAAATGTTCCACTGGGATCGGAAGAAGTTCTCATATTGATAGCACTCGTGTTGTTTCGCGAGCGAACGTGACCGATCCTAAATTATAGCAATTCGATGTTAGTTTCGATCTAAACGTCGGTAGATTCGTCAGATAGAGTACATAAATTGCTGAAAAGCGATTTAGAAAAAATTACAACTGTACTAAAACTACATTATACGAACTATACTGAAACTAGTCTGACAATAAGTGACGGTGTCCGCCTTTAAGCGGACCGTATACGTACTGATGTTGGGCCATAAACTAAGTTTTTCCACTTGTTAGCCTCTTTAACTGCGATGTCGGTAAGATAAATGGAAAAATATACGTCTGACATATGCGTGAATGTACATATGTACGTGTATGTAAATGTATGACCCTTTTGACGCTTCGCTTCACGATATTAATCTGCTACCGATAGTAGTATGTAAATATTAATATTACGAGCGAGTAATTAATGCAAGCCGTGTCTTGTTAACAAATTTGACAGCGTGACAGACTAGCCGTCATCGTTAATTATTTTTGGACGTCACAATGACGATTCTTCGTATAACTACTGCCTCTCTCCACGAAAAGAAAATAAAGCCAATCGACAGGAGAGTACGTGCGAGACATGTAGGGAACTACGTGACATTTTATAATCGTGATTAGATATTAAACGTTCCGAGATTATCGAGACATAAATGGAAAATATTGCATTTATTTTCATGTTCGCCGTAGAGACAGATGAAAAGATACGCACAGGACAACGATAGAATACTGATAGTTTGAATTATAAATCAATTATAATCAGATATTTTGTTATCTGTAGTCTGAAAAGGTATAGAATTAAAGAGAAATCAGTTTCTAAAACGGGAATATTATAAATATTTAATCTTTAATTCCTCTCTTCATACATGTACATCACATCACGTGAGCCTCGTGTGCCAAACCAGTTTCAATCATTGATAAGACTTGGCACGTAGTAATCTGAGAGTTTTTTATATGTAAAAGGCTATGCACACATCGCATTGTAAATTGTAACTTAATATCAAAGCGTGTGAAACGGAAGTTCAATAGGCTACGATGACATCGCTCAAACAAAAATGTCAGTATTTCCATTTGTGATATGTAGCACAGATAAACACTCATTGTCAGATACGAAATGCAAAGTATAAGACGTAAATGCATTAATGATCTGAGACCTAATAAAAATATTTGGTTTATATGTAACATGTAATCGCTTTGAAATGTATATAGATCCTAGAATACAAAAAAAAAACGGAAAGATTATATAGACATGAAAGCGAATATGTAACGATTCGTTTTTTACGAAACGCGATATTATCTCGTTTATTAATGATTGGCAAAGTAGGTCTTCCAAACGCAAACTAACTAAATCTTACATTTACTTTCTTTACACACAGACATTGAATAAGCTAATAATAATAGACGAATCTATCTGTTAATTTTAAACGACTCATTTTTCGTCTCTTTACACTATATATAACGATTCGTTCGAATATATGTATTATATGTGTAAAAAATGCGATGACATAAGCTTTTACGTATTCGATAAAAAATCTAAAACTATTACATCTTTTAAATTTTATATTTTTTTGAGAGACGTTATTTTAAAAAATTAAAATTTTGAAAAGATTTGGAGAGAGAGGAAGAGAAAATATATAAAAAATTAATATGCAACAAACAGGATTCCATTAAAATTATTAGAAGTAGGTATTATACGGTAATTGGAACTTCCTGCGATGTGTATTTGAGATTAAGGAGATACTATAATATCGAGAAACATTGATTGCAGGATTAAATTTAACAAGATGTGCTATTTGTGCTGGCTAAAGGATAGGTCAGTAATGAGTTTGATGCGTGTTTATGTACGATATTAAATACGAATTGCTTAATTACGATAATAATATTATACTTACACATGCTTATGCATTAGAATTTATAGTATGTCATAAATAAGCGAAAAAAACATATATATAAAAACGATTATTTCTGTAAAACTTTGCTTATCTTATTACAAATTTTAATTTTAAGTAAAGATTACTTAATTTAAATAATAATTAAATTAATTAAATTATTTATTTATTTATTATAGTTATTGTAATTAAATTAATTAATTTTTAATTTTAATCTTTTGTTGAATGGATGAAGAAAGTTATATATATATATATATATATATATATGCTTTATATATATCTTCATGAAAAACTTTCTTATATATATATTTGCCTGATAATTAGCAATTATTGAATCTCAACAATTCCGATTAGATAATGATTTTTTTTACCTGATAATATAAAAAGATAAGAACGGAGCTGCGACACAGTTGATTCCTTCTGAATTAAAGGGACGAAAGTGAAATGAGGCATTTAAAAATGTAAAAAGTAGCATTAACGCGACATCTGGTGTAGTTTTAATAATTTACTTGCTTAAGTAACCTGCCTTACCGATCGTAAGTCACGTGGAAGGGTAGACAGGAGAACCTATCGGGCGATTTGTTTGTCGCGCAGCCCGAGAAAGTATGGCGACGTGGGAGAGCGACAAGTTTCGAGAAGACGAGGATGCCGACGAGATCGGGGGCAATTTCGATAACATCCTCGTGACGCACGATCTGCAGGACTGCTTGGATGACACTCTGGACCTGTCAAGCTTCGAGAAGGTCTACGAGCAGAGCGCGGTGTTCGATTACGAAAGATACTCCGACGACGATGCTCCTATCAACGAGAGGCTGCCGATACCCGCCGATGACAACACGACCGAGTGAGTTTTTCTGCTTTTTAAAATCCTCTTGGTGAATTTTAATCTTGTCATTCACGTTTCTCGATCGGCCCGCTCGCGCTGAATCTTATTTTCGCGATCAAATCTGCAAAGTTTTGATGCGGATGCTTATTGATATTTCGTTGACTTCGTCGTCGGTATAATTCCTCGTCCCCTCCTTATAAGGCTATAACGAATTTTGAAACAAGAGCCTTAATTCATAAATCGTCTGAGAAAAATTGATGCTCGAATGACGCGCGTCGAAAATTTTCATGCAATTGCAAAATAAAGCCATGTCACATGTATATTATATATATGTATATATGTTTGGTATATTATAGAATATATATGTATATATAGGCAGTGCCTTCTTCCGTTTTGTTAATAATTTATTATGGAGTGGACTATACAATATAAATTATATACAGTTTTGTGGTTTCTTATTATTATTGTTTTTATTCTAAAGAATATTATTTTTATGCAATACAATATTATTTTATATCATTATTGGCAATGTGAAATTTTTGCATTCTCTTGTTGTACTGAAAACAAGAAGCACCTGCTTGTTATAAATTTAGTTTTGATGTCTTCTATTATTCATATCTACTATTACATATTTCTAGTAAATCTAGCAATAAAATTGGCATGCTTGTGTTTATGTACCATTTCATATATGAAAAATATATAAGAATGCTCTCTTGTAAAGTTTTAGAAATTATGAAATAAATATATAATATTAATTTAATTAAATATAATTTATTAAGGAAGATTAAATCTAATATAATTTAGAAGGAAGTAAATCTAAAACATGTATGTATATACAGGCATATTCAACACACAATCAGTCCAGATGAAATTTATATGCGAATTCATCAAGAGCAAGACGATGCATTACTTGAAGATCTTGCAACTTCTCATGAAACTATTACAATTGAAAGTATGGATTTGGATAGTAATCAGAAACATATCAATCGCTATAATTGTCAATATGAAGGCTGTACCAGAACATATAGTACCATTGGAAACTTGCGTACCCATATGAAGACACACAAAGGTGAGATTTAAAAATTTTTTTCTTAAAAAATAATTACATTTTATATTTTCGTGATTTTTTAATAATAGATGTGATAAAAAATCAGAGTATTAAACTTTTATGTTAAGTAAAATGTCTCTAACATATATATTACTAAGGAATTATGTAATGAAAAATAATTATTTAATAATTAAAATAATAATATTTATAATAAAATAAATAATATAAATATATAATACTAATTATCATATTACAATATATAATATATTATTAGTATTTTTAATACAATTTATAGTTGTATACTTAATATTTTAAAATTTTTTGTCTTATTGTCTTATGTTATTATATTTATATTATATCTGTTTTTGACAAGGGATTGTCATTTTTTCATTTTTATTGGCTGGCTTATCCATATTTATTTGACTTATATTTGTCAAAAAGATCATCAGGCTTTGCATGTTGTGCTTGTTTGGTACGCAATGTACTTTGCTCCATGTACCATACTAACATGTGCTCTTGTTTTTACATATTCAGTGGATGAAAGGATTCAGGTAAGTGTCAAAATCATATTATCACGTGTTTATATGTGCTGGCAATAAAATCACAACTTACATATTTTGCTGCAACTTGATATTATTAAGTCATCAATGCTGGTATAAAGGGACCGCTTCGACCTGCATGGCTTTCAGATACTGCAAGAGATAGGTAGCCCTGCAATCTTTTTATGTGGAGGGAATTCTCAAAACTTTCAGGCGAGTATCGATTTAAATGCGCAGAGCCGAGTTGCGGCAAGGCCTTTCTCACATCCTACAGCCTAAAGATCCACATTAGGGTACACACAAAAGTAAAACCGTTTGAATGCAATTACAAAGGCTGCGAGAAAGCATTCAATACCCTTTACAGACTGAGAGCTCACCAAAGACTTCATAGTGGCAACACATTCAACTGCGAAGAGACTGGATGCGTTAAATTCTTCACTACTTTAAGCGATCTCAAGAAACATATACGTACTCATACTCAAGAAAGACCGTACAAGTATGTTTCTTTTGGTACTTATATAATATTGAAGAAAAAACAGTCATTATCTTATAAACACATTAAATAAACCGAAAGAAAAGAAATTAATCATATAAAACTCAACTAATTTCTTTATACAAACTATTATACATTATGTACACTTATATATATATGAAAATTATATTTGGAATTATATCATTTTTCATTTATTTTAGGTGCAGAGAAAAGGGTTGCGGAAAGGCTTTTACAGCTTCACATCATTTAAAAACGCACAAGAGAACACATACGGGCGAACGGCCATATGTTTGTACTTTCGAAAATTGCAGACGACGTTTTACTACTCCTCACAGTTTAAAGAGTCACATAAAAACGCATAATAAAACTGTGAATAATGAACTGGTGAGTATTAGACACAATAAAAAATTAAATGTAATTTCAAGATTTTTTAAAATATATATAATAGAAATATCATATAATTATACAATTATATCAAGTTCTATTTTTATAATTTTTTAACAGAAGAAGCGTAAAGACAATAGAAATGACGATACGACTGAGGAACAAAAAAAGTTGAGTCAATTAGAATTGAAACTTGTGAAAGTTAGCGCAAACAATACTATTATACCATCGTATACTGTTATACCAATATCTTCAGATCTTGCACAAAATCATAAAAACATGTACGTTTCCGCGAAAAACGATACAGCAGGACAAGTAGTTCCTAGCGATGTAACGATGGACATTATGAGCCATCGCAAGTTGGAATCGCAAGTAAAACTCGGTTATATTTCTACCAAAGATGCAAAAGACTCGAATAAAACCACCAAAGTTGCGCTTCTCGCAACGGATATCGTGTTAGATAATTTTGACGAACACGCAGTTGATGCTTTTAACAATAATGAGGACTATCACGAATTTAAGGTATTCAATGAAATGACGGAATCGAATATGCAACATGATAATTTAACGGATATAGTTGGGCACAAGTCAGCTTCGTTATCAGAAGTGATTATAAGTGAGATCAGAAGTGAGTATAATGATAGTATAGATAGGCAGGATCAATCTATCCCGATAAATTTGGAGCAGAAGATTATGCAGGACGGTTTGCAAAACGCAATAGCGCATATTTCGGAAGGAACAAATTTCACAAGTGATATAAAGCAGTACAAAAACGAATCCGCCACTGTTTCTGACGATGTATTTGCAAATCGATCAAATGCAGGAAATATAGATAACGATAACAACGTGTTATATAATGCCAATTGTATTACTAGTCATATTCCCGATATTATAAGTTCCTCGAATGAAACCCACCTTTTCGAGAATGGAATGGACGCTCTCTCGTTTATCAATGATGCGACTTTACAAAGCGGAGATTCTATCAACGCAGTTTCAAATCACGATTTGTGCGCAGACACTATAATTGCGAACGCGCAATCCGAAGCCGTTGAACTCGCGATAGCTACTGAGGAGGAATTACCTTCAAGTTGGATAGATGTTACAGCATTGGCAACCGCATCCGCTTTAAGAACACAATCTTGGTCCGAGTTCAATGCTTTTCCCATAGCAGTTCATTCCCTGGTCGATCTAGTTGGTCCGGAACCTTACCCATTAGAGATAGATTCTCAATTGCCATCTATGGAAAATTTGAAAAATATTAACACAGTAAATACGGAACATACTTTAGCAAATACTGAGATTGTGCAATCTCAAAAAGCAGCCGATTATGAGGCTAAGAGTATAAGTAATATTAAGAATAAAAAAGATAATAGAAATGTTCTGCAGGAGATCACGGCAGACGCTGATATATGTAAATGTGTTGACTGCAAATGCGATAATTTACAAAATTGTCAGAATTGTACAAATAGTCCTGTCGCAGAAATTACGAAAAAGATACGTTAAATATTGTAAATGACATCGTGTCTTCCTTGCAAAGTGGATGTTCCTGCAACGCTGAGTCGGGTGGTTGTGATTCATGCTGTGTTGTAATTTGCTTAAAGACATTACAACAATTACAGAAAGTATTTAGCAATTGCTGTAAGAAGACCACAAATATGTGTTGTGGGGAAAAGTTGTTACCATCCTTGATGAAGTGTCAATTAGCTAGAAATCCATGAATCACATATTTTCTTCATTAACTAGTCATGCAAGAAAATAATGCTATATTTTCATGTTAACTCCCCTGAAAATGTGATTTTGCACTTGATAGCTTTAAAATTGCCTTTGGCAATTTTTGCCTTCCAAATGTTTTATCTAGGACAAATTGAGAATATATGACTGTACATACATTTATGTGCTATATCTATATTTAATAGAATCTTACAATATTGATTCTATACATATGTTATATAATTTGTGCCAAATATTTGTAGACTTTTTTACAAAAAATGTTTATATAAACAAAAGTATTTTATCGCATAATTTGTGATAATAAATAAAGTATCCACAACTTTAAAATATTATTCAAATGTAATAAAAAAAGAGTTAAAATGAAACTAACGATACACATACAGAAGTGCAAGGAAATGAATGCACAATATATAATTATTTTTTACAAATTAACTATGTTGACATGAACAAAAAATGTTTTATAAATATTGTATGAAGCTTCATAGCTTATGCAAAAATAAATAGATGTCATATTTTTGATATATTACTCAGTCACAAATATATATGCTGTTTCTTTCATATAAGATTGGTTTATAATTTATAATTTTTGCTAAAGAACTTGTTAAAAAATGTACAGCATATATTGTTAATATATTTTAATTATAATATTATATTTAATTGTATAACACCAAAAATGATATCTATATCATATTTGTATATTTAAGAATTTTATTTATTTAATATAATTGAATGTATGTTTCTCTAAATAATATGTTATAGCATTAATTTTAGGAATATTTTATTCTGTTGCTGTTTATGATAATTGCAAGAAAAACTTTTTGCATATCAATAAAACTTGCATATTCTTTGGATTAATAACACGAAATGTTAAATACTTATGAACATCTATTTATAATGTTACGAAAATTACAGTACTAGAAATTTCGAATTTTAAATATTCGCTGTTTGTATGCATTATTATAACGATAAGTAGATTGAAAAAAAATTTTTTAACCGTTTTAGAGCGTGAACATTTTTATGGCTGTTATAAGTACTTGCAATAAAATCAATGTACCTAAATAGCTTGTAAATGGCAGCATATTTATTGTTAATGAACAAATATCAAAACTAACATCAATAAAGAATTTTAAATAACTATTTACATCTATCTATAATATTATCCCTTGTATTTATTTTAATATTAAATTTTAAATATATAATAAAATAGAAATTAACACAGTGATTTTTTGTGTTTTAATAAAAAATATATACGACTTAATATATTTTTATTTCTGTCACATTCTTATACAGCTATTATGATAAGGGTGTATTGAACACAAGCTTGTATTGCACAAGCTTTCTTCTAAAATTCTTAATGTGAAATGTGTATATATAATTCTATTACTTATAACATTTATTGCGTAGCTTGTACAAGAGCCTCTGCAACTTCAACTGCAATAGCTGCTTCGGCCTTATCTTTGTCTGACGTTGCAGAGGAAAGTTGTTGCTGAGCTTTACTAAGGATATCTCTTGCTGCTGAGTTATCGAGATTTTCTACTGGATGAGCTTCCTCTGCTAAAATCTACAAATAGATGATGTGATTAAACTTTAGAATTTAAACTTATTATTTTGAAAATAGCTAATATGTACCTGTACACTGTTGTCTTCATTTATGGTGACTGTACCAGATGACACAAAAATTTTCTTAGTTGAACCACCATCTTCATATACTGTTACTACTCCAGGTTTTAACACTGCCAGCGTGGGAACATGTTTTGGTAAAATGCCAAACGCACCTGAGAAGGAGGGTACATCAACTTGTCGGATTGCAGCTTGATCATAGAATACCTGATGCAGAAGAAGGAAACATATTAATTATTAGTTAAGACATGATTATAATATTTTATCACAGCAAAACTTTTACTCCATTATACCTGATTAGCACCAGCAAACGTAAACTTCATTTGATCACCAGCTGCAACATCTGCATAGGTCCTTCTTTGGTTCCGGACATACCTTAAGCAGGAGCGCAAAGTACGAGCGAGAGTGGCCATTTCTGCACGATAAAAACAAATAATCCTTTTTAAAAATTTATCTTTACATTAACTGAAGTGACATTGTGTGTGTGACAAGGTTGTTACATCACAAGTAAGAGACACATGAGTATAATTTTGTTTCTCAGGTTTCGATACTAAATAACTCGTTCGAGAATGCGTTTGAATTTTCTTTTTTTACATTTTTCGTTGTCAATAATTATTATACTCACTAATATATTAAATATTTGCGTTCTCCAATATTATAGATGTGCAGAAGACGGATACAAGTGACAGATAGGGAACTTTGACAGTGGCGCTGGTGTTGCTTTGAAGACTTTTGTTCTTTTCAGTTGGTGACACTGCCTACCTTTAAAAGTTTCAGTTTATGCGTAGTGTGTGGTGCAAAATAACGCGGGTAAAAGATTTTGGCATTCAATAACTTATTTCGCCGATGTATGTTATAGAAAGTCATCTTTGAGATTTGTAGATAATGCTCTTCATAAATCTTTCTGAATTTATAATATCTAACATTTGATTTTTCTTCTGTTTCAGTATTCGCTGAGAAAGCCGAGTAAACGATAACAATGCAGCGACTGTGCAACGATTCGGTGAGTGAATTTATTATGATTAATTACATTACTGATTGATATAATGCTCTTCATAAATCTTCCTGAATTTATAATATCTAACACTTGATTTTTCTTCTGTTTCAGTATTCGCTGAGAGGGCCGAGTAAACGACAACGATGCACCGACTGTGCAACGATTCGGTGAGTGTGAATTTATTATGATTAATTATATGATGATTATGAATATGCTAAAATGGATTATCACGTCTACGAAAAATGAACTTTATATTTATCAGCAAAAGTATCTTTCGCCCACAAAGCCGATTGAATAGCAGCTTAAAAATATATATTGTTTAAAAAAAAAAAAAATAATTTTGCTTCCATATAAATGCGTTAATATAATTAATTTAGAGCTTATGTAATTCTACTTTTTGAGAGAAAAATTATATATATTGTTTGCAAATGGTTCTTATTAAATTATAACTTCGCAGTTTTATAATACTTTTTATCAAAATGATAGTAAGATACACGGAGAGATTTTTGTTACATTTTGCTGCAAAATTTACTATAAATTTTATTATGTTTGACAATAAGCTGAAAATTATCATGCTGCATATTGAAATTATCATGAGCGATTGGGTTGGAAAATATTATATGTTACATTGTAAAATTTATATAAAAGATTTTGGATGTTTATTATTTTTATCTATGTATTCTATTTAAAACACTTAAAGAATCATAAGTATTTTAACACAGTTTTTAATATATTTTAAAATGATTGAAATTTTACTATATATTTTAATAAAATTAATCATTAAACGTATTTTATATTTTATTGTACATATTCATATTGTAGATATTCATATTTTTTATTGTGATAAATATTAGAGAAATTCTCATAAAATTCTTCCAATATATTATATACATATATTGTCTCACGATTATCATGATTTTCAAGATAAATTTTAAGAGAAAATTCTCTGTGTATAATATATAAAGATATATATATGATTAAATATGAAAATTGTATGGAAATTGGTCTTTTTGTCGTTGAATATTTAGTGAAATTAACATTTAATATCTACATTCAATTATTATTTTAATATCTACAATCGTTTCCTCGATTTATCTACATTCAATTATGATTTTAATATCTATAATCGTTTTCTCGATTTACCGCAAACATCCTCTTTAGCACCGTGAGATAAACTATATTAAATGCCTGAGATAGGTCATTCGCGAAATATCTCGTTCTCAAGTCCCGTCGTTGGCTCCGATATCGGAAACATTGTCGTCATTTCTTTCCGAGTGCCAGGAATTTTTATGTCTCTCCAGGTCTCTTCTCCTGACTAGCACCTTGCCGCATATGTCGCATTTATAGCGACTGTCATCCGTCACGTGCAGTCTCACGTGCTTGTTGAGATTACTAGGATCTCCGAATCTATGCTCGCACACCTTGCAGGTCAGAGGCTTGTAACCGGTATGCGTTCTAATGTGGATTCGCAGACCGTACTTCCTCGAGTAGATCTTGTTGCAGAAGATGCATCTGTAGCCTTCGTTGCATTTGCCGATCTCGCTTGCGCGCGTCTCTACTTCCGCGGGATCCGTTTTCTTCGCAGATTCTGCTGGTGCATTTGAAGATAATATATCGTAGGGTATCATCCGATCTTGGCTGTGATGTATCAAGGCATTGTACGATCTTAAAATCAAGCGGTGATCCATTAGATTCTCAACGGATGATTTGTAATTCGATGAACTCGGTAAGATTTCCGTTGGTAAGGAGTATGTAGGAATCGGCGAGGGATTATTTTTATTCGAAGACGGGGACAGGGGCGATAGTTGATTTGACGAACACGGCGAATCGTTCTTCAGCATCCGATTCGTGTCCTTCGTTTGTGCCGAATACGCTGGAATATTGACTGGTAACGTTTTCGGCCTGGAAACGGGCAAAGGATTTAGCTTAAACGTAAAATTTCTTTCTGAATATTGAATGAAGGACAGGTCCGTTGAAGAACTAATAATTTTATTCGCCAAGAGCGTCCAAATATAACTATTGTCCTTTTGATTGCAATTTAAGACCAAGTGCAGCTTCAGAGGATTTGGAGAATCAAAACAGCTGTTACAAATGTGACATGTGTAGACTTGACCTGTAATCATTTAAAGTCGTAAAGCATTTAATAAATATCCAATTATTTAATATTGCATTTATTATTTTATATTAGTATTGTATATTAATGTAATTAAAAATTATAAATATAAACTTATTTGTTATAAAATTATTTTAATTAAATTGTATTACGACGGTCATTTGAGTCAATGTACAGTTTAATATCAGTCATAATTAAAACATTTACAACAAATAAATTTTAATATTTATATCATTTTTAAGTACTTTAATATATGGCAATAATGTAAAATAATATAAATAATATATTTTATTTATAATTTTTAATTAATTCCATACATATTTATATTTTATACGTTATAATGCAAAATAATAAGATTATTCTAATATACGTATTTTATTTTTGTTACAGGTGGTATTACGATACGTAGTGCGAATCATGTGTCGGGAGTGCCGTGTAAAATTTCGCGCGTCGGGAGTGCCGTATAAAGTATCGGGCGATCGTAATTATTCGTGTTTTCGCGAGTGTCATGAGTGCTACAAAGGACCAAGAGAGGAGGAGGAGGCCTAGGGAGGCATCGGGCGACACCGGAGCAATCGTGAAGTAAGCAAAATAAAAACATTTTTTTCTACACTAAATTGTTTATGAAATATTCGATCGTTTCCAGACTTTTAAAATATCCTGTTTATACACACACACACATATGTAATATACATAATTTGAATATTTTGCTTTCAGATGAATGTGCTGTGTACTACAACTCTGCTAACGTATTGGTGAGTGAGAAATAATTTATTTTTATAGTTTATAGTTTACGATTTAACAATTTAAATCGTTAAAATTACGAGAAGAGCTTTAACAAATCGTTCTTACCTTGAATATTGCAATTTGCCGGTGTCAAAAACGGAATATTCAACACATTCAGAATACAATCCGCGAACCACATGAATAACGGTTCTCCTGGTAATATTTCTCTTGTCGTTTTTAATATGAGTCCGCCATTATTAAGCATAAGTAAAACATTAGCATTTTGGAAGTCTGTCGCCAACGTGATCATTTTCAGCCAATATGATGAACTTATAGGTTCATTGAGGCAATGGAGTCGATCGCCAATGTTAATAATTTCGATGATATTCTAGATCATTAATAATAATTTTAGTTAAAATTAGGAAATTAAAACATAATAAAATATTATATATTTTCATGCGTATATCGAGATCACTCTATTGTCAATATTGAATGTGAAGATTATTCAAAATAAATGAAACAGAAACTGTCAGAGAAATTTAACTTATTCAAATAAAATAAAATTTTTATGCGCGTTGAAACTAAATCAAAGTCGAATGTTAAATTGTTATAGAATGATAAAAATATAGAAATAATATAAAATACAAAAATTATGTGTATTAATTTTCTCAGATAAATCTTCATTTGATGGAGATATTTAAAAAGAGAAACATGCCGTTAAATTTATTTTAATCCAAATTCATGATTGAATAATGATTATGTCATGATCAGAAACATTGAAATGAAGACTACTTAATTGATAATAAATTTTTCTGACAGAATAATTTTATTACACTATATTATATATATATTTTAAAATTATTATCGTTCTGGTAAGTACTTAGAACATATAAAAGTAAACAATTTTTTACTATTTCGAATATTAGAGAAAATTGCGAAACATAATTTTTTTTATATTCTATATACAAATACCTACATTTCGAATGATCGATGTATTTTTTTGAGGTAACGTATTGACATCTATAATTTCTGTCGTGGAATTTCCTTTAAGAAGTCCACCGGCTCGAACGAGTGGCCTGCTTATAAAGAAGTTAGGTCTCTCTCTTTCCCCCCCCTTCATAGATAAATTAATATAATTTTGAACTGAATATCTTTGCACTGAATGCCTCTCTCCTTGCATTGTATATCTTTGTGATGAACTAGCTCTTTCCAGTCTTCCGCTTCTTGTCATTATTGCCTCTGTTTCTGTCGTTGCGGGATATACTACTGGGATTATAGCTTGATTCATGGTCTCAAATTGGTTTCTTTTTCTTGTAAAATTCTCTCTTACAATTCTCTTGTAATGTCCGGGCTTCTTTTGTATTTTCTGAAGAAACTGTGTCGCCAATTTAGTTTCTCGTTGTTTAAATTTTTTTACATTTTCGAAAGATGCATCAGAGGGTTGACATTTTTATCACACTAATTTAAAATATTGATATAGTGAAAATTATATTAAACCGTAAGTTAAAATAAAAAACTTTGAAACGTTACACCATAAAATTTCTAAAAAGTCACATTATAACATTTTCGAAATGTACGCGTTTGCTTGTTATAATATAAAAATGTTTTCAGAGTATATCTTGAATTATCGAACGTTAATGATCCGTAGAGTGATAGCACCAAGTTAAGATATCAACTAACATAGAGACGATTTCGTGCACGCTTTAAATATATACTGGGGGTGGTGCCTAATTTTGATCATTGGTAGTTGCTGCGTTCTCCCCTCTGTGCTTCTCTGTATGAGTAAATATATATACGAAATTGTATTTAAGAATCAGTCATAGATGGGCCCTTTGGTTGCTTCTGGACCATGTCGTTGGTGCAACCATGCAGGGTAGGAGGAGCTAACTGGTTGTAGCCTCTTGGGGGTTTTTCTATTTGCTACAATAGGTGCTACTTTTTCGTCACGTGGTATTATGGACAACTTATACATCGTCAATATACAGAAAAGAATATAATAATAAACAAATTAATATTATATTATATATATTTATATTATTATGCTCTCATTTATTAATAATTAATTTGAGTAAATCGGATTGCATCTGAATAAGTGCAGTGCAAGATCTATCTGAATTACTTATTAATAATTATATTGTATCTTTAATTATTAATAATATATTGTATCTTTGAAAATTTAGATGCAATGCGTTGTACTATAAAGTGTGTCTTTGTAAGAATAGTAAATTTAATCACGCGTTTTAATTTCGGTATTATTGCAAAAGATGATAAATAAAAATGTGGTATATTCGTTTTTGCGATTTTGACGAAGACGCAAGCTTGAATCGCGGATCGACAGGATTGCAAACCAGGAGCGGACCTTCAGTACGCTCAATAGGGCTATAAAAGCCTCATGTGAAAGGACATTGTTTGGCTCAGCTGCGGTCTACTATATGTCTCTGTATTACGGGGGATCGGTCGAAAGGTGCATCTGAATCAACGGTTGATTAGGAAATTAAGTGCCTCATTCTTCTCGGCGGTCCGGGTCGTCGATCGCGTAGGCGCGATATCATCCGAATTTGCTTAATCTTTCGTCGATCTTGATTGCACTTAGCACGATCTAACTATATCCATATGTATCTCTTTCTCTCTCTTTCTTTTTTTATGTTTGCGCGATAGATAATCTCATAAAACGCTTCTCGTTGCACATGACATTTTTTTTCTTTCAACGACAGGATTAATTGATCACGTGATGATTGATTATGCGCAGTTGAATATTGACGTGATTGTTAAAGTGATAGAGTTTGCACCACGAAATAAAAAAATTTTTTACGAATGGATAAATGACATATTTTAAATATGGAGCAAATATCTAAAATGTATTTCTTACGAATATTTATGAAGAGACACAATACCCTTTCTCAATATAATTCGATAGAATTTATTTTAAACCAAGTATATCTATACAATTTTGCATAATAAATTACAGTATATTTTTAAAGAATAATTCTTTAAAATTAGGACTTGCATTCACTCAAATTTACAATTTGAACAAGTCTAAATTTTCAATTCTTTCTTTTATTAAATTAAGAAATAATATATTAATATTTTCAATTATTGATTTTATATTATAAAATTTTTTTTGCAATAAAATGTTTTTTAAAAATATTTTAATAATTATTTGATTCAATAATTTGAAAATTTAACTGTCACGGAACATAAAATTAAAAAGAATAAATGATTAAATTAAATGTGATATTAAATGAATATTTATCTATTACAACAACTATATTAAATATACTTTTCTCCTTTTTCTTAATTACGTGCAATCTTCGCGTGAATTCTCTTAAGACCAGTTTTCAAAAGCTACGCGTAGCTTACCAGTCTGATCCGGAACCAGAAGGGCATGGTCCCTTCAAACTACGGATCTCTTACACGGGCCGCACGAGCGGCGTGATTCATCCACGTGTACGATGTTAGAGCAGGGAATGACACGAGTGTTCACAAGCCGCACCATCCCTTGCAATCCCTCTCTGGTCGCTGGAAACTCGAGCACGAGTGTTTCGCCATTCGTGCCTTATATCGTGCCCTAAAATGTACGCGGCAAGTGTTCCAGCCCCCCTTGCACGATTCGTGGGTAGTAAACAGAAGTACGAAAGACTCAGAGACCTTGCTTCTAGGTCTAGTAAAGGCGTAACTATTGGGGAAACTATCGAGGGATAGAGAGAAAGAGAGAATACGGATTGTACGCAAAATTTACGAAATCTTTCTACATTTATATAATATATATTTTTTGTTAAAATTTATTAAGACCAACTTTTTAGTGCAATAATATAATTATAAACTAATTTAGTAAATGATAGATAATTATAATTATTCTAATAATTAAATATAATTTTGTGAGAAGTTTTTAACAAAATTGTACAAAATTTGTTGGCGAGATATTGCACCTTTCTTGCAATTTGTTGATAAATTTGTGCTTGTCGCCCGCATCGTCGCGGAGGGTTGTACCCTCTAGTCGTCTCTTTCTAAAATCAGGGTGCAATTCAGAGAACCGCGAAGCCAGCAAGCGCAAGCAAGTGTTCCGCCGTGACCAATGGGCCCTTTGCACGCATGTGTGCGCTTCCCAATGCGATATTAATATCGCGATTATCATCTACGTATTATCGCTGCATCCCCCGGGTGGGATGCTCAAAATAAGCCCACGCGGTAGCACCCTCCACGAAAGTGTATTCGTGTACCAAGCCGTGCACCAAGCACCCGGTGTTATGGTGCATGAGGAGACGCAAGTGCATGTCGATCTTGTACTAGAGAATTAACATTATTGGATTTAACTACCAAAATCTTGTGCATTTTTATGTATTTCAAATATAATAGTTTTATAATAAAAGACAATTTTTTAATATATTTTATTTAATATATTTTTAATAGTTTAATATAAAAATTTCTTATATACTATTGTATATACTTATATACTATCTTATATACTATTATATGTATACTTATATATTATTATATAATTATTATTATTATATAATTATATAGTTATTTTATTATAAAATTATTAAAAATATATTAATTAAATAATAACGATACGCCATATTCTCACGTTTTTTTCAAGATTAATATTTGGAGCTATTTAAAATTAATCATGCACCTTATTATATAAAGACATTATCTATATTATATTGTCATTATCGATAAATATATTTTGCATACATTTAAAAATGTGTGGACGAAGTATATGCGAGTTCGGATTGTCGTCGATAGCGAGAGATGCATGTGGATCCTTTTGCTTCGTAAAGAGGGAACCAATGCCATTGTTCTGCGTCCCTTTACTGCAATCCTGAGTTATGGTCGCCTTTGCGGGGAGGTGGCCATAAAGGTGATTCGTCTCGGTCCTGCAAGTGTCAAAAGTCTATCCCTAATGGTGCCGCGCGTGAACGAGACAGTGGTCTATGTATTATTAATATTCGCGTCATTCAGATCTGGCGTCATCTAAATCTGACGACTTCTTGTTTATCCAAAATTTCCGCTTCGTATTGATTGTTTTTAGGTTTTTTCTTATATTTAAGAAAAGTCTGATTAAGAAGTATCTTATTTTTGAATTAAATAAGTTAATTTTTTTCTGCATGCACAGGTTGAATAGTTTTTGATCAGACTTATTAGTATATTATAATACTTTTTGCTTTATTGGTAAATTTTATTTATTACAGATTCTATATTTATTGTATCACTTAAAATAGTAAAACAATAATTATATATTATAATGTTGCTAACAATCACGATAACAATAATAATTACTATCAGTTTTGCATAATTTTTATACGAAAATTATGCAGAGAAAATTTTAGAGAAAATTTTTTTGTAATATATATATATTTCTTTAAAGTGTTGCAAATCTTGCATTCCACGTAAGAGAAAAGTTAAAGTGCACTTCCGCTTGTTCACGTGCCACATCGACATATTGTCCTTGTCCCGTAGAAACGTGTGCTATGTAACATGACACGTGACCATTGAATACCCCACAGATATTCTCTATCCCTGATCATACGCCCCGCGTTTAAGGCAGTATTTAACCATTAGGAGCTATTTACTTGATTTTAAGAGTCAATCCAATCTATGATTGTTCATGGGTAAACATTAAAATATGACAGTCTCATTTTCACTCGAGCGAATAGCCGAAAGGAACACTTTTACAAAATATAAAATTGTGTAATTTAATATAATTATATAATTTAATAAATTGTATGGGAATTTTTAATTGTGTAAATAAAAGTTCTGAAGTTAAATTAAAAAAAAAATTAATAATATATTTCGTTCGAAATAATATGTTGATTCGCGCTATGTTTATTCTGTGCATTTTTACAATAAAAGTGTTCTTCGCATGTGTCATATTCGCAGCGAGAAAAAAACGCACATGGAGATGCAGGTGACACAGCTCACATGACAAAATAATGTCAGATCCCTCGCGGCATATACCGGTCCTCAGACCGTGGTGCATCGGACATTTTACCCCTCTTTATCTTTCCCTTTACCCCTCCGCGTGATAGACTATCCCCCTCCAGAAAACACGATTCACTTGGCACACAAGTTTTGTGCATATAATGTTCGGTACGAGAAAGTAGCCCCCTGCTTAATTTAATCCAATACAATATGTTCCCTTGTCTCACCCCGATCTCTCAGTGTCGTCAGGGGTGAGTTAAAAAGGGTGGGTGGCTTTTTAAAACTGTGCCGATCTCAATTCAGCGTGAAACCTCATCCCATTATGATTGATCTAATCCTGATTGGAGCGGACAGGTTTTTTTACTTTCGCGGTGTACCGGTGGTCTAGATTCGTGTCTGCAGATAGATTTCGGAAATCATCTCTCATCACACACGTAATATCTGTCATGCTCAAAGTGAACATATACAGGTATACTGATTTTACATAACAATGTATTACGTGAACATCTTGAAAAATATTATTTTTTTATATAATAAATTTCATAGAGAATAAATTTATAAGAAATATTAAATCTTACTTTTTTTAATACAATTTTTTTCTCGATTAATTATTTAACATATTTGTTGATATAATTAATAATGTTAATTTCCAACTTGAATAACTTTGGCAAAAGAATAATAAAGATTTCTTCTAATCTATAATATACACACAACATTCGTTTGTTTTATCATTACTTTCTTTTTTAACTTTTTTACTTTTAATTTTCTTTAGCTAACATTTTACTTAATTTATAACTTTGAATTTTATAATTTTTTGTATAATACAATTTATACAATCTATACAATTATAAAATCTAATTTATTCACCATCATCTCACTGGTATTCTCTTTCATCTCCGTTTTTATCTCGTTCTTGTTGATGTAATTAATCTACGACATTCGGTACTTTGTGTTGAAAAATTCTTGTTATTTGAAATAATTTAAATAGTGATAGCTAGAACACACGTTCTGTTTTAACGATGTTACATTTGTTATTTTCGACGTAGAATAAATATCTTCAGCTGTGGCAATTCTTCAGTGCGGATTAGGCGATAATCCATGAAAATCGATTTACCAGAGCCTACAAAAAGTGATTTTTAAAATATCGTCTAAAATGCATTTTATCTTGAAATTTTGAGAGATCATTAAAAAATATCGTAATTTAATAAGCAGAAATAATTTGTGATAAGAAAAATACTCTCTGCTTAAATTCTTTTTATATTTTTATTTATTTAATATATGTATACTAAATTTTTGAAGAGATATCTTTGGACTGGTTCTAACAATCATAAATTATATCTTGGAACGTAATTAGTTTCTTAAACTGTCTTGAAAGCGTTGTGCAGCATTATGGATTTCCAAGTCAGTCTAGATTATGCAGACAGATAAACAATGAATCATTAATATCATATATGTGTGTGTATATTATGAATAATATTTATCACATAAAACAAATATTAAGTTTTCTTTTAAAGTAATATGTATTAAGATTTTCCGATATAATGGGGAAATTTTTATCGTCTAAAGATTATTGTCGGATAAAATTGTTCTGAGCAAAAATGAGCTTTTTCTTTATATTCTTTCTATAAGAGATTATGCCCCGCTGACTTTGAGAATCGATAATTAATTTCCGATGGGTCTTTCGCGTTCTTTCGACAGTTACTGTTTGCGATAGGGATTGCGAGTCTTGTGGTAACCTGTCAGGGGATGCAAGCGGAGGAGATGGATTTGTTGCACAGCTGTGTACACTGCTTAATGTAGGAGGTATCGGGCTCGGAAATTACTTTTGTGCTGGTTAAGATGAATCCCTAAATCCGAAAGCTAACTACGATTTGCTCGTTTTTAGTCATAGTGCATCATTAACGCTCATCGAATTGCGCAATAGTGAAAATTATTATCGGATTGTATATACATACATATTATTAAATATTTATGATCCAATAGTAATTCTCATTTTTTATGCCTTCACTCATTTTCTTAGATTTTAATTTTCCTTAATTTGTAATTTTGATTTAACTCTTAAAAAAAATCCAATCTTTATGTCGCATATATATATGTATGTATAATTCGCTCTATCTGCACATGAGAAATGCAGTAATTATTATCGAATGCTCTGTATATACGTGAAATATTAAATTATACAAATTATTTTAAAGCATAGACATTAATTATTTATTATATTAATGTATCACGAGAAGCAGTAAATAAAGGCTATAAGCTCTATGATACATTAAATGTTTAATAAATAATTAATTTCTATACTTTAAAATAATTGTATAATTTAATATTCCATGTATATACAAAGTGTCCGGTAAAAATAATCATGATAATTGTGTGTACATATATATATATATATACAGATATATTTACCAAGTTAAATCTCGTTATCATTTTCCATCGCAGGCGATTCGTAATTCACGAAATTGCTGTCAGTTTCATCTTCTTCTAATTTATCCACTTCAATTGGTCTCTTTTCTTTTGAAATATCGTATTCTTCACCGAGTTGTCTATACGTCTGCGCGCGGTTTTCCAAGATTTCTTTAATGATTTCTGTAAAAAATTATGCAATTAAGTTATTATATATCAATTTTCTAATGTTATATCTAAATTTATCTATAGTTATTATCGCAAAAATAAATTCTTATCCAGTCTATTTTACTCTGACATTTCAAATGACCTTTGAAATAGAATAAACATTTTGCTGGTTTATTTTCAGTTTAGCCCATTAATAATTCTTACCCATTAATAATTCTCTGCTCTCGATCATGTTGCCCATCTCCTTTTTAACTTCTTTCATCAACCACGGCATGAAACCTTCTTCGACATCTGCAACAAATCATGTTCACGGCATTTTAATAATTATAGATGGAATAAAGAATAAAATAATCAGGGGCGAAAAGAAACTTAATCAAAAGATAGACTCGACAAATAAAGAGAAATTAAGAAACCTTTAGGATTAACAAATTCAGAAAAAGTAGTCAGTGTTTCTTGCGAGCTCACGAACCGGCCTTGATTTCGTCCAATAAGTAGCCAGACATTTTCAAGCCTTCCAAACTGCGGGTAAAAGTTCAGCAATGTATCCTGTTAACAATACCGCCGCCGCGACTCGTTCCTCGGTTTCCTGTTGAGTCTTCATCGCTTCTTCGTGTTGTTTCAGGCGTCGATCCTGAAACGAATCGGGAAACAGATTTGCTTTTTAATCTTTTCACGCGAGCGATATATGTCTTTCTACGATGTAAAAATAAACGAGATATTTAAAAGATCGAAGAGCGCCGAGATATTAAAGAATATTAAAATGCAAGAAAATAATACCTTCTCTTCTCTACGTCTCCTCTCCTCTTCCGCTAATCGTTGCTCTTCAGCTTTCTCAGCAGCGCGTAGTTCCTGGAATCTTCTCTGCTGTTCCTTGAGAGTAGCAATTTCCTCTTCTTCTAAAACTTCGATCAGGGATTGCTCGATAGTCTTGCCTACTAACACCTCGAGAATCGGTTGAACTTCAGTGTCATAATCGAAGAGCTAATAATAAGAGGAAATAGTATAAGAAGAAATATCGTAGTACACACAAATACTGTGTTTTGCAAAAAATTATGTCGTGATAAAACATTAAGTACATACTTCTCCGGGTTCGATTTGAGTGCAAGCGTCTTGGCCAATCTTGCCAGGATAATAACTTGGTGGTTCCGGTTTCTCCAAAAAGTAATCAGTTTGCGTGGCTACTTCGGATTCGTCCGGCTTTTCGGCCAGCTTAAATATAATGTCAATATTAAAATTTGAATTTACGCTTCGTTCGTCGTATATCGAGAAATAATAATTAATTGTTATAACGAAAAATAAATATACAAATGTTAATTAACCTCCTCGAGAAAGATTTCGGTTTGCACTGGTTCGTGCTTTCTCCCAGGAACCGGAGGAGGTGAACCCGTCCTCGCAACGAGCGCTCTGCAAGCTTGCATCTGAGCACGTTTCCTCGCCAAGTGTCTTCGTCTCGCTTCCGCTTGCCTCGCTGCTATCGATTGTTCCCCATCGATCTAGATGAACATGCGAATTTCATGAAAGAACTTACCATTCTTTTACCTTGAAAGATACCCGAGAAGAATACTCACTAGAGCAGGAATGGGAGCGAATGTACTTCCGCGAGCCACGCGACGATCAAACATGATGTTCCCGAAAGGAACCGATTGTTCGCTGCAAAATAACGATTGATTTTTATAATGAAACATGGTTCTCAACGGTCACTAAACAAATCTAAGAAAAGCTCAGCTGAGTTTAACATGCTGAGTAATGATTGCTGCAAGACCGGTCACTCTCTTGAGCAAACATCGACAAACTTGGCAATAATAAATTTGTTTGAAATTGTAATACATTCATAATCATTTTAATATACCTAATGTTTCATCAATCATCTATTATTGAATTATATTAATTCACTTCAATTTATTTGGAGACTCAAATTTTGAATAATTAAATATAAATATTTCGCCAATCTTTTGATTGAATTCTTTTTTATTTAATTTACGAATCAAAATATACAAAAATACGAAATCCAATTGCTCTCTCGACTATTGTCGACGAGTATATTAACTGTATATATTTATATAAAATAAAATGATTAAAAGATTACATCACGCTATGCAGCAAATTATATGAATATAAAAAAAGAAATAATTTTTAAATATATATATATGCAATCTGTTATTAAAAATTATATACGTAACAGGTACATCTGCCTATTCGCATTTAATGAAGCATAAGTTTTAATCACATAGTAAAATATCGATGTCTACGACCCTGCTGCACGCAAATGTTTCCGATAACAATCACAACAGTGTCCATCACAAGCACAGTAAAATTTATTATGTATTGATGACATACTTTTGAGTCTGCAAAAATATTATATGTAGATCAACCTAAATAGACATGCACACAACACGTATATTTAGGTTGATCTACGTATATATCAGACTTGCGATAATTTCTTAAAAAAGTATAAATTGTTTTTTTACATTTATAGTAAAAAGCAATGATTAATATCTTCATCTTTTAATCAAAAAGATGATACATTTATTGTAGCGTAAAATCGATTATACTTTTTACTTGAAAAACAATCCTATTGATTTTTTTATGTTAGTACAATATAATAATGATGAAAAACCCTTCCTTGTAAAAGGGAAATAAAAGTTAATATTATCGATCATTTCAATGAAACGTAATTTCCGTTCTACGAGTATTTAAGAACGTGGTGCATAGGAGCGACAATAAGAGAGGAATAACTCGAATACGACCGCAAGCGCATGAGAATAAATCGAGCCGATGAGAAGGAAAAAAAGCGGGGAGAAAGCAGCTGCTATCAAATAAAAGATCAGTGATAAGTGTATGCCATTTGGTAGAAGGTGTTTTGTTACCCGCGGAGTCTCGGCAGCATATTCATCATGCCCTCGATCGGTGCCAACTTTTTTGGTAAAGCTCGCGGCGTCTGCGGGAATCTGCTAGAAAAACAATTCTCGCTCTTCTTATACGCCCTTTTCCTCCTCTCGAAGTGCCTCTCGTCATTTTTCATTTACGCGCTTCAATCGAGCTTTCATCGTTGCTTTTTAAGTCCGAAACACCTTTCGCGCTTTCATATTATACGCATATATATGTTTATTGAGGAGACGGTGAAATCTTTTCGCACACTTCTTTCGGCCGGTTTCTTTCGACTGATCGATTATATTTCAGCAACATCTACGTTGTCTTGGACATCGAATTTTCGGCGGGGATGATATGAAACGAACGTAAGATTCGATATCGCGATTTGCATCTGCGAAAAGGTTCGAGGTCGCATTATCGCACGTTTGCAAACCAAATCCAGTGAACGGAAAGAGACTTTTCAGGGCCAATCATTATTCATTTTGAACTGATACATTTTTTTCATATTAAACCATAATTATACTTAAGAAAATATTTTTAGAAACAAATAATCCTTTTATTTTATATATAATATATAACGTTATAGAAAATATTCAGCTAAAAATGTTTCTCTGAATAAAAGCGTTTTTGCGGAATAAGAGAGCATTATGAATTCCGCTGCTATAAATTTTATCCCTAGCTGATAATAAAAGGACGTAAGTCACGATATATGTTAATTGAACAGCCGGGACCACGGCTATAACGCGACCGTGTTACGTCACCTCAGCGTCACTTACGGCGGTTCACTCCTCTTGAATCTTCTTGCTCGTTCGTCTAAGGTCGAGGCCGTGGCGATGGTAGTGGCGTTCATCATGCCAAGGGAGAAGTCCACGGTAGCCTTGAGGGCGGCCGGACATCTGGCATTATGACTACTGTGACGTACTTCCGGTCTCTTGGTTAACGACACCAGTGGTTTGAACCTGCTCTTAAGCGGGCATCCGTCTGTTACCTCTTCGTCGTTTCCGTTGGACGCGATACCGAGTAGAGCCGCCACTTCCGGCGGAGGCATCAAAAATTCTCCTGTTTTTACGGTCGTGATAAACGGCTTTCTCTGTAGCAGAATCGATTTCTTGGGCGATCTGCGCCCTTGTTCGGCCTCGGCTTGCTCCTGTATCTTTTTCAATTTTGCATTGAGTACTTCGTTGAAGTCCTCCGTGGATAGAATGATGCTGGCCTTAATAGGCGGTCTTTCTTCGTTTAAACTATCCTGACTCTTGCTGTGGTTTCTGCTCTTCAAAGGATTGGCTTGATTCGATTGTAGACTAGCCAAGACCAGATGTTCGTTGGATTTGCTGATCCGTCTACGGTTGTAGAGGTCATTCCTCATCGTATTTTTCATGTTCTTGAGATTGGTGAGCCGCGGCGCGTTCATTCCGTCGTCCTCGTTGATGTGTAGGAGCGGCAAACTCGAGTCCAGGCCATCCTTTTGCAGGATCGTGAAGGCCGGCGGATCCTTCGTCTCATGATTGAAAGATCCCGCGTCCGTCGACGGCGCCAAAGCCGAAATACCGGCTGGCATCCTTCTAATTTCTTCAGACGTTTGATTGCGCGGCGAACATTGTGAATCGATCGAAGGCAAACAAAATTACGTGACGCGTTTTGCCTTTCAAGCGTAGTTTCCCTTTAAAATTTCAAAAATAACTTCTTATTTGTTTGTACGGGATATAGGCTTTTCGAAAAATCTTAGGTAAAGCAATTATGATCCATTGATCGCTTATATTGATCGTTTTCGCGAAGTGAAAACAACAAAGATCACGCGAGCGTGATATTTGCAATTATTTCTTGAATTATTGACCGACAAAGTCACGATATCTAACTACAATCAAGTTGGTTAATTGCAAAATATGACCAGTACTTTCGCGATACTTAACGCGGTGAAAAAAATATGTTCGCACTAGCTCTTATAAAAAATATAAATATATAAATATATATATTTTTAAAAGATTTTTGTGCCGCAAATATTATTTGGTTGGTTAAGTACGCGATAAGATATTACAAAAAGCACACAGTGTTATTATCAAGAAAAATTCTTTTGTTGGAATTTTAATTTTCGGATTTGCATTTTTTCTATAAATAACGTACACGTTTATTAAATCGTGTCGCGCTTCTATCATTATGAATAGACGGAGATTATTTTCGCGTATTTATATGTAGGATGAAAGTGAACTCTTTCCAAAATGATATCAATCTCAGTGTCAATCGATCCGTGTCAATCGATTTACATTAATACATACTGTGCGAAACTCGCGCCAAATCGGCGGTCCTGCTGGTCGCGGAAGATCTCGGAAGGAAAACGTCGTAGTCGTTCGTCGAGTACGGTCGCGACATTACTGACCATTTCGCGGGGGAGTTCAGAGACTGGACAATGTCCTTAGAATCGACCGATATAGGCCGCGCTCAAGTTGTACATACACATAGATTCTCGCTTCGTGTGACCGGCCACTCAATAATGCTGACCACCGCGAATGTTGCGCATGCTTAAGTTCCACCGACAGAGGGTGGAATACGGTTGGGGTTTTGCCACACTCGCCTAGGGAACCTGTCCGGGAACTTTGCAAACCTTAGCAACACTTCAAGGTGAAACTTGGCGTATTTGATCGCGTCGGTCTAACGCAAGAAGACTTAGTGTATAAGTTGAATCACGATTTAGATTTTTAGATGAATAAAATTCTTAAGTTTCTGCGCAATTCATAACTTTTTTTTAATAAAAAATATTATATATGCACGCACGTGTACATGTCACTTTGAAAAAATTGCTCAGGAATAATCTCTTGATGAGAATTTCTTATCTTTCAAAATTCTCTCGAAGATAGAACTGATTAAGCTTTGCTTCGTAGCCGTAATAAGAATATGCACGCGATCGAACGATAGGTGGAAAATGAATTATGAGATGAGTAAGGCATTTTATTATCACGCGATTTAATGCAAATAATGTGCATGAAAAATCAGATTTACGCAGTATGAATATAAACTGTATTTTATGTAACAATATCACGCTTGTAAAATAATTTTTGCGATTATATTAAATTACAATTTCAGTTTTTCAAAATAAGTACAATTACATCGTACTTTACGTATGATTATATGTATCGCAATAATTTGTAACGGATTTCGTGTTTCTCGAAGATATATCCGACATTTTACGTAGAGCTTATTAATCTAAATATAACATCTATTCCCAGTAAATAAAGTTAGTCGAGTGGTACTTTTTGGAGAAAGATCTCATATAGAGATTGCCGTTCATATGAATTCTACACGAATAGCATAACTTTTTCGTTCTGCAAGTTCTATCGTAATATCCAGATTTATGATAAGGCATTCTTATCACTAAAATTTTTGACATATTAAAAAAAATATCGATTTAAGTCGAGGTGACCATCAAAAATAATGATAAGAGAAATTTGACAATATAGAAGTTTATCGTTGAGTTCGTGAGCGGTGTAATAAGAGATCGTTTTTTCGTCCTTGCATGAGCGTAATTGCGCGATTGATCGATTTACTCGAATAGTGCCACAAATAGTGACCTACGGCTATTGTATTTACGATCGTCAATAGTAGTTTATCATAGTTATTGCTTTATCAATTCCTAAAATAGAACTCACTGTATGTTTTAAAACTATTTTTTGTATTTTTAAATTTTCTTTTTCTGCGTTAATTAATCAAGCAAATAAAAAACGTTTTAATTTCATTAAAAAAATTATTTTAAAATTAATCACCATTGAATGTTTATTACTACATTTTGTATTAATACAAGATGTGTGAAATTTCACCGTATTTTGTATTAATATTAATACGCTGCAGATATCCTTGAACAAATTTCTTACTAGTTTCTCACGTTTTGCGTGAAACATGGCGTGCAATTATAAGCCTGAATAGCTAATATTTGCTGCTAGAAAAACGATAAAATAAGTAGAACATTTTTACGCGCATACAGTTTTACTATGCTTTTTACTGGCCTTTTTTTTATTTTTCTAGTCCACTTGAATTATAGTTTTTATTCAACGTCACGATCTTTCTCGATAACAACATTCATCGATCTCTTAATTAATTAACAAAGAATTGACGTTTCGTTTAAGACAGCTGCAGAAGCCCCCTTTATTATTGATTCATGCTCGATTGTTTCCTCCGAATGTATTGTAACATAAAGCGCACGTTTCTTTATTCTGATCAATATCATTCGCAAGTTATATTTTATTATGTATCATGCAAAGGACTAAATATAGTACCCAGCCAACAGTCAGAAAAACTTGTTTAACAGAACATTGTGTTATGCACTAACTTTATAGAACTTCACAGAATGATAAAGTGAGTCACTTTTGTGTTAGTTTTTTTTGTGTGATGACATATTCATATGAATAATTTCTGAACTTGTCATGCATTATAGTTTTATTTGTCTAATATTTTTCTAATTTCGATAGCGAGATTTAATTAACAAATTTATTTACATTTAATTATTTATAAAAAAAATTATAAATGCAAAATTTAGAAGTTTTAAGTTGTATTCAAAAGGCTAATTTTCTTCTCAAGAGCTTTTATATTTTTATAAAATTTATTCTAAAAATATTATCCTAAATCGTTAGTGCGAGATTTTTGCAAATTGATTATTTTTACAGCATAGCTATACTTTGATGTAGAAGTGGAAATCGCGTGAAGCGAGTGCATAGTATATCATACTTTGTACTCTTCCGTGTACGATAATCAACGATAAAATCAACTGCCACCGCGGTCATTCCCTTTTCGTCTATAAGCGCAGTAATGTATTAAATAGCTGTTGCATTATCAATATGCTGTGCTTTTCCAGTTATCGATATTCTTCTTTTGGCTTTAGAAAATAGAGAGAGAGAGAGAAAGAGAAGAAAAGAGAGAGAAAAAGTGTACTTTTAGTAATTTTCTCGGAATAGATAAATTCTCAATATATTCTTTAATAGCAAAATTACTATCCATAGTGACAATTATAGCAATTTTTTAAAATGAGATATTGCAAGTTTATTGAGAGTGAACATTTTCTGATTGTCCCACAGCATTAATGTTTGAGGAACATAAAGAGCGCAAGAGAAACCAATAATAGACTATGCTCGAGAAGTAGGGTGTCTCTACTTTTAATATGTATCTGTATGTCATATAAGCTTAGCATTGTGTTAAATATGTAGCGTGCTTTATGTAAAGAAACGAACACTATCTGTTTTCCATTATCGTACGTCTCTCTCAATGTTCATTAATTCAGGGAATGATTAGGGCGTATATTTGTGCAATTTCGTTAAATAGATAGGATGGTTTACAAGAATATCGTACACTTGTTGCATAGACAATAACATGAAAATATAACATACAATGTATCAATATAAAATAGATTGCTTTTTTTTATTAATTGTGGCTTGTACAATTATCAGCAGCATGTGTAATTATGATTTTCGTTACTTTTTCTCTTTGAAAAAACAATTTGTTGCTCGATAATGAGATTAGGAAATATTTCTGATATTCTGTTTAAATAGTAATCTTTTATTCAATTTATATGTATATAAGATTCAAGAAAAGATAAGCTTAAAATATTTTTTCTTAATACTTTTTGTGAAAAAAATCACCTTTATCAGTGAGCTTTTTAAAAGCTGAGATAAGTTTGTTGATGTTTATTAAGCAATTTTCCAGGTTGCAACATAATTTCTCGTTTGATAAAGAACGCGCAATATGATTTCAGGAAAAGAGTTAATTGTACTTACATCGGAGGATTTCTGTACTTCTTTTGAATATGTAATATCGCCCGCGGGCTCTTCACGAAAGTGTAGGTCTCCTTTCTTTCGCATGTATCGAGGGGTATATTGTACGAATGCAATCCACGACTGCACATCCGACATCGTTCGTCACCGTTCTTGTAGCCATTGTTATTTATTTTAGACGATTTAATTGTGTACAAATTTTATTCTGGAAATCGCGTCGCGCGGCTTCTAGCCTTTTATGAGATAACCCGACTTCTCAGGGCGGATCCCATTCATTACTAAGCTCTTTGTCTGTTGCTATAGAAACGGATCAATTATGAAATTCCTTTTATTGACATAGCGACTTGCAGTTTTCCGTATCTAAGGTACGACATCCTTAAATTCTCATGATTCGATTTTATTTAGAATGCAAATTAGATTTTTGAATTATCATTCAAACAAGGATATAATATTTTAGGTAAATTTTTCTCAATTAAATTATATACATGTATATGTAAATTATGATATTTATATCTTGATTTGTATAAACATTATTTTAGTATTTTTTTATAATTTAAGAGAAGTGTAATCTAATAATACAAGTCTAATTTAATATTATAATGTTAAAAATATTTTTACTATCTATATTACATATTTTAAATATTTTTAATTTTATTTAATTTTATAGCATATATTAAAACATTATTTAACTGAAAAAATTATTACTTTTTTATCGGATTTAACTATTCTAGGAATAGATTTAACTATTCTAGGAAAAGTTGATTTCTACTGGGAAGATGGTCTGTCAGAATACCTATATTGGATATGACTAAATCGATACTTATATCGGGTGAGACTTTTCTGCTTTATCGAGTTAGGCACGGGGTTGCGTCTATTGCCGATAGGTGTACAATAAAGTTTATTAAGTAATAAATATATTAAATAATAAATATTTATGATAAATATTAATTGAATAAAAATATAAATACTAAAAAAATTTTTTAACTTTCTAAATAATTGCATATAACAAAACTGTTTTAATATTATATAATATAGTTTAAATAAATATTTTTTTTAAGAAATAAAATCAAATTTTGATAAATTAACATTTTTTCTTCTGAGATTAATGTTAATTTTTACTTTAAGAATAATAAAAAAAATATATTGACAGTGAGATTAAATTGACATTTATAGTAACTATATCTATATGCACAAAAATCAAGTATTTTAGAAGAATATTACTTTATTTTAATTTAATAACATTTTTGAAAATTTTGGAACGTTTTGTCAACTTTAAAAAATTTAATTAAATGCAAAAATTATGTTATTAAAGTTAATACGAAGTCGTGTCATTAAATAGCATCATGATTCAATTCATCAAAGATATACTATTCACGGGGAGATATGTAATGACGTTTTCCTTGATGGCGAAGAGCCCGTCGAGGAGGCGCAGCCCGCCGAAGAAGTAGTAGAAGAGAAGAAGGAAGTGTGGGCGTAGGGAGGTGGGTAGTTCGATTTGGGAGAGAAAGAGGAAGAGGGCAGAGATTTTGGCACCCTGCTGTGCCTCCTAATTGCCTCGCCTTCCTTGCCTCGACAACGTCCACGTCCAGCACGCCCTTGAACTTCTCGTGGGTCCACGTAAGGCCCCTAAAGCCCACCAAGTCTTGATTCTTCTCTCCTTTCTTTTCCTCC